TGACCTTCAACTGTCTCGTTAAAGACTGCGTCTACATATGGCGAACGAATTATCTATACCTATAAAATAAATTAAGATTTGCGCATCTTTGTTCAGAGTCCCCTAGTGTGAGTTTTACAAAGATTCATGTTACTACTGCGTTCTTTTTCAAGGAGTCTGTATGGAAATCTCAGTCTACAAAAATATCCTTTAGAGACCCGATTAGATTTTCAATACATATTATTGGCGTAAACGTAAATATTAAACCGTAAATGACGTTAACGCGATCTTAATGTAATTTCTTGTAAAACTCACACTAGACATTAAAAGTCCTAGTGTGAGTGGTACAAAGATTAACGTTAGATCTCATTCGGTTTTACACAAATTAAATCGTATTATCGAAACTTTATTTTCTGAAATCATACACTAGAGACGCAGTTAAGTTTTTAATATAAATTATAAACGTAAATGTAAACGCGATGGTGACGTAAATTTTTATACAACTCACACTAGGCATTCAGAATCCTTTAGTGTGAGTTATACAAAAATTTTTATTACTACTACATTTACGTGGAAAACTTTGTATGGAAATATCCGTATTTGGAACCATTTTCCGAGCAGATATTTTAATTCTATATTTATAAATTATCAACGTAAATACTAACGTTCTAACAACGTAAATTTATGTCAATCTCACACTATGGACTCTATAGTTTTGAGACACTTATTTATTTATAATTACAATTTCATTGCACATTCATAAGGCATTTAACACAAGATCTTGAAACAGGTATAATGCAGTACATTTTTAAGGTTCAATAGCGAAATAGTAAGAAAATAATCTTATTATCTTATGGCGAGACTTTGCTATTTATCTAACGGTATATGGTATCCGGTATTCTCAAAAACTACACTACAGTTACACTACTAGTTACTAGTACAGTTACTACGCTTACTCGCATCATTTTAATAAATAAAAAAATATAAAGTAATCCTCTTTAATTCATGAAAACTAAAACCTCCTACAAACCTACTTTAAATATTATTATTTTTATCACTTTCTTTCAAATTGGTAAATTAGTGTAAAAGAAAGAGACAAAACAGTTCAATAGCTAAAATAAGATTAAGACAGGTTTAATATCTTTATCAATAAGAGGGTAAGTGTATAATTAATGGGAATAGAAGATAGAAATATACAATAAAGTTACTATCATAATAAGTAAGGTGTCATAAAAATAAGTTTGGTTGCACAATTCCTAACTTTAATCTAATCTAAGAGACAGTTTTTGTTTTGTGATTAAAATGTAAAAAATCTACTTTAATAGCACTGAGTGATTATGGAACAGTTTTTTCTCCCTTTCTTAGTCTTGTAATTTTTCTGTTGACCAGATACAATTTTAATTATTCCTCTCCATCCTAAAGTTGCCTGGAAGAGATCGCTATTTGGCGATAAGGCCGCCCATTGTTACCTCTTTATCTTGCTTTTATGTAATAAAGTTTACGTAATTAAGTATTAATTTTATGTAAATATTGCTAATCTTTATAATCTCTATCATTCTTTACAACAATAAAGAGTTTTCATTCATTTATTCATTTCAGTACAATAAATATATAAATTAAAAACATACAACCCCAATATTTACTACTTCCTATGCCACTGCGTTAGGTTGACTGGAAGAAATCTCTGTTAGTGATAAGTTCGCCTTCGCTAACATTGTTATTAACTTATTGTTGTTATTGTATGTTTTAGTGCAATAAAGATATATATATATATATATATATATATATATATATATATATATATATATATATATATATATTTCTTAAAGGCAACGTATTACAAAAAAATATAATTGAAAACTTAGTTGAATTATCGTATTAAATATAACAGTAAGCATAAAACTCGCTGTACACCTAAATATTTTCAAAACCGGTAAACAACGATGCATACATAAATAGCTAGAAAAGATTAACGCCAAATTTAGGTGAACGTGGTACACTTTCAAAATTTGTTATCTCTAATGAATAAACTCAAATAATACCAAACTGATTTTAATAATTTATTCATCTATAAAAAGCATCATTTATTAATGAGCCAGTAAAATAGAGTTTTTATTTTCAAAAAAAATAAAAGACCCCTACAGTATTTTGTTTACAACACGGTGGGCAAACGGGCGTGCGGCTCACCTAATGGTAAGTGACTACCGCCGCCCATGATCACCCACAACACCAGCAGCATTGCAGGTGTGCTGCCGGCCTTTTAAAAAGGAATATGATCTTTTCTTGAAGGTTATAATGTCGTATCAGTTCGGAAATACTGCTGCTGGAAGATAAATAAAATAAAATTAATTAAATTTCCATTTACTCTTGATGCTGACTGTACCCGATCTATTGAACAATGATATAGTTGGATAATAATAAAGCAGACAGACTGACGGTCTAAAAATAATAAACGATCCATGATTAAGCGATTTTGCGTAACAAATTTTTTGTTTACGGTTTTTTTTTTATATATCTAACTAGATAATCACATCAAGTGTTTTCCGGAAACTAGGATATTGAGTCTAGTCAATTGTGAAATTGTACCATCATCATCATCATCATACCAGTTGTTCACTGACCACTGCTGAACATAAGCCTTCTCTATAAAGGGAGTTTTGCGAGTAGTTGGCACGCTTGGCAGGCAGGTTGGTAACCACAATTAGGCTTTTAGAGACGTTTTAAGAGGGACGTTGCTGCTTATCCCTTGACCATTAAGTTAGTCGCCTCTTACGACACCCAAAGGAAAGGAAGAGGTGGCCTTTTCTATTCCGGGACTACACAGTGAAACCATATACAGTATGATTTTTTTTTATGGGTGAAAATGGAATGGTAACCCCGCCTGCGCTAACGGGATACGCTGGCGGAGCACCACTGAAGGGTGATAGATGAGAATGAAAACAGGCCAGTTAGCCCATCATGATGAATTCATCAGGAATTAACCATGATAGTTTCCAGGGGCAACCGCGAGGAGGTCGACCTGGTTGGGTATATTGCTACCAATGGGATTCTTAGTCCCCATTGCTAACAATCCCTTTCCCCCCATACAGTATGATTACACATAGATTAATAAAAATTAAAACGGCAAAGCAGAATTCTTGGATTAAATATTACTTTATTTATGATTCAAATTGTATATTTTGTACTCTATAATTTAAAAGATTTTAAAGTGTGTTAATTAAAAAAAATATATGTTGAATAATAACTATCGTGACTCGTACTGTAACTGCGTTATAATTATTTATTACGAGAGTAAATAACTAGTTTATAAACGTGACTTTATCCATGTTAGCAGAATTTTTATTGAACAATATAAAAGCCTATGTCCATCTCCCTTCAAAATATTACGTGTTTGCAAAAATTTCATGACGATTGACATAAAATGAAGGATGATTGTAGTATTAAAACGAAGTACTAAAATTTGGGGGGGGGGGCAGGTCGTCCGTGTCCACCCGAAGACTGTCTGATGCACACACAAAGTACAGAAGCTCTGTCAAGTCTGTCAAGTCTTTATTCCAAGAAGGCGCCCTGAAAAACATATCTTAAATAATAAGGAACCTGGAAGGATGATAAAAAACATATGCGGGTATTTAATCTATTAGTAAAAATGCATTAACACAAACTTAGAAATATCATTTTAATGGGGGGAAAGGGATTGTTAGTAATGGAGACTAAGAATCCCATTGCTAGCAATATACCCAATCAGGTCGACCTCCTCGCGGTTCCCCCTGGAAACTATCATGATTAATTCCAGATGAATTCATCATGATGGGCTAACTGGCCTGTTTTCATTCTCATCTATCACCCTTCACTGGTGCCCCGCCAGCGTATCCCGTTAGCGCAGGCAGGGTTACCATTCCATTTTCATCCAATAGAAAAAAAAATATCATTTTAAATAAATAATAAATTTCTTTTAATCAAATATGTAATGAATGTCTAGAAAATAATCGCAATTTCTCCGTAAACAATACTCCGTGATTGTTTACCGTCTATGAATATTAGATTAGCTTGTGAAGTATGTGACACCCATTCCATCATTGTTTGCGGAGAAAGTATGCAAGCGCTTGACGTAATTCATAGGCGACAAGCGATGGAAGCAGTGACCAAAATTATTATCGAGTTATTTACTCGTTTATTATCCAAGAAAATGTAATATGGACAGACTTTAATAAAACGACAAAACACAGAAATCCCTACTCACGTACAAAATCATTATATTACTGTTATAAACTAAACGTTTAGAATAAAACACAAATTAATTAATAATTATAAACACTAGCAATTTTTACAAGTTGCTTAAAGAGAATTTATTTAAAATATATATATATAAATATTAATAAATATAAATATAATATATATTTAAATTTATTTACACGGAATTTTTTTAATATAAGTAATATAATATTTTATGATGGATTGTAGTTATCTTATATTCATTTATATATAGCTAAAACCACGGAATATAAATCTAAAATCGGCGTGGTTGCATCCAACACTAAGCCGATTCAAAAATGATTATTTTTCAAAATTATTCATCCTAAAATCGAACCTAGGTCTTTATTTAGACAAGGCACCTAACTTACTCACTATGTGCGTTATTGTATTGCAATATAATTTTATGACGATAATCTCTTGAGACCTATACAATTAATACCCTAAAGGCAATGTCACATAACGCTTATGACTCGTTCCGTGTCCCAACCACGTAACAACGCAGACTGGATAACTCCACTGCACTTATTCCTAATTTGCGTATTGGTATAACGGAATACTCGATTAGATGCTAATGTAACTTGTATACGCAAATCAGTCACGATTTCTGTACGCACGAAAGATTCAACGCAGTTTTGCAATTTATGTAAGAAAAGATTGATTCACGCACACTTTTCGACATACTAATCGATGAAAAATGTAATAAATAAATCACCTTTACCTATTTAAAAGATAAATTGATATTAAATATATTTTTCTCTTCTTTTCAGAATGCCAGTTATGTGATCAACAGACGATATTCGAAGGGCAAGATGTCACCGGTATGCCACAACTTCGTCCAGAATGCGTGGAAGAAAGATTTCTGCTCGAACTGTTTCAAATCGCGAGAAGAACACGTTAAAAACGAGAAAGTAACAGAGGGCAGTAAATATTTAGCGACGCCATTCCAAAACAGAGGTGCATTCTTCAAAAAAACACCACCGAGCATACTAAAGATTCATCCAAAGAAAAAGGGTAAACGAAATGTAAGGTTTCCTGAGGAAGTATGTAGCGTTATTGGTTTCGGAGGTGATGATTGGTCTGATGGGGAAGAATTTGAAATTTCTGAGGAAAATGAAGATGATGATATATTCCCGGACACCGAAGAAGAGAGGGAACTTTATAAAATCACAAAGTCTAATACAGACTTTAATACAGTTAAAGCTAACTTATTAGGAGAATCAGTAGCCAAATCGTATACTTCGCTGTTATTAGGAAAAATGCAAACTGATTCTGATGGCAAAAAGAAAACTTTATTAGTATCAGTAACTCCTTTCGGACAAGACAATAAGAGTCCAACTATAAAGTCCCACGTTCGCAAACCCGCCGTTCATTTAGCAGAACCATCATCTGAAAATTCCTCGAATGGTTACAAAACTAACATAGTTCTTTCGTCATATATTAAAGAAACGGAAACTGTTATCTGTGCTGAAAATTCTACAGGTAATATACTATGTACAGAAAAATCTCTACTCGAAGAAATATCAGAAACATTAGGACACAAATATAATAGAGACTCGAATTTAACAAAAGAATCAACAAAACCTACAGTTATTGAGGAGAAAATGAAGGAAAGCATGCAAGATGAAATTGAGAAAAAAGACAATAATGAAATAAGAAAGAATAGTATCGTTAGAAAATCACCACTTACAAAAACGCAAGATAGACCTAAAGTAAATCTTAGTCGATCAGAGTTCAAATTTTGTAAGATTAATATTGAAAACAGTAGCGTTGATTCAGCTGTTAGTACTTTAAACTCTACTGCAAATACTTCATTAGCTTCAGATGATGAAAGCTTTAGTGGGCGAACAGACTCAGATAATGATGACAGTGGCCATTTCTCAGAAACACATAAAAATGAAGAAACTGTTAAAATTAAAGTATTCAATGAGAGTGATAAAAACATTAAAATGTCCCCGATTGGACAAATCAGGAAAGTGGATGGACAAGCTAGCACTGGTTATTCGACATTCCAAAGTCCAATAATCGATTTGCCTCCGATATTGCCTAAACAGCCCGATACCATTTTCTCAGCTGAAGCTAGTCGTGAATTAGCTGGTGAACCTGATGGCCGAGCTGATCCTGATGAAACTAGTGAAGCTCCGGCTTTACCTCAAACTCCAATTCCTCCAATGGATCCTCGACCATCATTTCTACATGGTATGATAACTGATATAATACCTTCTTCTAAACCAGCCTTACCAGAAAAACCAAAGTTGCCGGTCAAACCATTAATTAAACAAAGTACTAAAAAACCTACAGTCAACACACATCATCAACAAATAGCTATGCATATACAACATACAATGAAAAATGATGAAGACAAAGTTATTAAAATAAGCGAAGAAAAAAATAATGAAATAAATGAAGTACATGAAGATAAACCGGAATCAATTTATTATGCTAAGCCAGTATTAACAAAACAAGATAGCGATACGTCATTAAACAGTCTTAGTAAACGTAAAGCTCCAACTCCACCATCATCGCCTTCAGTTGAAGAATATTCCAGTAACTTGTACCAAAGAAATCATAGCGGTTTCGTTAAATCCGATTCTCCTGTTGTAAGGGAAATGGAAAAAAGAGAAAGAGCTACAATGTTATCACCTAAAATAAAACCTGTAGAAGATGTAAATAAAAAAACTGAATCTGTTCCGGAACCAGCACCACGTCGGAATATATCCCTTTCTCATGACAACTTACTTCTCGATGAGAAACGGAAAGGCAAACTGAAATTCTCAATAAAGAAGTTACTTCGTATAGGATCATCGAAAGATTTGGATAAAAAAGAATTGAGTGTCGCCCCAATAGCAAAATTACCCAGCAAAACGGAGGAGATTTACGATTTAACACCAAAACCTAAACCTCGGCTTGTTATTATACATCCTTTGGACATAAATGGGTCGTCTGTCGAGGTAGTGAAATCAAATTGCGAAATCTCAGATTTAAGAAGAATGAGTCATGACGATAATTCTTCAATATATAGTGGAAGTAGCTCTGCAACTGATGTAGAGACACTAAAAGTTATAAATAAACCTCCACCTCCTCCAAGACATTCTAGTGAGGAACACAAGACTGTATCCAACGTGCCAAAACCAGCTCGACCACCACCTCCAAAATCTGCTTCTTTACAAAAAAAGCAAAAACAACAAGCCTGGGCTACTGCGCCGAGCAAAACTGATAATATTTATGCAAATTTAGGTAAGAATTATATGTAAAATCAATGAATATATACAATTACTTATATTATATATGTCATGATATAAACATTCCAATATCTTTATTTTTCAGGAGAAATCAGATCAGCGTTAGCACCAAGAAAGCCAGAGCGCACCGCGAGTATGCGTGAACGAGAAGCACATTTAGAATTACCGAAACGTAGAACGTCAATAGACGACGACAAGGACGAAATCGATGACGGTCCGCAAGAAATTGTGCAAGCTACAAACGAAACAGTCATACATAATTATGATGACGTATATAATTCTGCTAAATATGAGGAAGAAAATTGTGATTCAGCTAAGAATAGCGACAGTGATTATGAATATGTGAACCATGCTCGATCTAGTTCACCAGAATGTGACACTGCTATAAAAGCAAGTGAAAGCACTTCAGTAAATAGAATAGAAACAAGAAAGGTAGAAACTGAATCTTCTGAATTTCCTAAATACAACAATGGAATGTTTAATCGGTCGTCTCTCCCTTATTGTGGCAGTGAAACAGAATCTGAAATTTATTCGCCCTACAGTTTCTATAGTTCGAATGACACTATGGACAGTCCTGGGAATGAAGACTATCAAAACGAAATGTCTTCTAAAAATACTACAAACAAGTTACGAGTGAGAAAGGGACGGAGCGTTGTGCACAAAAACTTAGAAGACAACTATGGTGCTGTCGTTATTGCAAATCATGAAGCTCTCGCCCAAGTTTTAGAACAGGTAATCTAAACAGTTGATATAATATTATTTTACTTTAATGTCATTGTTATTACTACAGACAATAGTTATGTACGATTAGTATGTTAAACTAAAGCAAATTTCTTAAAAAACTCTTTCCTAACGGATGGCTAGGTTACTTATGGATTGCATATGTAAAACCAAGTAATTTTTATTGTATCTTTATAAATCATTCAAAACTTTATCGCCCCTTACGACATCCTAAGGATAAAAAGAAATCTAAGACATTGTTTGCCACCATGACACATTTTGTGTTAGTGATGTCATTTGTCTTAGATTTCAAATAACACAATGACTTGCATACTACAGAAATATACCTATAAATATTATATATAATATAATAATCGATGCGTATGAACTAGGTGTTTCACATAAAACTATTGACTAAACCCTAACCGAAGAAAAAGAACTTAATATATGACTTATTTACCCTTCAGGTCCAACAAAGTGCAACTATGCTGCCATCTCTCAGAGGTTTGAAAGCTTGCACCAACCTACGATGGAACGATTTTGCAATCCAATCATCTGCGAAGAATAGCTTTGTTAAAGCTGGAAAACGGGTTTTCTACCCCGCCATATGGAGTTCCAACCAAGGACCAGTAAATGTTACCCTAATGCTGTACAAAGAACAGATGGCTTCACAAATGGTTTGCCAACAATCAGTACAACCACAGACCTTGAGTTTGAATGCCATAACTGAATTTTGCGACTTAGTACCGTTACAACAATTTGGTGAGGAAGGCGAAGACTTAGTACAAGGTGTGTATTTACCTTATTACAATTGTATGGTAAACTCCTCATCTTCTCATATCAAATCTTATCTATAATTGTTATATAATTAATCTAGTTGTACTACATTTTAATAACATCTATGTATGTATAAAAAAATATCTTAATCATAATGAAATAAAATTTTCAATCATGAACATTGTGATACTTCTTCGTTACATTTATCATCATTATTTTAATTTTTTCAGCCACCATTGTCGTCTTAGCACAAGCTCAAGTGGACACCATCCAATCATACGGCGAGAATCTCCACGCAGCCGAAGGTCTCAGCACCAAGGAATATCAGTTAGTGCAGACTGAACAGATCCACGAGGCTATCTTCATGATGCTTCAACTCATAAATGGACTGAAGTGTCTCCAAGCGCGAGGTCTCGAAGAGATACCAGAGAGTTTGTCGTCCTTTATAGCCTTGAAGGAAATGCAGCCTCTGGTATCACACGGGAGTACCCTCAATTTGCCATCGCCTGATGATAGACTCAATTCATTATGGGCTCCAAAAACTAATTGTTATGGACGACTTTGCATATTACAAGGGTAAGTTGTGTACAATGTTCTTAAAGTGGGCATGCTGTCATGCCTGAATATATATGGTAATTACCACAACTGTAGGTTTTTTTATACAACATATAAAGCCAAACAAGCTGACGGCCCACCTGATGTAATGTTTTTTTTTTGATTGGTGAAAATGGTATGGTAACCCCGCCTGCGCGTAATGGGATACGCTGGCGGAGCACCACTGAAGGGTGATAGATGAGAATGAAAACAGGCCTGTTAGCCCATCATGATGAATTCATCAGGAATTAACCATGATAGTTTCCAGGGGAAACCGCGAGGAGGTCGACCTGGTTGGGTATATTGCTAGCAATGGGATTCTCAATCTCCATTACTAACAATCCCTTTCCCCCCTGATGTAATCTGTTATAGACATGATCAGGACTATGCATATAACAGAGTATAACTGTTTCGTCTATGATACTCTTCGTGCGTTGGTATTCCTGAGGACTAAGATGTTATGTCTCTGTACCCTGTAATTTCATTGCCAAGTGCCAAGCATTCCAGGCTTCTGTATTTACTAACATCAATCTATTATCGCACCCTTTAAAACAAAATATAGTCATAAACACAATTCGCGACAGAAACACAAACTGAATAGACTTTAAAATTACTTCAATAAGCAATATTTTTTTAATGATACTTAAAATGGCAAAGAAACTGACAGTTCATCTGATGAAAAGTGGTAACCGTCATCATCATCATTATACCAAGCTTTAACTGTACACTGCTGAACATAAGCCTCCCCCTTCAGGGATTTTGGCAATAGTTACCACGCTTGGCAGGTAGATTGGCAAACGCAGTTAGGCTTTAGAGATGTTTTAAGAGAAACGCTGCTGTCCATCCCTCGCCCTCCCTTAGTCGCCTCTAACGACACGCACGGGAAAGGAAGGGATGCCCTATTCTTTACTGGGGCCATACGACCATTATAGAATACGATTAATAATATTTATAGTTGTCATAATTTGCCTGTTCGATTCCAGATTGAGCGAAGAGATCAACTGCAAATCGGCAGAGGAGGAACATCTCAATTCTCTATGTAAATGTGCTATCAAAGCCCTCGAGATCCTGCTACCGGGAGAGAAGCTCACGCCTCTACTGAAGGAAGTGCTCCAGGAAGAACGGGCCGTATCCTTGAACCAGGCAAAGTCCGTACTGGAGTTCATGTTATGGGGCCCCTTAGATGTGGTCCAGGGTGTTCCAGTGGATGAGAGGGAGTTGTCTCTGCAGAGGTGGTTGGACTTGGAGAGGGCGACGGTGTTACACGGGCTAGTGAGGACCAGGGTCCACCTGAATGTCTTCGAGCAACTCCACCTGATGTTCTTAGTGCGTTCAACGGCGAAAGTCATGTGTGACGCATCGGTTCTTCTGGAGAAAGCCAATGTATATTGACTTGTAAAAATCTAAGCTTTACTCGATTAAGTTTATGTGTATCGTTAGTTTTTGATGTAGACATTAACCCTCTTCTTCATACAAATGTTAAATCCCTCAGAAACCTATTTTAGCTATTGAACTGTTTTGTCTCTTTCTTGTGTGTTAAATTCCCAATTTGCATGAAAGAGAAAAAATATTATGGTCAAAATAGGTTTGTAGGTGATTTTATTTTTAATGAATGATTTTGAGCTACTTTTAGCATCTACATATACTTTAGTATATTTGAAAACAGTTTTTTTTTGTAATAAATCTCTTTATGTGGCCAAATACAATGATGTTCTACATCACGAAATGTTCAATGATTTCACAATTTCATTGAGTCTGTTATTTAAGTTAGAATTATAGCTTTAAGTTTTGGGCACCTGAATAATTACGTATAGGTCCTTAAAACAAATTGTTCCATCGTTATTTTATTTATACATTAAAAAATATTATTTTAATTGTATAATAATATTCTGCAATTTATTATAATCTTCTGCATCGTAAATTATTTTAATCAAGTCTAGTTTTTTTTTTTTATTTTTATGAACAGTGTTTTGAAAACAATAGTGTCTCTAAATTATATTTATTGTGATTAATTATTAATTACTGTCAGTAGACAGAGCATAAAAGATACAATTCATGTGTTTAATTACATTGAACTTTAAATCAATATCATATGGTTTAGTTTGTCGGTATTTTATACAATTTATAACCCTTGAAAAGGGGCATATATACTCTCTGCTGGGGTGATGACCAGACGATTCTGGAGTGGGCACGACCCCTCTAAATATGCCTATAGTGGCCCCACCGTCAACATCGTTATCGAAAATTGGTTAAAATGAGAATTATTTAAAAGATTCCTACCTATACATATATAACATAGACGTAATACTATAGTGCTTAGAAATGGCAGTGTGTTCTGTGACGTCCATGTTGCTGTTCAAGTCTATAGACAGCGGTTACCACTTTCCATCAGGATCACAGCTTATAAAAAAAAAAAATGAAATACTGTTATTCTACAAAGGAAAATACAATAAATTAGACTATATTAGGACCTGTCATTACCTATATATAGTTAAATACTATTCCTAGTGACTGCCAATAGTTGGAGATTGGGGTCGATTCTAAAACGTAACCTCTTTACTTAATGTTTTAATTCGATAGTTTCACGAATTTACTGTTTATAAACCATCATTAACTAAAATTTATGATAATTTTGACTTAAACCCATTAGAAATATAGTTCATATTGGTCTTTACAATAAAGATTTCGCTCTAATATAAAATTGAAATTTCATTTATATTGATAGGTTTAGAACGTTGGCGCCTCAGAATCGACCCCGTTGATAAATATATTCATAATTTAGGTGCCAATAAATAGAACTGAAGTTATATACTCATTAATATACGTACTGGTGCCTTATATACTTGTAATATACTTATTGTATTGTAAATTAAAATGTAATTTATACCTGTGAGCTCTGTATGTAACCGTCGAGTTCAAAATAATTGTTTAATTTTAAGTTGTTCGTCAAATAAAAATTACAGAATTCATATACGTAACATATTTGTTTTTATTTTTAACTATTAACTCACCTTGGCTTTGCTCGAGTAAGTCTATGGGAATACAAATTACATATAGTGTTTATTTAAAATTTTTGGTACTGTGAATGTGAATGTGAAAAAGAATCTACTTTCCGCGCTTAACCTCTCATTTGGCGTTGTGCGTATGAGTCGTGGCTAGCTATAACTTTTGGTACTTTATATATTTATATTTTTAATTGTAATTTTCGTACGAATTTAAATTTTTTTTAAAATGATATATATATGGCACGGATTTCATTTTTTTTTTTAAAGTTGGCCTACATTACTCGCTGATAATCTAGCTATCTATGGATGACAGAATTTTTGCAATCAGTTAAGTAATTTTTAAATTTATTTATTACAAACAATCATACAAAAACACCAATAACCTCAACAAAAAAAAAATATCTTTATAATATTTGTATAGATACTAGAATCGTATCATATTATCTGTGGTATAAATAACAATCTACGCAGTGTGTAAAGATATATATCTACTTCTTTCGCAAAGTAGCGTAATCATTTTTAACGTGACTACAACAATATAAAGAGTTGCGCTGTACAGACAAGAGACTTTGTACAAAAGTCGATTGCTTGCGTACCTCTGTCCCATTCGTGTTTCAACCGTGAAGCAGTTGTGTTTGCATGGCTGTGTTTCGGTTTGAAGGGTGGATATGGCGTAAATTTACTTGGTACAGAGGAATAACATCTGCGTCCTCAGGAATGGCAACGCATGGGTGGTATCATGGGCGAAATACATGGGAGTCTCGATATATTCATTGATGCCCATATTCATATTTATAGGCAAGAGGTACCACTACACAACAGGTTTTTTTTAATGGACGATAATAACATAATAGTAGCCCCACCTGCGCCATCGGTATACACTAGCGGGGCACCATAGAGGATTGGTGAGGATGAAAAAAAACAGGTCAGTTAGCCCATCGTAAATTAGTCACGATAGTTTCCAGGGGGAACCGCGTGGAGGTCGACCTGATAGGATATATTGATAGCAATGTGGACTAATCTCCCTATTACTAACAATCCCTTCCCCCCTATATAACAGGTTAACAAGTATGGTCTTTTCCAAATTGCATAAAAAAGTTAGATATTAGAAAATAATATTAACAACTCAGTGATTCTGTGATTTAATTGATTTTATATACAAAATTCATATATATTATATAAATACTATCAATAGGTTTCAAATTTTTATTTCCTTTCTCAATCGACTTAACAAAAGAGGAGGTTTACTCTCAGCTCCGTTATTAAACACAGGTTTGGAAAATTCTTTTTTTTATTTAAAAGAATATACCTACGGATTGGTTTCATAGAAATTTTATCAAAATGGATTTAGTAGTTTGGTATTTAAATCAAAATAAATGGGTTTGCCAAGCGTGACAACTATTGACAAAACTACGCTTTTGTGGAAAGCCTATGTTTAGCAGTGGACAGTTAAACGCTGAAATAATAACTGGCTTTTCCACGATTGAATTCGGTTTTTCTTTGTGGCACAATACCTGTTTATCAATATTTTGCTTTTAGCAATAAGGCCGTCCATTGTTTTCTCAGTGTGAACATTTCTTATAATTTTTTTTTATAACACAAGGGCAAACGTGCATGCACCTAATGGTGACTACCGCCGCCCATGATCACTCACAACACTAACGGCATTGCAGGTGTGCTGCCAGCCATTTGTTTGTATCTATAAATTTACTACTGTAGTCTTTTGAAGGAAATAAAGAGTATCTATCTATATATTAGATATATTTATAACCTATTTATTCGGCCATCATCATCATCACTGCAGCCAATTTGGCCACTGCTGGACAATAACCCCCCCTCCCATATATATTCGGTATTAGGAAAGAAATAAAAACTACAATAATTTATTTATAATAATTTATTGTTTTAGCTTCAGAAAGCAACAAAGAACGTTATTACTATTCCAATGATTCATTTAATACGCTTTTAAGTTACTACCAAACTAAATTAGTATGACCTACTAAACTAAATAGTAGGTCCTACCGGTTCGGAAGCGCAGTAGTACAAAGAAAAGTAGTTTATACACATTGATGTAATTATGCGACAAATTAAAAATATTATCTTTGTTTTAGCTTGAAAAAAAAATTAACTTATGCACTTTTTATTTATTAGGAGAGACAAAAAATATAAACACGTCCATAACGTGTACAAATAAAGAACTTTTTTTTATACAACTTAGAATGGCAAACAAGCTGACGGCCCACCTGATAGAAAGTGGTAACCGTCACCTATAGACATGAGCAGTACCTTCAGTTGTTCTAACGTCCTAACTTCGACATTAGGATAGTGGCCACATTATACAAAAGCTGAGTTTTTCTGAATTAAAATAGTTTGCAAGTAGTGTGTCCTCAATAGAAGATGACTATAAGATTATTAAATGACCAAGACAATCATCATCATCCTACATCATCATCATTTTCACCTACACAACATCTATGTACTATAGAACAGTTTATACCTATACTGTTCACCTACGTACCTTACATGGCAGTGTTACTCCAATCTTTTGTCGTTGTGTTAACAAAAAAAAAATTGTCTATTCGTACCATAGACTGTACTAAAACATCGTGAGATATTTTTATACCATCAACCATAACAACTAATTAATAATACACCATAAATTATCAAACAACTTTAATTATTGCTTATAATTCCAAATGTGGCGTTAAAACAAGCATAATTCGTTAGCAACATAACAAAATTAAAATGTTTTTTCAAACATTTAAAAAAGAATGCCAATCTTACAATTTTGGTGCAACATTTCTACTCGATTACAAAATTTGTTATTTTTTCCATAAAACAAAAACTAAATTGAGCGTTACAGCAAATTAAAGACTAGACTTAAAAAAAATATATTTAAAACCATAAAGTGAACAAAAACGGAATATTAAAAAGCGTTCGCAAGGCGTTATTTGGAATGTACATCATGAAAAAAAAAATAAAAAATATATGACACGAATATTAAAAAATGACCAGATCTCATGATTACAAAAAAAACCTACACAAGCTTTATATACAACAAAATAATAATTAGTATAAAAAAATAGCACTAGAGCAAGAAAACATGATGTTGGATAATGGCCTTAAGTCCCAGTGTGGAGATACATAAATCAGTGCCAGATCTAACAATTTGGCGCTGTAAGGAAAATTATTTTGCCGCCATTTTTAAATTTCGGTTAATCTCTTTTTTTATATAACATTTTAAGTTATCATCGTCACTATAAATCGTTAAAATGTTTAAAAAAAAAAACATTAGAATAACACCCACATTTTTTAATGGAATTTTCAATAATTAGTCGAAGCACCTGATCTAAGTACCACCAAATCACTAGACCAATAGGCGTTAACAATTTCTTAAACATTTTCTATTTGTACAATGAAATAATTCTATACTCTTGACACAATATTACAGTTTTTCACATAGATTTATTTTTATTTTTCATTCAAATGAAATGATTCCGCCGTTCATGCGTACCTTATTCTAATTTAGGCTGTATGGGTACAGAGCCTTGGTTTTTCTCACTGGGATAATAGAACAAAAAAAATATTTATCGCGCAATTAGAAAGAGATAGAACATAAGGTTTTTGTTTTGTATTTGTACAATAGAAAATTTATTACAGATAAAATACAGATATATTACCAATCTGCTTTACACAAATGCTTTCGTATTTTTTTAATAATAACAATATAAAATTAACATGCAAGTATGTATGAATAAGTATCGTGTTTACGAACTAGCAATATAATAAAAATTCGTGTGAATCAAGACTAAAGCATGAAAAAAAAACATTCCAAAAAACCAAACAATTGAAAAACAATAAAAAAAATATTTAAAGCTTTAACAATTAAAAAAAAATAGTTGAAACTGTCCAAAACATTCCACTATTTCACGCGTAAATTTTTCAAAATTAAAAAATAACTCTCAATGACACAAATCACGAAGACTTAACAATTTTTAGAATAATTAAAACTTAGTAAACAAAATAGCTACGATTTGGCGCGTAAATTCATAGACATCATAAATTTTATCTCTGAATTTCTAGCACTTTTCCCGCTTTTTTAAAACCATACAAATGAACAGTCATTTTTTTTATTGATGGCTTGTCCCTTATCTCGTAAATTTTTAAAAGAAAATTTGACTCATAGATTCTAAAATTTCCTTACTTTTAGATCTACCTATTAAAATCTTATAGAAATTTCCACAAGACCACAACAAGACAGAACAAGTAACCACTACCTTGTTTAAGAGTCAACACTTCCCTTATATAGCGAAACTGGTAAATGAATCTATGTAACCACTTGAAGTATGAACAATTTACAATAAATTAACACATTGACTGCCACGGCAATATTAAAAAATCCTAAAATGTGACAATTTGATTTTATCACATTAAATTATTAAAACCTGTAATTCTAATGCATATTATCAAAAAACAAAAAGAATTAAACAAATGTTAAAATATCATTTTACTTTTTGAATTTGAATAAATTTATTAATTATATATTTTTGGTTAATTTTTAATAAATTTTCTGTTTACACAATGATTTTTTGTTCCTTTCCCAGAAGCCATCTATCGATATTAGCACTGGTATATTCCAAGTTTAATCATAGCTGCACAAAAATGGCAAGAAAACACAGGACGAGATAACTCGTAGTTGGCGTCCTAGAAAAAAACTCAATCTACGAGTTATCTCGTAGTCGGCAGTCAACGTGTCAATATTCATAGTGTTGTGCAACTATTTATATTACACTTCTACCTTAAGATCTAGCTACTTTAAATGAACTGGTTGAACCTATATTCATTCCGAAAGAATATCGCATTGTTCAAGCTCACTCCCATCACTATTTAGTCTCGACCTGTCTAGACTAGTTCATTTTGGCAAATTTAAAAATTAGACCGTATTTCACTTGAAAATTACAAATTATTAAATATATCGACATCAAATCTTCCGAAAGTAAATCAACAACAACTACTAGTAAAACAGCCAATTGTCAATGGAAACAATAACTCCATTACTTATCGCTAAATAAATTAAAAAAAAACCTAATCAATGAGTGATGCCATCATATGATGACTGACATTTAACGTCAAAATAATGACATTAAATGTCGAATTAGACATTGTTAATATGGGAGCGTATTTTTTTTAAGTAAGGGGATATTGTAGCGTATTTTAAATCCTACTTACGTGACTAATCGTATTACTTTAACAACATATATTCATTTACAAGCCCTTGTTGAAATAAACATACTCCGGCGGGTTTCCACCTGTGTTCTTCACTATTTCATCGTACTTGTCCTTCTCGAAACGCTTGATTGTGTCTATGGACAATTTACTGGAAAAAAAAACATATCTCTGTTCACAATCAAGTTTTTTTTTAATATATTGTTAACGGTTATTAAAAAATATTGGCAATTCCATTTTCAAATAGTAATTTTAACAATAAAACAGAACATAAAATAGTAATACACAATAATTATTTTTTTATATATTGTTAATTTTTATAATCTGTATAATTCTTTGAAGGGAACTATAAAAGGTTTTCATTCATTCATTCATAATTTAATCAATAATCAACTAATGCAAAAATCTTTGTATTTCTTTCAGTGTTACCCTTTTTTACCCTTAAAGAAAATAGTAAATTTTCTTTAAGGGTAAAAAAGGGTATGATAACCTAGCCTGCGCTAACGGGATACGCTGGCGGAGCACCAGTGAAGGGTGATACTATACCATATATATATATATATATATATATATATATATATATATATATATATATAATTTTTAAAAAACAAAAAATTGAGTAAAAAGTGAAAAACAAATAAAATTATTGATTTTTGAATGGATTAGGGTGAGTTTAAGGGACAAAAACCTTGTTCCCTTATTTTTTCCAAAATTTCAATCAATTGGTCCGGGAAAAACCGTTGAACCGATCGCTCCAGGGATTTAGTGGGTTCTTTAAGGAACAATAGACTGTAAAATTTTCCTCAAACCTTAGCTTTCCCGCCCATATTAGCGAAGATACAGCCAAGTAACCAAAAAAGGAGAAAAAGTCACTTTTTTTTTTCAAGTCACTTTTCAAAAAAAAAAACAAGTAGACAAAAAAACATTTTGTTACAAATATATTTATAAGATGAACTCTACAATTATATATACGTTACAGCCTAAATGGTCGCGTACAAAGCGGTTGCACAGATGTTTTCTCCCACGAACGCTCAGGTTATGGAATGAGCTCCCTGCCGAGGTTTTCCCAAGAGACTACAGCATGGGGTTCAAAAGGGGGGTAAAGAGGTTTCTTCAGGGTCGGCAACGCGCGCGTAATACCTCTGGTATTGCAGGCGTTCGTAGGCTACGGTAACCGCTTACCATCAGGTGGGCCGTATGCTTGTTTGCCACCTCAGTGGTATAAAAAAAAATTAATCCTACAATTTCAATAGAATCCATATAAGTTATCAATCTCAAGAGAAACTAATAATAATAGCGTTTAAATATTGACAGTCGGATGCACACTACTGTTAGTGGAATGAATATAGATAAATTACTACATAGTGAACTTACCATCTCTGTGGGAACAATGCACACGCAGTGGGCACCATGAATGTGAGGCTGAAAAAATTTAACATGAGATATTAAAAAAAATATTAATTATATTTATATAAATACTAACGCCCCGATGCAGCTTTGCCACTTATTATAATAAAAACTACTCAATCTCTCAAGTTCAGGGTTGCCAGAAGTGTTTATCCAAATTTCATAATATTTTTTTACAAATTCATACGATTTCTTTCACTTTTTACCCAATCATAAAATTGTATCAATTTTCAATACATTCTGCCCTGTACCACAAAGCTAATGGTAACAATAAAAATCTCTTACTCCCTTTCTCTCTCTCTCTCGCCCCTCCTCCTTCCTCTCTCTTTCTCTCCTTCCTCTCTCCTTGTGCTTCTCATCGCTCTCTCTCTCTCTCTCTCGCCCCTCCTCCTTCCTCTCTCTTTCTCTCCTTCCTCTCTCCTTGTGCTTCTCATCGCTCTCTCTCTCTCTCGCCCCTCCTCCTTCCTCTCTCTTTCTCTCCTTCCTCTCTCCTTGTGCTTCTCATCGCTCTCTCTCTCTCTCTCTCGCTTCTCCTCCTTCCTCTCTCTTTCTCTCCTTCCTCTCTCCTTGTGCTTCTCATCGCTCTCTCTCTCTCTCTCGCCCCTCCTCCTTCCTCTCTCTTTCTCTCCTTCCTCTCTCCTTGTGCTTCTCATCGCTCTCTCTCCCTCTCGTCCCTCTCTTTCTCTCTCTTTTCCTCTCATCTATCTCTCTCTCTCTCGCCCTTCCTTTCCCGTGCCCTCCACCTTCTCTCACACACTCTCCCTCTCTATGACGTGACAGCGCAGCACAGTGTACTCACAACATGCCGACGATGGCGGTCTGTATGCCCACGTGCGCCCACTTGATGCGCTGCATCCACGGCCGGTGCTCGATCCTCTCCATGATCACGGGCAGCAGCAGCATGCCCGGCGCGCACATCACGATCCTGGTGGGTTTACCACGTATAATTTTTCTAAGTAACGTCACATATATCATCCAATCTGAGTATTTGCAATCAAGCTAACAGTCCGCCTGATGGAAAGTTTTTTTTTATACAACTTAGAATGGCAAACAAGCTGACGGCCCACTTGATGGAAAGTGGTAATCGTCGCCTATAGACATGAGCAGTACCGTGAACATAACAGAGTATACTGTTTCGCCCATGATACCCCCATGCGTTGCCATTCCTGAGGACTCAGGTGTTATTCCTCTGTACCCAGTAAATTCACGCCATATCCCACCCTTCAAACCGAAACACAGTCATGCAAACATAACTGCTTCGCGGTTGAAACACGAATGGGACAGAGGTACCCAAGCAATCGACTTTTGTACAAAGTCTCCCTCTGGTATAGTAGTGGTTACCTTACATACCTGGAGGTTACGACCTGCGATATCCCCTTGGCGGGCGCCAATTGCGACTTCCCTATTACTTTATCATTCTCGTCTGTCACATCCAAACCTGAGAACAAATGTAATATTTTACTAATATATTAAATCTGGGGGGAGAGGGGATTGGTAGCAATGGGAATTAATAATCTCATTGCTAGCAATATACCCTATCAGGTCGACCTCCACGCGGTTCCCCCTGGAAACTATTGTGATTGATTTCTTGTTAGGCTCGATAGGCCAACTGAACTGCTTCATCCTCACATATCATCCCTCACTGGTGCCCCGTCGGCGTATACCGTTAGCGCAGGCGGGGTTACCATTCCATTATCATCCATTAAAAAAAATATATGTTAAAACTATAAATAGACTATATCTATACATACATAGAGGATGTTTAATATATATAATATAAAACCAATAGAAGGCATAATAATAAAATTTTAAAAATTTGTCTGTCTATACGTATATTTATTCCCGCATATATTATATTTAATCACGCAAAAATTGCTGCACCAAATTAGATGCGGTTTTCACAACTGTGAATTACAATGAAATGCCTTTATTCGCATTAAACAGCCTTAAAATTATTAACACACGCCACATAGTACTAATTTTGACCTTACTACCTTAAGACAGGGGTTCCCAAACTTATTTTGTCTACTGCCCACTTTGAGAATAAATTATTTTTTAGCGCCCCCATTTTTTCACCTACACAAAAAGCACTATTCAAGATCAACAAATCACCCCCCAAGCGTCTACACAACACCCCCATTATTTTATCTGGGTCTCTTACCACCGGCCCCCCATTAGGCCTACAGCGCCCACAAGAAAGCGTTATCGCCCACTTTGTGAAAGGCTGCTTTAAACGATATAGGAATGGAAATATTTATATTTTATTAAAATATAGCGAAAAATAGAATTATGACGCACTGTTAAAGCATTAATAATATGCCATAAATGTTCATCACTCCTGCGTACAATGAAGCGTTTTCAGCGGTAAAGCCAATGGACGACTGCTAAGTTATTAATAGATAATCACACACAACATCAACCAGTCATAAGAGTCGCTCATCACGACATCGTGAGAACGCCAATCATAACGCAGGAGAAATTTACATGACCTTTCAGGTTTCAAACTATAACTTATTTGCAAAAGAAAACTTAAACGCATTACATCAAATTTATATTACATCAACGCTTCAAAATTATTTATTTTTTATTTACCCTAGTTAAAACGCTTCAAATATTAGGTGTATTTATTCATCATCATCATCTTCATCATATCATCCGTTCATCATCAAAACGCAAACGCACATCATTAATGTGGTACTCCTCCTACTATCATAGGCTTTTTATCATCTAAGCGATCTGTCATTAATAACTTATGTCACGATTACATTAACATTAAATGATCTACATCTATTCTATGTTTTAATATTATATTGTTATTACAACAATTAACACACACTCATATATTATTTATCGCTACATATTAAACATTAAATTTATATTAAATCGTTATACATAATGTCACTTATATAAATTATATTTGCAATGAGAATAAAAGAGAATAATAATTAATTATTCAAATATCGATCGACTATAAAAAATAATACAATAAATTTACAAGTGAAGGAAATGTCAATCAGAGGGGTCTTTACTGCTAAAATTAATGACACGTCAACAATAATATTGATATATTGCTAAAATAAATATAACGCTATTTCAATTGTATGGTTTTTCTATTTCTGAAATTCGCGCATAAGAAGTTGCGGGCAGAAAACTAATCTATACTTATAATAAATCTGTAGAGAGGTCAATTCTGTACATGAAATATATTTCCAAAATAACCATCAGGCGGTGATTAGTGATCGATACTGATGCCAAAAATGCAATCAGTAAAATTTTTGTCTGTCTGTATGTTCGTTATAGAAACAAAAACTACTGGACGGATTTTAACGAAACTTGGTACAATTATTCTTCATACTCCTGGCCAGGTTGTAGTATACTTTTCATCACGCTACGGTCAATAGGAGCAGAGTAGTGAAGGGAAATGTTAAAAATGTCCACAGAAATATGACATCGCGCTTTATACCTTACTAGCTTTCTTGCTAGCTTTCTCTATTCTTCAGTTCCTGGATGTCGTATCGTTAAACGCTTTTGCCATTGAATATCAATCAGCTATATTATATAAATTATATATTTAATTACCTAATATAATTTCGTTTTGCCTCATCAGCGGAATGTTGACCCAGTTGGCCGCAGCCACCGCCACGAATGGTACAAATCTCTGAAATATAAGTAAATAAATTATTAACTGACTTCATTAAGGAGCCAGTTATTAAACGAGTAGAAGAAAAAAAGCTTTATTGCATTCACACAAAACAAAACAAAAAATAATAATATTAATATGTAATAACCAAAGATTTCGGAATAGAATAGATAGGATGCATAATTCACATAGTGTGTTGCTCGTTGTATTTACGACGTTGCCAATGCGTTAGAGAGGGATAGACATATAAAAACGCATCCGCCTTTCGACTAGTCCGTAGAAGTAAAATTCATCAAGATATGTCACTTGGTTCTATTGGCCGTATAACCCTACCAAATTCACATACAACCTGCTTGCATACTTTCTACATAAACTGTGTCGAATATATAATCTAGTAATGCATGATTTGTTATTGACAAATAACTGACATATCAATATGAATGAAAATTTTACATACACATTTTCTATACGCTAGCCTGTTATGAATTGAGAAAAATAGCAACTGATGGTGTATCTTTCGTCCTCTTTTTACTAATTATATTTGCATAAGAAGAAAGGAGGCAACCATATGATTTACAATTTTAATTTTATCATTTATTCTATGTAATTCCTTATTCTTCTTAGTATGTAACAATTTGTTGCCAATATGGCCAACACTCAGCATTATGCTATGGCAGTTTATTTACCGCTACAGCACTGTTATTTTATATAAGCCAAACAGTAACTTTATAAATAGTGTCATCTAGTCCGAAATTAAGCTGATTTTGTTCTAGTCAACTGTCATACATACAATATATTTTTTTTTTTGTAAATACATACATATATGGACAACAACCCAATCCAATGTGTTAATCTCAAAATACCTCCAATATGTCTCTTGTAGTATCGACAGAGCAGTAACTGATAATAATGATAGAATCTTGTATCTCAAATGTCATAAAATTTTTCATACAAAAAAAATATCCTTAATAAATGTAAATTTTTCACCCTGTGTAAAAAGTGCCTTTTAAAAAACGTTACGCTAAAACTGACGAATACGACCAACAATGTAATAGAGAAACGTATAGTTATGAAGATGTTTTACAAACAATAAAGAAATTTAAGTATTTTATAATTTTATTTTTTTTAAACAATTTCATACTACTCCGACATGAAATTTCTTTTTTATCGTAATGTATATATCTAATACTATGCCCTGTAGCAGGGAACGCAGATAATTTGGTAACACTTTATATAATAATGTCATACAGAGGCAAATAAAGGCAATACTTACAGCCAGAATAGGATTCGTAGCGCGCTTCTGCACCACGAATTTAAACGTTAACGCCGTGGCCATAGCGGCTGATGTCGCCGAAACGTATGCGACGCCCATCTGCGTCGTCGTGAGCGGTGAATTCGCGTTTCGGTTCGTGTAATTCACGAGCGCGTTGAACGACTGGTTCACCCATTGCCAGAACACCACGGCCGTCGCGGTTCTGTGACAAATACAATGCATCAGTACAAGTGTCTGATCTAGCAATTTGCCGCTGCGGAAAAAAATTACCGCTATGGGCAAAAATTACTGATATGAGCAAAAATTTACGCTATAAGCAAAAAATTTCCGCTATAGGCAATAATTACCGCTATGGGCAAAAATCAGCGCTACGAGCAAAATAACCACTAAAAACGGAAAATACTGCCATGGACCAATAACGCCGCTAGGAGCAAAAGTCATTGCTATGTGCAAAAGTAATTGCTATGGGCAAAAGTCATTGCTATGGTCAAAAGTCATTGCTATGAGCAAAAATTGCCGCCCAGATAAAAAAACAGTTTACTAGCCTTTTAAACTGCCAGCAGTCCTAAATTTTGTCGCTCTGGGCATTTTTGACCGGATTTTCCCGAATTGTTTTATCCCCTCGCAAAAAGCGACTAAAGGTATTAAACCGTCCCTTTAGTCCCTCTTAAAACGTCATTGCATCAAACCCTAACTGGCAGTTAGCAATCCGCCTGCCAAGCATGGCAACTACTGGCAAAACCCCCCAAGGACACCCCCACAGTTAAAGGCTGATATGATGATGATGATATTATTAATAATATATACAAAAGTTTGTAACAATTGATGGATGGATGTTCTGTTACTTCTTCATGTAAAATCACTAAAGGGAATTCAATAAAAATTGATACACGGGTTGGTTATATTCTAACATATGCTATGTTAGGATATAACCAACACTGTAGGACACTTTATATACATATCCAGGCGGGTGACGCCGCGGTAATCAGTTAGTCATATATAAATATGAAAATTTGAAATTACAGATGGATGTCTGTTACACTTTCACGCAAAAACTACTGGAACGGATTTGATTGAAATTTGATGTACGAATAGGTTGCATCCCAACTTAGAAGATGGGGGGAAAGGGATTGTTAGTAATAGGTTAGGTTAGGTCGACCTCCTCGCGGTTCTCCCTGGAAACCATCGTGATTGATTCATTAGTGATTTGTCACGATGGGCTGATTGACCTGCTTCATCGTCACTTATCATCCCTCACTGGTGCCCTGCCAGCGTATACCGATAGCGCAGACGGGGTTACCATACCATTATTATCTATTTACAAGAAACTTAAAATACAGGATTGCTTGAACATTGTTTCAACTGTGAAGCAGTTGTGTTTGCATGACTGTGTTTCGGTTTGAATGGTGGGATATGATAGTAAATTTACAAGATACAGAGGAAGAACACCTGAGTCCTCTGGAATAGCAACGGATGGGGGGGTATCATGGGGGAAACTGTATACCTACTCTATTATGTCCATGGTACTGCTCATGTCTATAGGCAACGGTTACCACTTTCTATTAGGTGGGCCGTCAGCTTGTTTGCCATTCTAAGTTGTATCATCATCACTTATCATCCCTTACTGGTGCCCCGCCAGGGTATACCGATAGCACAGGCGGGGTTACCATTCCATTATCATCTATTTACAAGAAACTTACAACATAGGACACTTTATATAATATTTCGCGCAAGTGAAGCCGCGGTACACAGGTAGTGTATAAATAATATTCATATCTGTAATAGATATGAATATATCTATTATATGCTACTTAGCCTTTGTACCTAAATAACATATTATCTACTTATCTGGTCGTATTAAGTTTACATGGGCATAATTATATAATTTAATTGTATTGTTGACTTATTAAATATTATGACTGCACGAACAATAAGTTACTTTAAGTGGTTTTTGTTTGTCTTGGCATTACACAAAACCTAATAAAAATATATATATATATATATATATATATTTGTACAAAACTCGATTTTGCAAGCAATCGACTTTGTACAAAAGTCGATTGCTTGGGTACCTCTGTCCCATTCGTGTTTCAACCGTGAAGCAGTTGTGTTTGCATGGCTGCGTTTCGGTTTGAAGGGTGGGATATGGCGTGAATTTACTGGGTACAGAGGAATAACACCTGAGTCCTCAGGAATGGCAACGCATGGGGGGTATCATGGGCGAAACAGTATACTCTGTTATGTCCATGGTACTGCTCATGTCTATAGGCGACGGTTACCACTTTCCATCAGGTGGGCCGTCAGCTTGTTTGCCATTCTAAGTTCTATAAAAAAAAAAAAAAAAAAAATATATATATATTCCATCAGGTGGGCCGTCAGCATGTTTGCCATTCTGAGTTGTATATATATATATATATATATATATATATATATATATATATATATTTTTATTTTATTGTTTATGTCTGGTAATGTTTTTATTTTTTTGATCTTATCTTTATAAATATATGTTGATACATAATTATACATGTATGTATGTATTCATGACCGACTATCTATAAATAGTAATTATAACTATTTCGAGTAAAAACCATGTTTTATAATTATTATAACAGACTCTTTTACATAATTTAGCTTTTTCACGGGCATAGACAATTCTATACCCAGTTTAATACTCTTTACTTCATTGAAATGAAATGAAATGAAATTTATTTGTTATAAAAGTAGTACATAATAGATGGTATGGTTATTTATGTTATATAGATCTCACTTTTAGTCCTTACAGACATGCAAATACATATTTGAATTAATCTATTATTATTCTTTATACAATTCAATTAAAATTAAATATTATACATTTATTATTATTATAAAAAGTAATAAAATTATTTTTTATAAAACTGTCATTATATTCATTACGAATGTTAAAATCATGTCAAGTTCGTATTGTCAACATATTATGTTTTCTAATAATTATAGTTCAACGTCGTTTATACAATCACATATTGTATAGTAACATTTGTGAATTAATATCATTTCCGTTTTCTACTTTTTTATTTATTTTTATGCTTTTGTACATTTACTTATAGTACAGATATTAGGTTATAATAAAAATGTACACAGACGGACTTATACCTTAAAGGGATTACTTCTACCTAGAGAACTCAAAAGGAGGAAGTATCTATAGAGTTTGTATATAAAGCATAACATATATGGTGCAAAAAATATATCATAAATAATATGATAAACAATTAATTATTATTAGCTATATAGTAAGCAACAGAGGATAAATAAATTAAATTAGAAATATATAATATGCATATAAACATATTAATATATATATATATATATATATATATATATATATATAGATACATATATAAATATAGCTAAATATATATATATAAACATAGAATAACTATTATACATATAAGTAACACAACTGTAAATTGTAATTTTTTTTGTTTGTGCTTGTTTGTTTTGTTTTCTTTTAGCTTTTCAAAGGTTAAGTGTAAGAGATCCCTTTGTGGGATAAGTCCGCCATTGAATATTAAATCATTTATCAGTGCTCAATTTGAATTATGTGCAATAAAGACTTTACAATACAATACAATATGACGGTGCATGTATTCTGGTATCATTTGGGAAGGAATACCAGAGTCTAGCAGCTTGCACTGTGAAGGATTTGGTATAGGAGCGGGTGTTATTTTTTTTTTCCCGATTATTAAATATACGATTTTTCAAATTCTTTCCTAAATGTAAAGCATGAAATTAATATGTAAATAAAGCCGATATAAATATAATACATCTGGATCGTATTAATATTCATTACATTACATTACGAGTTTTAACTGATTTGGCCGTGACAAGTAACTATTATGATATAGTCCCTCTATAAGGATGCAGAAGCTAGTAGTGATTAAAATATCTTCATCATCATCATCATCATCATCATCACCATATGTCATTAAGTCCACCGTTGGACATAGGCCTCTCCCCGTTGGAGTATTTTGCTAGTAGTCGTCACGTTTGGCAATCGAGTTTGCTGTCGCAGTTAGGCTTTGATGATGTAAAACGTCATCAAAAAAGGAGGACACTGGATTCACACGCCTCGACCATTTTTTTTTTTTGTTCTATGTACTGGATTTGGATTCCCAAGCACTTGCGGTTGCGCTTTTGATGTACGCTCGCATATGCCAAGGTTTGCAGTCGATTAGGTAATTATATGGGTAAAGAATTTGGGCTTCATCATTAAGTGGGTACTTTTTTTTTTTAAATGGATGATAATGGAATGGTTACCCCACCCGCGCTATCGATATACACCGGCGGGGCACCAGTGAAGGATGATAGGTGAGGATGAAGTAGGTCAGTTGGCCCATCGTGACGAATTCAACAAGAATTGTTCACGATGATTTCCAGGGGGAACCACGTGGAGGTCGACCTAATAGGGCATATTGCTAGCAATAGAACTGTCAAACTCCATTGCTAACAATCCCTTTCTCCCCATTAAGTGGGTACTAAGAACATAACTTTTAAGATAACCTTTCTAATGCGGACTGATGGGCGGTGAGTTATCGTAGTGGAATTTACGATTTACAGGTTAACAGTTGATGGAGTCAATAGAAAATTTTGGAAAAGGTTTGAGACCTTTTGAAGAGGGTGAGCATACGCCTCGACCATTAAGTTCCCTTAGTCGCGTCTTACAATACCCACGGGAAAGGAAGGGGTGGTCCAATCTTTGCAGAGGTCACACGGCAGTATGGCAGTAGGGCAGATGTGGTGAAAAATATGTGATAATTATAGTAACACATTAAGGCAATACACAATATAAATATAATATACACATAAGAAATGCACATATAATACATAAACATTACTTTTAATATATATGGATAAACTAATACATAAGAAATATATACATATATATACATACATATATATATGTATATATATATATATATATACATATACATAAATTAAAACAACGATAAGCATTATGAGATATAATAACTATTGAGTAACCTGTAACTAGAGATGGTTTTGTTGACTCAACAAATAATTAAAAAGTCTTCATACATATCTATCATTTATATGCAAATAGCGTTCTAATTTTGAATTACTCAAAAAATATGTGAACAATTAGTAACATACTTTTAAATTAGGTTCTAAGGTTAGCCAGAAAACTCATAAGTGCTCATATTCAAGGCAAACGACCTATTTATAAACAAATTATCATGTAAGCGATTTTATGTGACGGTAGAACAATTTTTGGCAACATACCTAATATATGTATTTCGCGCCAAAACTTATTTTTACCTGACTACCAACGAGAACTTTTTTTTTTCGAATAAGAAGGTATGTCTTATCTTTTGTTTATGACATTATTTGGGAAACAACCTTAGTAAGTTTTTTTTTATCGAAATAATAGTGCTTAAAATAAATAAATAGGTATAATAAAAACTTTTTGTTATATTCGATTATATTATGACTGTATTACATATTATTACATTTTTATCTTATTTTTTAAAGATCCATCGTCGTTACATTCTTACAAAAACATAATGACTCCATTTAAATTTAAATAATAAAAATAAAATAAATGTTATTATTAAAAGTTGCGTAAATTATAATTTAGTTTTAACGGAGTTTCGGTCTCGAATTCAAGTCTCGATTAAGATTTTTTTTATGGTAAATATAATATTAATGAATTTATAGAGAATAAATCTCGTACGTCCTGATTACAAGGTCATTTTACAAGCTAATACTTCCGTATTGTTTTGTACTGTTGCATACTGTTTCTTATAGCAATGACGGTAAGGATCAAAATTGAACAAATAATAGAATAGCTATATAAATGTATATATACCCGTATCAGAGGTAAAATATTAAAATAAAATAGATCTTTTGCATACCGACACATAAATAGGTAACTTTCCACACTATCATGCATAGTAAGTACAGAATTTACATACAACGCGTTCGTTTTTCGACCCTGGACCATTTAAGGATGTATTGTATAAGTTTTTATATCAAAAATGTGGAGTGGCAATTTTTTTTATTCAAATATATATATATATATATATATATATATATATATATATATATATATATATATATATATATATATAATTTAAAAGTTAATATATATATGAAAATATATACCCTATACAGTTTGTAAATAATATTTATTGCGAATACTTTTTGTTTTTCTTTTTTTTGCCTTAAAAATTTTTCCTTGATCATCACTTCTTATGGCATCCTTTTAAAAAGTTGCCAATTTTGTTTTTTATTAATCAAACTGTGTCAACTTTACAAAACGTGTCTCAGAACTTTGTTTCTTGGTAATTGTTAATCTGCTTAATAAATTAATATGTGCGATATAACTATATACTATTGTATACCATATAATATATACTAAAATAAGTTTATAACGCTTGCTTTTCGAAAATAGAAAAAAAAACCAATAAAAAAAACAACAAAAACATATTAAGAAAAAAAAAATAGGAATCAAATATTACCTGTACCACTGCAACATGGCTCCCGTAACAAGACACCCACCAGGCATCTGGAATGACATCCTTCCGAAGACATTCTGCAGCTCACCACTGTCCGGGTGGAATGCTGATTCATAGAGCTGCTTTGCTTTTACGACCTTTTCATAAGGCGTATCCTTTGGCTCTTTTCCTGCTCTAAAAAAAAAATATGAAAGATGTAAAAAAAAAAAACAAAACTTAAACCTAATTTTAATGGCCAAAATGCCTCATGAAACTTTTATTACTATATCAGCCGTTAACTCCACTGCTGAACATAGGCCTCCCCCTATTGGGTTGTTTTGCCAGAAGTTACCACACTTGGCAAGCGGGTTGGCAACCTTAATTAGGTTTCAGTGATGTTTTAAGAGAAATGCTGCTGCCTATCCCTCAATCATTAAATTCCCTTAGTCGCCTCTTACCCGCAGGAGAAGCAGGGGTGGCCTATTCTATGCTGGGACCACACAATAATAAAACTAGTTTCACGTAAATTATAACTTTCATTGACGGTTTCATAAATCATGTCTATAGGCGACGGTTACCACTTTCCATCAGGTGGGCTGTCAGCTTGTTTGTCATTCTAAGATGTATAAAAAAAATCTCTAATTTTGTAAAATATTAAACTAGAAACTAGAACCAATATTATTAGGCTAAGTTGATCTGAATAAAGGCTATAAATAAAACAAATAAAAAAAAACATACTTCTGTAGATTTCTCAATTACTATATATAAAGCATAAAAAAAAAAAATAACAGAATCATTTATTTTATCTTTACTGAGTTTTACTTCTTATCTGTTCAAAGGTTATTGCCAATCATAAATTTATTATTCTATAAAATGTATTTATAAATACTTATTATTGTTTACCAAATTGATAACATAAAATAAGCCCTTATTAAAGATAGTGTCTGCTCTGCTTGGACCTGACCTAAGGGACTTCGAGTTCTTTTTTTATGGTAGATGATGAAATAATTACAATTACCTATTCTAATAGCATATAATAGCAGGACACCAGTGAAGGACAAAACAATAATAATATGGCAAAGAGGAAATAACAGACAGTAACACAACAGTTTTCAAAGTGAACCAAGTGGGAAGTGGACCTTCCCATCCTCCTCCATTTAAACACATTAAACAGTTAAAAAAACTGTTCTAGGTGAATGAAATTAACATAATTATCAGGATAAGGGCTTTGCTATATATAATTAAGGCATAATTATATAATATTAATTTTATCGCCATATAATACTTTTTATAATAATTTCAAAGTTTTTCTTAGCATTATAGTTTAAATACATATTAATCGTGGTTTTTATTGTGAACATTGTATTACTACATAATGACAGACTATATATTAGTAGCCTACATAATAATACCTTTTTCAACAAAAGTTATAAAAGTGAGGGTAGTTTTTAAAAACATTGCCATACACAATTATTGATATGTAACACTTAATTTTTAGTAATGTTACAGGTGTAATATTAATGGACTCAGATAATTCGTTATATATGATATGAAAAAATTAAGCACTTACTTTAAATGTGAATTATAAAAAACTTACTTGTACTGAAAATACAACTCTTTGGCTTCATACAACTCTTTTTCAGGCACCAAGGACAACAGGGGATTGGAGATGAATGCAAAATGCCTGAACCTCCCAAAGAATGTGCTTTGATCCCATAGAGGCTGTGTGATGTCTATCCTTTGAACTGACATTATCTAAAAAAAATCTCATTATAGAAATAAGAAACTAGCATTGCAGGGTTAAGATGTTGTTTTTTCCTAGAAACTAATTGATGAAACTTTATTATATAATATTAAAATAAATTGAATAAAATAATAATAATAAAACTGTGTATTATTAATACATAAACAAGGAGTGTAAAGAAAAGATAGAATAAAGGAATATTCATTACATTTTCTGTGCCTACCCAAAAAGAAATATAACAAAATAGCTTATAAAACCAAAGTTTGTAATTAGTCAAATTAATCTTATGAATCTATTTATTTATTTTTTTATTAAGAGGGTATCTTTAGTGGCAGTTTACAGAAGAAACACGTTTAATATGTAGTTATACAGTTTTTTTATATACATATATTTAATTATTATGATTCATGTGGTCAGCATGATATTATTTTACATAAAAATTGATCAAATAATCTGACCGTTTAGTTAACTCGCTGATAAAAATAAATGGTAATAAGGTATATTATGAATAACAATATGAAAATTATATGGGTATTTTACTAAACATATTCTATTTTATATTTATTACACTTAAATAATAAAAAGATGTACCATTACATTATAAAAAAAAAAACAGTGGTTTAAACATATATGGAATTGTAAATACACTAAAATAAAAAGAAACAGATTATGTAAGTTACAAACTTATAACAGATGTAACCTTCGATAGTAATGAAAAATAAGTTTGAAACTTACAATACTTAATTGCTTTCTGCTTCAAAAGAATTTGTATTTCACTTTTTAAATGAAATATGAGATGCGTACGAAAGACGTACAGCGACAGAGTGGTTTATTCAAGTTTTATCTTATCTTTTGTAGGTATAATTATTGAATATTTTTTTGTGAACTAACATGTCAACTGTCAAAGTAAAGAACTTGTGCATTGAGCTGTGATTTGTCATTGTCAGGTGTCAACGATCAATAAGGTATATTTTGATATTCCAGACAAATTATCTTTTTGAAGACTAGGCAGCATGGTCTCCGACCTTAGCCTGTTCCAAACGGAACAAACGTACTAAAAAAAAAAAAGTATATTTTGAAAATTTTTCTTTAACTTTGAATTTAGGAGTCGTCACCCGAAAAAGTAAATGTAATTTTAAAAAAAAAAGTTTGTTACAGGCTAAAAAGCTAAAAATAAAAAGCTTCATGTGGCTTTGTTTCCATTATAACTAAGATATAAGTGTCTTTGTCTTTTTTCTTTTCTCAATGTCCTCTATCCAAAGGTTGTCTGGAAAAGATTGCTTAGCAATTAGGCCGGCTTTTGTATCATTTCTTATTAAAATTAACTGTATTTACTATTTTATAAATGGTGCAATAAGGTGTAAAATAAATAAATATAATGACACTCCCTCCTTAATTCTTAATGTACTTATATTGCTTACCTATTGTGTTATAAGACTATCTGTTTATAGTATTGCAATAGAACAAACTAAACTATACCGCCAGTAGGAAAACAATATCTTAATATTTTTATCATTAGCTATGAAGTCTAATATGATGAACTCCTTTGGCTTATTTATTAGTTAAGAATCTTATTTATTTTTTAATGATTTCAATATGTGTTTTAATTAATCCTCAATAAACAAATTCTTCACGATCGAAATAAAGCAGTCTAAAAAGATTATTCTGGTTTACTAGTGGATAATCTAAAAAAAGAAATTAAATTATCTTTGGTGATTGGTCTATGGATCGAGTTAATAAAAATATGGCGGCTGTCGTTTCAACAGCCGATATGACGATTCAGAAGAATTCGCAGATTTTAGTAAATGTTGAGGAAGCATTGTCTGACTTAATAGTTGTTTCATATTGTAGTGAAGACAAAAAATTTCAAGGTGTCTTATTAGACTCTAACAAAGGGTAGGTACCAGTATTTAATGTCGAGTGCTGTCCATATCGATTAATAAAAAAAAACTGAAGCCTAAATTTTATAATTTTTGCAGTAATTTACCGTTCGGGGTGTATAGTCTACATCCAGCATTTACTAAGCAAAGTGTATCCACCGATAGTCAAGATGATAAATTACATTCCGCCAGTCAAAGATTCACATATCAGGAGCCTCAATACGCTACTGAAAATGCACAGAAATCAAAGAAACCTGGACCCAAGGGTAAAACGCAACAAAAACAAAAGATGACGGTGCGACTACGACCTCGCAAGGTATTGTGTTCCAACTGCAAGGGGATATGTAACGAAAACAGCGAAAATGTGGACGTGTCTAAGAAACGGAAGCTAGACTCAGACGACGATACCGCCCATAACACTGAGTCATCTAACGTGGAAAAGAAATACCTAATGGGCAGTATGCTTATACCCAAACTGTCCAGATTACAACCCAGTGAAATAACGAGCGCGATTAAGAGCGCCCCAAAAAATTCCAATAAGGCTAGTGATAAATCTGTAAGCAAAACAAAAAGTGAAAAATCTAGTGAGAATATGCGGGCAACCCGTGAACTCGCCTTCGTCAGTGTTTCTGAAGGAGATTTATGTGATAGATCGGATCAGAGAGATGAAAGTGGCAATGATATTTCATTTAATTCTATGTTTTCGAGTGCACGAACTCTTAAAATATGTTTCGGCGAAGGAGAGGGCACGGTTGTGAAGATTCCACCCCTGTCAGGTGACTACAATGAGGATTCTGGTGTTTCCTGTGACATATCTAAACCAGCTAAACCTGATCTGAGGGCTGCAAAAAAAGCGCTGAAGAAGGCTAAGAAACAAGCGAAAAAGAATAATACTGTAGATAAAAGTGATGTAGATGTGTGGATGGAACAGTCACCGAAGCACATTGGGGCTCTATCACCACGCAATAATGTTTCCAATCACCCAATGACTGATCCATTAGAGAAAAAACACAAGCACAAAGTGAAGCATAAAAAAAAGTATAAATCACAAAAGAAACGAGATGAGAATACAAGTAAATGTGCTGATATTGAATCAGTTGATTACTTTAGTGATATAAAAGACAATTGCCTCAATCAGAAGCTGTCTATTAGTTTGAGAAGATTGAGTAGAGACTCTTATGAGAGGCGAAGTGAACAGGAGGTAATGGAGAGTGGATCTGAGGATTGGGAAAGTGAAGTTGTGCCAGACTTCCCTGAGAACAGTACAGAAGGTGTTGGTGGAAGATTGTTACGGGTATCTCCTGGGGACATTGTTTGGGGGAAGGTAGTTGGGTTTCCATGGTGGCCGGGCCGAGTTCTAAGTGTTACACCAACGTCCAAGGCTCATGTTGCATGGTATGCTTCTACTACATCTTCACTGATGCCATGTGATAGCTTGAGTCCGTTCTTAGAAGACTATAAGGTATGTCAACTTTCCCTCATTTATATTTTTAACAATAGTATACTTTAGAAGATAAATTTATAAAAACTACACAAAGTGATTCATATTAATTTCTCTACTGATGATTCTGCTGCTTTAGAATTTTACTTAGAATGTCAGAGATTTGCAATAGCTTGTATAAACTACCTACCTAATTCAATTAATTAATGTATTCATACTTATGACCTCTCATGAGTACATTTCATCTGGTATGGGTTATTTTCATTACATGTTGTACTTAAATTATTTTAATTATAAGCATAATTGTATAGTCTATTCCAAGTTACATCAAAATCTGATTAAGTAAAAAATTGTCCTAATTTAAAACTCATCACTGTTTTTTATGAAAGTCTGTCTTTTGGAATAATATTAACTTTTGTTTTTAAAGCAGAAAAACTAAAAATAAATAATCATTTATTTTCATCTACTTAAATTTTAACACCTGGTAAAATTCTATGTATATTTGACACACGCACGCACACATGTACTCACCTTTTTACATAGTTTTCCTTATTTATTTATTTATTTTTTTGCAAATAAAGTGTACTAATAAATAGGTAATCACACTCAGAGTCCCCAAGATACAGGTCTGACCTAGTTTGGGGACTGATGGTAATGCAGATATTTCCTCCTTGAATATAAACTTAACACCGGACAGTGTAGTCAACTGTTGGGAAACTGAGAAATAAGTATATATCCTGGTTTCAAACAACATGTCTTTCAAGATCCTATTTAGTTACAGCATTTAGGATGTGATTTGGCCTTGTTGTACTTGACAATTTTTTTTTATCTTATGGGAGTTAAGCAGTCACCAAATGGTACATATTGTAATAAAAGACCTTTTACATTTGCCGGTGGATTGTGGTCGGAATTGCAATCTGAGACAACAAATTCTGGGGGATATACTTCTATATGTATAATGGTAACATTAATGTAATTCTTTGTCAATTTGGCAGTCGATGCCAAGTGTCTATATCTGTGGGTAAAGGTGTCATTGAAGAATTGACATGACAAACCTAACATTTAGACATTCCCTATAAGGCTGGCATAGTCACCTAGATGACATAAAATTTGAATATATATAATTAAAAAGTAAACACAAAAAAAAGTCGCTATTTATGTAAAAATGAAAACGATGTGTTCATTGCAATTTCAGATACGCTTTAATAAGAAAAAGAGGGGTCCATACAAAGATGCTGTTAAGCAAGCTACAATTGAGGCAAAGAGGAACGAATCTCTACTAGGCGATCCTCTAGCGAGCCCCACTCATGCTGCTCTCACCATGTCGCCGCGCCCCATAGATGTGTTCTCTTAAAAGTTAATTAGTATTTGAGGTAAATGTACAGTCGAATTTATTCAATTTATGTGATATTATAAGGACATGGAACAAGCACAAATCTGGGACTACACCAAGTGTAAAAACAACAATAGACCTTGAAAATAAAACTTTTACCTAAAATTCTTTTATATAGAAGTTAACAGAGCCCAATTAAACTCTTTTGCCTTTCCAGGCAAAAAGTAACATTTGGCCCACTGGTGGGGCTCAATCAGGCCCTGTTAAATAGGCTCTATTAAGTAGGTTTAACAATATGTTTACCACTTAACAACCTGTTCAATAACAACTTCACTGTTCTAATATTAGTCTGGTTTATTGGCATGTGTGTGTAAAAAAACATCACAAAACTCATCTTCTAGATTTAAACTACGCATAACTGTTTACATAATTTATTAGATTCAGTAAAATCAATGAGGAAACTGCAATTTGCTGTAGTCGTTTTAGCATAATTTGCAAATAACCTAATGTCAAAAGTTTTGTATATGTTTATAACTGAACTATGCGAATTTAATGAACTTTAGGAAAAATCATTATTGTTTTTTATTACTCTTTTTATAAAGGCATTATTATCTTTATTTACATTTATTACGATTATATACTTAATATTTTTTATATGGCCACTGACTAATTTCAGTTTTGTTACAAAATTGCAAAATCTAGTTAAGCACTAGTCACAACTCTGCGCTGTTTTATGTGGTAGTTTATAATTCATTATATTACTAAATTACAAAAATTCCAGAACAGCATTTTTGAGTCACATAATTAGGAAAATTGGCCCCCCATAAAGTAAGAACATGCTAAAAAATAATAACTAATTGCCAAGTGTCTGACTATAAATAAATTTAAATGTAGATCTGTTCATTCAAATTGCTATAAGTGAAGTCCCAGACCATTGTATGTATTTCTTATATATATAAATGTATGTATAAATGTGCACAATTTCTATTGCACTTTGCGCTAACATTACAATGAATAAATACATACAATGGACTTTCAAAAGTAGAATTTTAAGATTTTACAATTAATGTTACAATAAAAAATAAATTGATATTTTCTGGGTGTTAAAATATTACTCATATTAGGTACTTATTTCAATGTTTCGAAGGTCGAAAATCATGTAAATGTAATACAATATCTGCCATGTCCTCTTATATGCTTTGTTCTAAATTATGGAGTATTATAGTTCTGTCATTCATTTTTACGATTTGAAACAACAAAACAATTACAAGTATTTGTATTTATGTCTTTACATGTATAGTAAATTAATATATAGAGTTTTACACATATTCAGAGACGAAATAGTTATTTACGGTCTATAGAAAATTATAGCATCATGTTCAAATTCAACCTGTGCCATTTTTGCTTACAATATAATATTATAACTCTGACTCAAGTTTACTTCTTCATTCTGTAGATGCTTACATTATTTATACCATAAAGTACTAAATTCCAGCATCACCCTTTACTATGATATCTAATAATATTTATATGTAAACCTTTCATCCACATGAAATGATCAGAAATCATAGATTTGCAATCACAAGTATATGTTATTATATAAAAATTAAAGTTAATTTTATTACAGTTATTTTCCAAACTAGAGAGAAGAAAAAATAGGTTAATAGATTCTTTCAAGTAACTCAATTTCAAGCATTTTTAATAGTTTTTTTTTCTGTGTTAAATTCTTAAAGTGATTTCGACTAACAAGAACGGGTTGATCAATTAAATGACATTACTGATGATATCTTGTCTCCAATCATGTAATTTTATATTCGATAAATTTTAAACTGTTATTCTGCCTAAATTGTGAATTTGAGTCAACTTTGTCTCTAAAGTGTGTGGTAGCAAAATTTTGCAATTTCCAAGTGTGTACTTGTGTAATTCCTTTGTTTTAATAAAATATTACGCAATAACGAAATATAATGGTAGGCACATTTTGAATAGGTAACAATATGTTTTCTGAGAAGGCTTGTAAATAGGTACTTATGTAATTATTCTTTTCTGGCACTGTCAATGTTAAAACACACTGTGTTATGTTCATTCCTTTTATATATATTTTTCTCTTGACTTTGAAGCATTTTTGTATATTTGCTTTATTACTTATTATCATCTATTTTGTACCTAACTTTACACATATGTATATATTAATAATTGAAAAATAAAAATGTTTTCAAATAATTTTTAAGTATAACATATGTCTAAAATTTTTTTTTTTTATATAATTCAAAGCCAAGAGAATAAAGTTAATACTTCTTTGTTGTTTATTTTTAAGTACTCTAATTTTATAAAAACAAGTTATTTTTTTTTTGTTTTTACGATAAGTGGTTTTGGTTACTGTACACAAAAAAAAATTCGTTAAATCAAAAGTAACTGAATATCTCTCACGTGTCATAGACAATTTATTTTGTAGAATCCATAAAATATATTTTTTTATTGTTAATAAATATCTGTTAAGTTTATGTCATCGCAACTAAATTGCTTATTAAAAGAATCTTATTTGACTAAGTACTTGAAATGAAATTTTTGTACCTAAAATACTATGTCATAAAAAAATCTACAGTACAGATATGGAATATTGAGAAAGATGCACTGCTGGTATTGATTCAGTTGATGGTCGTAACTAAATAAAAAGAAACTGGAATTTCTTATTTTTTATTACATGATTCCTTTATTTTTATAATTACTTGTGTATTTTTATGAGAAAAGTCACAGATTTCACTGATATTAATAGCTCGCATATTGCATATATGCTTGCATCATATATATATATATATATATATATATATGATGCAAGCATATATATATATATATATATATATATATATATATATGATTCTCATTGACTGACTGATCCATATATCAATACACAACCTACACTGCTAAATCTTGAATCTTGAAATTTTGCAGATAGGTTCATTATATGACATAGGTAAACAATAAAAAAAGAGTTTTGAAAGTTTAGGGGTTAAGGGGGTATAACGGAGGTTGAAAGCTTGTATGGAATTTGATCAGTTTAGAAGTGAGACACGTAAAATATTATAGAACAAGAAATCTAATACAATATGTGAACGAAGCCGTGGGCAAAAGCTAGTAATGAATATAAATTACATTCAATAATTTTGGTAGACCAATATTTGCCACTGTTGTCAATAATTTTGGGGACCAATATTTGCCACTGTTGTCAATCAGGTTGGAATTCGGCTATATATGGTTATCAAGCCACCGATACATCTAGTAAGTTTACTAGCAATGCTTCTTTTTTAATATTTCAAACCCAATTAAGTTGGTAACAATATTTTTGTTTTTTTATTACTCTATACATATTGTAGTTATGACAATATCATGTAAGCAAAAATAAGTGGTAGTTTACTTAAATGATTGTTGTAGTGAAACCTCGATGATATTAATTTTATTAATTATGTTTCGTAAGTACATATTATATTTTAATGTTGGTAATAAGAGTCAGATTAACTTACATCTATATTAGTCGAGAAAGCTCGACTAGTTTCGAGACCATCCGGGACCCTTAGTGATGAGCGGCCGTGACGCGTACGCAAACTTGGTACGACTCAAATATACGTCAAACCGGTTGTTATTATTTTAAATTTGAATAATTTTTCTAACAGCCATATTTTTACAGTGCTCATGTTGTAAACACAATAATAATTCAGTGCAACTTTATATGAAGGAATATTTTATTACCACAGTAACACTCTCTGAATCAAATTTGTAACAAATCGAAACATTTAATAATTTATTTATTTATTCTTTATTGACCACAATACAAAATAATGTTTGGTACAAAAGGCTGACTTAATCAACCTTTGGCAACAGAATTATGCAGTGAAAAATTGAAAATTGTTTTAGATAAACTTATTATTAGAAATGGGCTATTGGTCCCCAAGTCGACAGGTAAATAAGGTCGATTAACAAAACTGCACATGAAGCAAAGTGCAAAAAAAAAACCGTGCAAACTCGGTAACTTACATTTAGACATCGAGGTTTCACTTTAACTATGTTTATATTTTTATTCCATCACTTTTATATTGTAATATACAAAAGAAATTCTGCCAAAGATCCATAATCTTTGTCTTAAAAACTGTTGATCATTCTCAATGTGATCATTTAATAGGTATATTTAATGATAATGTAGTTGGCTGCAATGTATCGATATTACAGGAACTATGTATATTTTTAAAACTGAAATAAGGCATTCGAATTTAATATCTTTTATTTATTCCTTTATTTCTAAACTATACGACATTATAACTAGTCCCTAAAGGGGGGAAAGGGGTTGTTAGTAATGGGATCAAATAGCCCTATTACTAGCAATATACCCTGTCAGGTCGACCTCTACGTGGTTCCCCCTGGAAACCATCGTGACTAATTCTAGTTTAATTCGTCAGGATGGGCTAACTAACCTACTTTCATCTTCATCTGTCATCCCTCATTGATGCCCCGCGAGCGTATACCAATAACGCAGACGGGGTTACCATACCATTATCACCCATTAAAAAAAAAACTAGACCCTAAAGGTTGTAAGATCGAATTTAGAATTAAAAACTGTACGAATAAAATTAGAAACAGACTCTGGCATTGGAAAATTTAAAATTATTTTCAAGGAGGCTTCTGTCATACTCATGATTCGCTTCCATACTATACATTACTACATTCAGTACTGACACCAACACATTTTTGCTTACCATAATTGAGAGCAGTGCACTGTTAATACTGTCCCGCTTTCACTCTCCTTTCAATTGAATTCATTATCGTACTATATATCCATCGACAGTTAAATTCTCTTAGTCGCTTCTTACGATATCCATGATGGAGGAAAGGGATTGTTAGCAATGGAGTTTGACAGCCCCATTGCTAGCAATATGCTCTATTAGGTCGACCTACATGTGGCTCCCCCTGGAAACCATTGTGAACAATTCTTGTTGTATTCGTCACGATGGGCCAACTAATCTGCTTCATCCTCACCTATCATCCTTCACTGGTGCCCCGATAGCGCAGGCGAGGTTACCATCTATTATCACCCATTAAGATATCCATGACAAAGGAAGTGAAACAACATGGATAGAGATGAAACAAATGGAGGCGTTTGGGTGTTCCCCAGGAACCTAAAGCGGTTCCCGCTTCACGGTCCAATTGTCCACCATTGATTCTCGACGAAATGTAGGCATATTGAATGTTAGGCAATAATTATTAATGTAAGTCATAGCAGTCATTACATCCTTCTGACAGCTTTGCAATTCGAAAATTAAAATTATGAACAAAATAATACATTGAGTAGAAAAAAAAATTAGAAATTACCAACTTTTCATAAATACCTAACAACAACAACAACAATATATATATATATAGATCAATAAATATATAGAAAAAATACTAAGTCACTACTTAATATTCGGCAAAACTTTATTTTAATCGTAAACATTTTTTCAAATATAATTAATTATTAGATTAAATCCTTAAATTGCACTCATATCTCTACTACATTTACGTATACCTACCTTATCTAATACATTATTTTATTTTGGCAATAATTTTGTTCGTGTTTGACAGCCTTTTGTTTTTTCCGTTTGAAGTTTTAAGATTTCAATTCTGTATATCATAAAACATTCTACATTAATTTATTTGAATAAACTTAAATTTTGATTTTGTGAATAAATATACTTAAGTAATTAACAGAATGAGGCGTACATACAAGTCAAAAAAGGAAATAGGTGGAGCTTTAGACCACAGAGATATGTTGTTTGCAATGGATGAGAAAAGTTCGGCTTTTGACGCATTTTATATTCAAAATATTAAACAAACTGTGCGAGAATTGTCGTCGATAAACACAGCAAATCATCACGGGTTTACTGCAAACAAAGTACGAAAGAGAAAATACGTAAAACGAATTCATAAAGATATAGAATCTACCACACATCGGGAGTCTCTAGCTGGATCTGCATTTCTTACACCGGACAAATCTATACGTGTTAATAAAGTGCTTGATCCATTCGACCAATTATTAAACACACCGTCGAGAAATAATGACTCGTTGCAGGTCAAAAAAGATAATTTGTTTGATAAACTTCAGAAGTGAGTTCATTTAAAGGACCTGTTGTAATTTATATTTATGGCGACATTGTTATTTTTAATTGTAAAGATGTTATTTACCTTATTTTATTAATCATCAACTTATTTCATAATATGGAATAGTTATTGTGTTGATTCTTATAAATTTCATTCTTAAATCTTGAATATAAATAAAGTAGATATATTGCTGTAGTATTGAGTACATATCTCTCCACTTGTTCTTCCCTCAACAAGCTCTGACAATCTTTAGAAAAAATAATCTAATATTTTATTTTTATATAAACTTATCAAAAATTTAGTTTATAATTATGTTATGTCCATGGTACTGCTCATGTCTGTAGGTGATGGTTACCACTTTCCTTCAGGTGGTCCGTCAGCTTTCATTTTCAGTTGCATGAAAAAAGTAATAGAATTTTTTTGCATATAATATTTACATTCACCTAAAAATTTGTAGATACACATGTTTGGGTGAAAATACACAAACTAATTAGTTAACTTATTTAATAAAATACACTTGTAGACTGTTTATTCTAATTATTATAATTTCTCTATTTTTAGCAAAGGAAAAACCTATTGTAGAAAAAAAGTTCCTAAAATAAAAAAATATTCAAGCAGTGACACAACAGGTAATTTATCAAAATTCAAAATTCAAAATTCAAAAATCATTTATTCATGTAGGACATTTTAGCCGCTTATGAACGTCAAATTTTTACATTATAATTTTATATTTACCCTACCGTCCAGTTCGGTATATAGATCCAATTGAGAAGAACTGGCAAGAAACTCAATTGAATTACTTTTTTTTTTAAAGCCAGTTTATTTACAATGTATATTTATATAGGTGTCTATGTCTAACATTAAATGAAAATTCAGTGCATGAACAACTATTGCCATGCACACTCGTCATTCAAGTAATCGTTTAGTGAGTAATAGGCTTTGCTCAGTAAATATGATTTAACAGATGTTTTGAATTTATTTAAGGGTAATTCCAACATATCCTTTGGTATCTTATTGTAAATTTTTATACCTATTCCCATAAAAGACCTATTAACTTTTTCTAAACGATACTTGGGGACAGCAAGTTTGTCTTTAAATCTAGTATTAATATTATGAATATTGCTGTTTTTTGGAAATAAGTCAAGATTTTTATGAACATATAGAATATTTGAATATATAAATTGAGAAGCAACGGTGAGAATATTTGCCTCTTTGAATTTCTCTCTTAATGAGTCACGACTCTTCATACAGTAGATCGCTCGAACGGCACGTTTTTGTAATATGAATATATTCTTAATATCTGCCGCTTTTCCCCATAGTAATATTCCATAAGAGAGTAAACTATGAAAATAACTAAAATAGACTAATCTAGCAGTATCAGTATCAGTGTACTGTCTAACTTTACGCACGGCAAAAGCTGCTGAACTTAGTTTCGCTGCAAGGCTTTGAATTTGTGCACCCCATTGTGTTTTATTATCTAGTGTGATTCCTAGAAAGACAGTAGATTCTATAAATTCGAGAGATTCGTCATTTAATTTAATTTTATCACATTATTTTGTAATGAATCTGCAGAATCATTTGTTATTGGTTTCACTAATACTATAAATGTGAAAGTGCATTTGTTTGTTTGTTACCTTCTAGCACCTTCACGACTTGACCAATCACTATGAAATTTGGTATTCACCTACTATGTGGAATGAAGAAGGTTATAGACTATTTTTTATTTCAGTCAATAAACATATCTTGGTTATGCAAATGAAGTCACTTTTAAAAACACTTTTATAATATTTTTAATATGTGTATAATAGTAATATTTTTGTGTTACAGATTCAGATAAAGAGAACACTATTAAAGATTGCAAGTCACAAAACTTAACTGATATTGGAATGCATGAGTTAGTAATAGAAAAAGATAAAAAATCTAGCCCTAAACATTTTGATGAATCTATAAATAACATAGTAAAAAATATGTCTATATTGAAAAGTCCTAATGCCAGAACAAATTCTATTGGAAAACCAAAATATTTAAAATACAAGAAAAATAGACTTACCCTGAATATTCAGTCACCATTATTACAAAATTCACCTATGTGTAGTACACCATTTAAAGAGAAATATAGAGGTGCATCTATCTATAATTTTTCTCCAATTAGTACAAAAAATAATGAGGATAGCCCAACCTTTATGCCTATATATGAAGAGAATAAAGAAAAATATTGTAACATATATTTAAAGGAACAGAATGATAATAAATTCTTATCACAAGCACAAGATATTGATGTGCAAGTATCTCCAATTCTTATGAAGACTGTTAATAGCATAAAAAAGATTTCTCCTTTGGCCAATGTTTCTTCATCTCCTATTGATTATGTCTCTACTTTCCAATCAATAAAAAATAAACAAGATCATCATCTTGTAGTTGAAGTTCCACCAGATGAGGCTTTAGTACCAAATTGTTCATTAGTAAATAAGAAAAAATCTCAAGAAAATGCTAGTAATATCTTACCTGAAATAGACAATATAAATAATGAAGATAATATATCTAGCATTGAACTTAGCTCTTTTCAAATAACGTCAGAACCATTTTTAGGGTTTTCTAACAATAAATCTCTAGACAAAAGCAATGTGAGCAATAATAACGATTCATATGTAAATAATTTAAAGACTAGTACACCCTGTGAAATTTTCAATATTGTTGATATTTTATCTGAAAGTGATAATGATTCTAAATCTGAGGAGAATAAAATGTCCAAGAGTTTATGTAGTGTAAGTAGTACTAGCAAAGACAACACATCATTGAGTTCACAAGAAAATGAATCTATGTATGATACATGTGATAGTGGTGAACTTCAAGATGAAGATTCGAGAGAATCATTAGTCCATGAACCATTAGTCGTTTTACAGAGAATGAATGATTCTGTCTTCCAAAAATATTTTGAATTAATGCCAAATTATGATGATAGAGAAATTAGTGAAAACAGTTTTGATAATATTGATAATGATAGCAAAGGTAGTTATCAAGAATATGCTAGTCTTGAAAATGATAATTCATCAAATGATCATTCCTGTACATCGCAAAATATAGATAATAATAATTTGTGTGAAGTTAATACTGAAACTGAGTCAGAAGATTCATCCGATGAAAATACAATAGATTTAAATACTAATACAGAAGAGGAAAGGTGTATAAGTTTTGTCACAACAAGAAGGCGAAATGAAGTTACAAATGATTCTATATTTGTATTGAATGATTCATATAGCAGTACAAGTAGTATTGATTGTGATAAATCTGTACTTAGTAATACAGTTAGATTTGAAGAAAAGCTAAAATTAGATAACATGCAAAATTTGCCAATGGCTAAAGATTTCTTGTATGAAGCTAAAAACTCTGATAATAATAAAGTTATTGAAAATAGGTCATGTCATTCCAAATATGATGAATCTAAAATATCCATAACCACAGCTACGAAAACGGAAAGTATAAGAGACAGTATGTCGAATGTTTCTCTAGATGGTAGAAAAAGTAATTTACAAAACAAACCATCCATAGTCTTGCAGCCAGGAAAGAAGTGGGAAAGGTCCTTGAGCATTTATAGAAGAATAACAATGGTTGGCTCTGATCACTCTCTTTTAGAAGAAGAGCCTCTTCGTACTAAAGGAAGGAAATATAGACAAAGTGTCATCAGTACTATAGAAATGCAAGATTTGTCAGGTACTTTTAAATTATGTAAAGAGTTTTTATATGAATATATAGAATATGTAAATATTGATGTGTATTCAAACAAATTATACCTTAAATTATTATAAAGTAATTCTATCTTGTAGGATTACCACACAAGATAGAATTTTTAGGTATTTCATTATTTTTAGGCAATTCATACTCTTTAAATGATTTTTTTTTATAAATGAAAGATTCTGTTAATGTTACATCTGTCACATCCATCCAAAGTTTCAGTGTAATGTCAGGTGTGATATTTTGGTTTTCACTTATTATCTTTTATTTCTAACTTCTTATTATGATTTTTTTATAATATTGCAGATTCACTACACAATGAATCAATTATTAGCCGTAGAAGTACTTTTGTTTCCAAACCAAACAGATGCACAATTAGGATTGTAAAGGTATGTTTTTGTTATCATGTGTTTATGCCCATAACAATAAAGGTAAAGGTTTATTTTAATTTTTAACCATAATTATTACACAAGTTAATATTTATAATATACTTATAAACTGCGAATATTTATTCAATTATATGGGTAAATAAAAGAAAAATTCTATTGTTTTAGGAAGCTAATAATCCCAGACTTAGTGTATGTTCAACTGGAATAGAAGATTTGGGAGGTGTGTATAATGAATATTTTCATTACTTTTTTTTTAATTATGTACAAAATAACTTAATTTATATTTTATTATATGAGAACTGTCCAAGTATTTATTTAGGATAAAAAAATCGGAGATGTTAAATATTTTTTAAATGGTAATACTAGAGAAAAACTACCATCTATTACTTTTTCGGATCTGTGGCACTAGCAATAATCTATGCTCTGTGCATTACATCGATTTCGCGGAAGAAGACGCTTTGTTGGGTCTTTGTCCATAATTTTTATTTTATTTTTATTTAACAATCACGTGTTAAATACAATAAGTGGTGTTTTATAATATCTGTTATTATAAAATAATAGTAGTTTAAACTATTATATTAGTGTGAAACTTGTGTTACATTAGGTACATCGATTGACTGCCATTTGTTATCCCTAACGGGATAATAGCTTGGTTCTGCGCCTTTGTCCAAAACAGTGTCTAAAGCCAAGTGCATGCATCTTTCCCTGCAATACACAGGTTCGTATGTTACGAAATCGTATAATTTGACGGCGATTTCTCGTCTCGTATGATTTCCCAGTAGAGCCTACGTAACGCGATTACGCGTAGCGAAAGTTCGTCATACTCATTCACTTCCTCGTATGTGTCACGCTCGCGACGCGACCTCTGATGCCAACGGATTATTTTCAGGATTTCTGACCGAAGACTGTGATGATACGATTATTGAGTTATCAAAACTATCGATCGCCGATTCGGAACCCGAGGTCACTGTGCTAGAGCATTTCCATGATACAACGGGCCGCGTAGCTACTGCCAGAGACTACGTGTTGCGACGCTGCAATCAAACAGAAGCAATACTGTTTGATGAATGCTATCCAGATCCGTAAGTCATATTTTTATTTATACAATCAGTGGGTACTAGACAGGTCTAGGTAGGTAGTTGCAATATTATAATTATTTTTTTTATTAAATATATTTGTGGATTTTGAACTAAATTATAGGTACTATACAATACATGTGTAGTAAATTAGTATTATTTATATGTTAGCAGGGTACCAGTGAGTAATGATATGTTAGTATGGAAACAGCTCAGTTAGCTTATCATGACAAAATCATCAGGAATCCCTATGGTTTCCAGGGGGGGTCTATGTGAAGATCAAACACATAGAGCAGTGTTTTTCATGTCATGACTCCCCTTAGTATGAAAAAATATTTCATGACCCCTGACCCTTCGCTTATTTTTTTTTTTTTTTTTCATGTATTTTATATTGTTACAAAGATGTTGTAAGGACTGAATACTGCAATCCATACATTTTTTTGCATTTGCATAATTAGGTTTCAGATAAATACAGAATTAAGTACATATTTTTACATCAAATATGTAGCTAAATTGATATCATGATGTATGCTCGTAATGTATGACCAAATGTGATCTCGGTTGTCCAACCTATGAGTGCGTGGCAAATCTTTCTATATAACTTTTTTTTGCTACCCCTCTGGGGTTGAAAAATGCTAAAATATGACTAGTAATGAGGGTGATACTATTCTATATTAACAATCCCTCCCCCATGGGATATAACAGAATGTGAAAATGTATAATATTTATACATTTTTATATGTTTGTTATTCAAACACACTCAATGTATTTGGTATACATGTATGTTGATGTTGTTTACTGATTCACGCAGACAGAGCCATGGAACACAATTAGTTTTTTTAATACTAGCTATTGTCCGCAGCTTTACTTGCATGTGGTATTCATTGTCTTGTTCTATAAAATTTCACATGTCTAACTTCTAAAGTGATGAAATTCTATGCAAACTTTCTTCCCCCATTTTACTCGCTTAAGAATTGAGTTTTCAATATTCCTTATTGTTCACCTATGCTATATAATGAATCTATTTGCAAAATTTCAAAATTTTACATTCAATATTTTCTGCTGTGTGTTGATATTTGGTTCAGCTATTCAATAAATTTTATCATTAATGTGTGCCAGGGAATGCTAATTTAGAGAGAACACGTGTTGAATCTTCTACATAAAACTAGACTGAATATTTATTTACAAGTACCCTCAATCACAATATATGACATTCATGTTATGTATTTGCTATTTTTTTTTTTTTTACTATTTAGATATCGCTGTACTACAGCACTATTTATTTCATAGTAGCATATCTATTTAAATATTTTTTTTTTATATAAAGAAGTTTAAATATTCACAGATTAATTTTAATAATGTAGGTAATAACAACCAGGGTTATTATACTGATGCCTTTTTCTATCATCATCTTTATATCTGCCTTTAACTGTCCACTGAACATAAGCATTTCCCTTGGTGGGGTTTTTGCCAGTAGTTGCCAAGCTTGGCAGGTGGATTGGCAACCACAGTTAGACTTTGAAGATATTTAAGAGGGACATTGTTATCCTCCTTTAGTCACCTCTTATAAAACCCACGGGAAAGACAGGGATGGCCTATTTTATGCCGAGCCTTGCAGCCTTTCTCTATACCAAATACTGTTTATATTAGGTTGGGCTTGTATAGTTGTGTATCAGTTTGAAGATATGGCAGTGACATTCTCTCTTCAGTTGTACACTCTTGACAGAGTGGTTGTGGTTTTCACAATGATAGTGGATCGTCGATGAGGCTCTCCTTTGCGATTGAGGTCCTCGCAATATGTCTCCATCTAATTCTATTCGCCGCCGAGCGAGAGCATTCCACAATAGACTGCTGTGTGGCTGTTTTGATGATGTTAGTCCATCGTGTTGATGATGTACCTTGAGAAGGTTTGCCTTGTACCGCTCCTTGGACAATTAGACGTTCCATACAATTGACATTGCAATTGCAGTGACAATACAAAGAATTAAAAAGAGATATTATCATAGAATATATTGAGATGCTGGCCATTTGTAATACATTCGATCAATACAATGGATGAACGGTTACAGTGCTAAGAGATAAACAAACTTCCTTTCACATTTATATTCTTAGTAAAGATTTGTTTAGATACATATAACCTAACCTAGTAAGACCTGATTTACATTACTAAAACACTTGTTGCCTATAAAAGCACTTAATTTGCACTTAAATGTGTTTTACAAGTAAGAAACCTAAAAGTGAGTAGTGCATACTAATAAATTGAAAGCTGCCTTAATATTCTTCTATTGAAGCATTCGTGACAATGTATGTTTATGTTATATAAAGAGAGCTTTCTTAAGTTACGACAATTCTTTTTACTTAGGAAAACATAGGGAGACTTTGTACAAAAGTCGTTTGCTTGGGTACTTCTGTCCCATTCGTGTTTTGACCGTGAAGCAGTTGTGTTTGCCCCCAACTGTGTTTCAGTTTGAAAGATGGGATATAATAGTGAATTTACAGGGTACAGAGGAATAACACCTGAGTCCTTAAGGATGACAACGTATGGAGGGTATATTCTGTTATGTTCATGGTACTGCACATGTATATAGGCGATAGTTACCGCTTTCCATCAGGTGAGCTGTCAATTTGTTTGCCATTCTAAGTTGTATAAAAAAAAATATATGAATATTTAAATTCTTTATACATTTACCCCCTATATAAATCTACATTGATAATTTATTACTTAGCCGTGACCTGTGACAATGTTATTATTATTTTATTACTATGTAAGCAGGACAGCATTATTGATAAACTTATACATAATTATATTTCATTGTTGAATAAATTATATTGATATTAAATGTCGATCGAGCACATTATGCTTGTTATTAAAAAAATAAAGTTATTGTTTAAAATATGCAAATTATAATTTGTAGGTAATTATAAAAAAAAATTCTGTGATAAAAATTAGAAATTTTTGTGAAATAGACATTATTTACATAATTGTTGTTCACTCCTAATTAAAAATACATAAATATAATTTTTCGACACTGGTAACTTAAGAATAATAATTCTGTTCTTTAGTATGGCAACTCTTAGCCCCTCTCTCTCTCGTCTTTTCGAATATGTCGTGATGTGATTGCCAAAAGTTTATCGCTCTCGTAAATTAGAAGTTTATCTATAATTTATTGATATTTCATTGAATAAAATATATTTATTTACTATATTTAATAAAATACTAGCTGACTCGGCAAACGTTGTTTTACCATATACATTATTTCTAGAACTATACATGAAAATTTATCGTACTACAATTATTATATTCGATTACCATCTTGCAACCCTATTGCGGCATATAAAAATCGCGATTAAAAAACAGGGGTTGATCGTAAAAGCGTGTAAATTTGAATTTGTATGTATTTTTCAATGCTGAATTATAATAAAATGAAAATAAAAAAAAATTTACAAAAAAATAAAAAAATATTTTGGGGTGGGTCACCCTTATCACTTACGGGTATGAAAAATAGATGTTAGCCGATTCTCAGACCTACTCAATACGCACACAAAATTTCATAAAAATCGGTAAATCCGTTTTGGAGGAGTTTGGTAACAAACATCGTGACACGAGAATTTTATATATAAGATATTTATATTTCAACAATATAGTGTATAGTAAACTTAGATTTCCGATGGCAACAATCGTGGTAAGTCTAGCACTTTAGTCTTAGCCTTTGACTTTTTGCTTAGGAAATCTAGATGTCTACCTGTAGTGTAATAGAAAATTAAAGTCAAATTAAGTAGTTTTCTTTTAATTTTATATCTTCCCGTTATTTTGTAATAAATTATAAATTTTCAATACACTTCTGCTTTTAAAATACTTTTCATAATTGAAGGAAATTTAATTACATATTATATTTTTTATATATTATATATATAATAACATATTACATATATAATTCTATGCACTTATACATATGCATATATATTTATCTATTTACGTATTTATTTACATATTTATACACAATAGAGTTTGATGTATTTACATCATTTTCACTGGCACCTTTCCTGCACTGGATTACCCAAATTAAATCATTTTCTCTCTAACTACACTGGGTTGGCTGGAAGAGATCTCTTTCAGAGATAAGTCCTTCCTTGCTAACAAGTTGTTAAACTAATTGTCGAATATATTGTTTAAGTGCAATAAATAAAAAAATAAATAATAATAAATTACTAAACGCATTGTAAATGGGTAGAACTACTTTAAATTGGTCAACTTGAATCTAAGTGTTGAATCATTTTCATTCATTACTTTTTATATTGAGTCTAATATATTCACTTTTTTTTTTATTTATTTACAGTTTATTGGATCGCATTTTTGTCTGTTTTATTTTTATATTATTGAGTCCGATAAGACAGTCATGTAAAGATTATTTACTAATGCCAAGTATATATTGGTACCTATTAAATGGTATTTATTTATTATATATTTGGCGGCGTAGCGGGCCGGGTCGTTGGGCTCTCTATAATGCTGTTGAACACAACGATGACTGGCTCATTCGTCATACTCGTTAACGGCTGCTTCTAGTAGGAACTGGTCTGTTCAAAAATACTGCGATTGTTGCTTTTTTATGGTTGAAAAAAGAATGGTAACCCCGCCTGCGCTAACGGGATACGCTGGCGGAGCACCAGTGAAGGGTGATAGATGAGAATGAAAACAGGCCAGTTAGCCCATCATGATGAATTCATCAGGAATTAACGATATTGTTATTTGTAGATTATTGTTGTTATTGTTGTTTTGTAGATTTTTATTCTCTTTTATTTATCAATACGAAGTTTGAGATAATTATTTTATTCTGTAAATTTTTATTGTTGTAAACTTATTATTAATAATAAGTTAAATTTACAAATTTGATAATTATTTTAAAAAAAAGCAATAGCTATGTTTCTTGCCTGTTTTTCTCAGTTGAAATTGCTTTTCGGACTGGGCGATAGATTTATAAACAAAATGACTATTCAAGAATGCTTATTTATTAAGTTTACTTGAATAAAAAATATCTATTATTATTTTGTTTATATATATATATATATATATATATATATATATACTTTTAGGTTATTAATATGTTGCACTTGTTTGTACATATTTTCTAGTTGAACTATTTAAACAAGCTCCGGATATTCACATGTGGTTCCCAAATTGTGATACCGCACATGTTATATATAAACGAATTTAGGCCAATTCAGAAAAGTATGCTTCATAAACAAACCAGGCTTTCATTTATGTAAAGAAATATGTTTAAACGCTGTATTTTACAAAGGTCGATTTTGTTAAAGTGATTAATCTGGCTCATGTTTATATTTCTTTCGTGTTTAAATGGAGAGGTACATTTAACACTGCTTTTTTTTTTTTTTAAACCTTGCGGCATTATTTTGCGTTTACATCCTATAGCTTTAACTGTGTGGTCCTGGCGTAGAATAGGTCATCTCTTTTTTTCGCGTGGGTGTCGCAAGAGGCGATAAAGAGAGAGAACGAGAGATGGGCAGCAACGTCTCTCTTAAAACATCTCCTAATCCTAAATGTAGTCGTCAATCCGTCCGCCAAACGTGGCACTACCTCGCCTCTTAGGACACCCACGGGAAAGGAAAGGGTGGCTTTTTCTATGCCGGGACCGTACGGTATTGTAGTTACATGTCATGCTATATAATAACGAAAAACCAAGTCATTTTTTGAATCCACATAAATATCCCACTTGTGGTCACTATAGGTATTTGTTTTAAGTCAATCGAGATTTTGAAATATTTTTCTATCAGGTCGACCTCCACGCGGTTCCCCCTAGAAACTATCATGGTCAATTCTAGTGGAATTCGTCACGATGGGCCAACTGACCTGCTTTCAGCCTCACCTATCACCTCTTCTGTACGCAGGCGGAGCACCTGTGTGCTCCGCCTGCGTATACCGATAACTCAGGCGGAGTTACCATTTCATTATCATCTATTAAAAAAAAATACGGGCAAATAAGCTTAAATTATGAAAATAAAAAATAAAGTAATACCAACTGCACAAAAATGTTGGAGGGTAGATTTGAAAATAATAAGTCACTGCCGTAAATGATATCAACCATGGAGTTCGCAGCAACAAACATAAGTTAAAATTTAATAGTGTTATAAGAGGGTAGTTGTAGATTACCAGATAGCGCATCGCGTGCAGTTTTTTTTTATGTTGTTGCCAATTACTAGTCTATACAAATATTAAAGATTTGATTTTTTTGTTTGTAATGTAATACTACTCAAACGATTTGAAAACTTTTCACGTATAGAAAACTACATTATCAGTCAGTAATATAGGTTGTTTAAAAAAATTAAGTGATCCATATCTGTCACGCCTGTCTCCCATTAGGGTAGGCAGAAACAATGGAACGCCAAATGCTTCGATTCAAACAAACCTCTTTCGCTTCCTTCACATTCATCAATCTCTTTATACACGCTCGCCGGTTACGGGTATTTTTAATTTGGCCCTTCATCAGCACGTCGCCTATTTGGTCAACATACGTCCGTCTAGGGCGGCCCCTACCGACATCTCCATTCATTCTTGCTCGATAAATCTCTTTCGTAATTCTTCTTTTATCCATCCTCTCCAAATGACCAAATTAAGTGATCCCTACGAAAAAATTACAATGACCTAACTCGATACAGGTAGGGAGGAAAGCGATTGTTAGAAATGGGGATTAGTAACCCTATTACTAGCACTGTAACTCTATCAGGTCGACCTCCTCGCGGTTTCCCCTGGAAACAATTGTGATTGATTCATTAGTGAATTTGTCGTGATGGGCTAACTGACCTGCGTTATTCTCACCTATCATCCCTCACTGGTGTCCCGCCAGCGTATACCGATAGCGCAGGCGCAATTCCGTTATCATTCTGTCCACCTGTGTGAAGCTGCAGCGGAGCGGCATTGATTAATATAATTCGACAGGGTGCTGAAGAATTGCCGCAAGATCGGCGAAGGCGTATACGGGGAGGTGTTCCTGTGGCGTGCTGGAGATGGCCGCGCTCGTGTGATGAAGATAGTCCCCATCGCTGGCACCACGAAGGTCAATGGAGAACACCAGAAGGATTTCAACGAGATCATATCTGAGATTGTGATTGCTATGTATGTATTAAATTAATAAGTAGACACCTATCAATTTATTAGTTGTCTAGTACGGATAATGTACTTATAACTTTGCTTAGTTTGCATTTTATATATGACAATCAAGCATATGGCCTGCCTAATGGCAAACGGCCTTATTGTCGTTACAATTTGCTGTAATATTTAAGATTGTTTCACAAAAAAAAAACCAACTTCAGTTGTGGCAAAATCAGTTATTTTGATTTTAAAACTACTTTTTTTAAATTTGATGATTTTGTACGGAACCCTCGTTGCGTGAGTCCGACTCGCACTTAACCGGGTTTTTTTTTTTATAATTGTTTGAAAAGAAAAAGAAATACAGTCCCGAGCCGCTTGCATCAATCAACATCCTGGAGCATGCAAAGTCGTCGCCTCGTCTAGTATGGGGTCGCCTATACCGCGTTTGTATGCAAGAGTTCGCCACTCGAGAACTTTTCTACCCCAATGATCTGAAAGCCTTGAGTTTGCAACATACATTATTCATTCATGTATAATATTATGATATAATTTATTTTTAGGGAATTGAGCGCACTACGCGCTCCCATAGCTGATATCGAACGCCATTTTGATGAAGGGAAAGACGTCGAAGCATTGGATTTACATTCTGTAGTGAATGCCACTGACATTTTTAATGAGGTAAGTTTTTTTTATACATTTATTATCTATTATTTCTTATCCTTATTAATATTATAAATGTTAAAGTGAGTTTGTCCGTTTGTTTATTACCAATTAGTGCCTTTCAATTACTATGAAAATACTATATGCGATGTATATCCCGTACGCAGACGAAGTCGCGGATAAAAAGATAGTATTGAATACACAATAAAAGATAGATACTCTTTATTGTTTCTTCCAAAAGATTACATTAGTAAACTTATATATATATATATATATATATATATATATATATATATATATATATATATATATATATATATATATAAGAAATAATCACAATGAGAAAACAATGGGCGACCGTATCGCTAAAAGAGATCTCTTCCAGGCAACCTGTAATAAGAGAGAGAGAGGAATAATTATAAACAATTTGATCGGCACAATTTGACACAATGAAAATTCTGATTCTGAAAATGTGGATTTGACACAATGAAAATTCTAGATAGAAAATTTTTAAAGGCTTGAAAATCTTAGATTTTATTTACTTTTTTCTGTTTTTATTAAATCGACTTGTATTTTGAGAATGTAACAGCAATAATACAAAATTAACTATTAAAAGAAAAACAGATATTGAAAAATACCTGACACATTACTATGTATTTTATTCCTCGTGTAACGTTCCTTTATAAGTTCACCACTCCCTACCTGAACTTGGGTTAAGGTCACACCTATTTCTATTACAATCCGTTCTTTTGTTACACCGCTATAATTGATCTCTCTACCTGCTTTTTTTAGACACATTCTTGTATTTTTTTTTTTAATTCAGTCTATATAATTCAAGTTTTTGTTTTAACCTTTGGTAAAATATATTTGCGGTTGCTATGCAATAAGTAACACGAGAGAGTAGCGTTATTTTTGGCGTATTTATTAAACAGTTTTGGGTTATCACCTTATCAATATTGATTTATGGCATATAAAGTGAACAAAATATGGTTGATGAGAATTTAACCTTTTGATCGCTTGGTTCTTACTTGGTAGTTGGTAGTCATTTTACTTTTTTTTTTTTTTTATTATTATTTCTGACTACGAGCAATAATGTTATTTTGTTTTATGTTCTATCCCTATGTAAGTATTATTTGAAGATCTTGTTTTTGATATTTATAGTACAGAAATATAAAGTTTTTTATTTAATAGATAGATTATATTTTTTACATAATAATATATAATATAATTATTGAAATTGTATATTTAAATAATATAATAAAAATATCGATTTTGTCTGGGAATAGAAAATTATTTGAAGATTATATAGGTATATAATATATAGGTTGTGAACACTTCGGTGGTCGGTCAGTGAATCATTCTGTTCATATACGGAATAGGCCCCTTTGTGTCCCGTACTATGTACTATTATGATAACACAACTGGAGCAGTGTTATCACAAGACGGTTATCTTTACACAGCTGCATTATAGCTCAGTACGCTAATTACAGCCATATATACATATATACAATTATATATGTATTTATCTAGTGGTTATTTATTTCATTAAAGATTGATGAATGTAGATGAAGTGAAAGAGGTACGTTTGAATCGAAGCATTTGACGTTTCATTGTGTCTGTCTACCTTAATGGGAGACAGGCGTGACAGATATGTATGATACGTGATAGATATGTGACAGATGTGTGATTAAAAATTCTCGTGTGTGGCCTATATCTCTTTCTCTCTCTCTCGATATATATATATATATATATATATATATATATATATATATATAATATATATATATATAATAAAAAACTGCTATTTCTAATGACAGTTGTTGTTTTTGGAGGTTTAATTTAAAATATGATGTTTTATCTTGATACACCATCTAGAACTAGTCTACTGCATTAGTTTTCCTACTTTTGAAATTACGCGTACTAAGTAATAGGCAAAGAGTTTGTAACGTATATAAATCCTTACGTAATAAATCCACCAATAAATATGTCATTAACACACATTAAATTAATAATATTTGAATTTAGAATATTGTAACGTGTTTCAAATGTATATAGAGATATGGATACAATTGCTGCACAAGTCAGTTTAAAAAAAAAAAAACATTAAAAAATGAATATTTGAATTGAGAACACATCGGTGAAGGATTACATAAAAAATCACTATCGATTACAAAAAGAATAATCAAAAGTTGCGAAGATTTGCGTAACGTACAGAAAAATACAGGACGAATTGAGAACCTCTTTTTTCAAGTTGGTTAATAAATACAAATTCATATAATTTGATACGTTGTTTCAATATATATATTACTCGTCTCAGTACATAAAGATAATAAGTTTATCTACTTGTACTTTTATGTACATATAAATAGCTATATTATGCATATATACCAACACGTGCCTAAGATTAGCATTGTCACAACATTATGAATGCGTCAGATTTAATTAAAGGAAAAAAATATTACAAAAATATATCTATACCTATCATTGCCCCAAGTTTCTCACGGGGTAAGCAGAAAGAAACGTCAATGACCTTGCATATATGACTTACTTTTTGCGTTCATAACTCGTCTTATGCATGCACGCTAGTTTTGGAGACTTGAAACCTTCTTCAAAAGTAACGCGGTAGACCGCGTTCTTTCAGATAGACCTGATCATAATAGGTTAGTCTAGGACCTTTTCCTATTTAAGAGCTGCGTCTTTGTCGGTGGAGCTCTTGCCTCTCACTACGATTTTCAGCGAGTCTCTTCAGCTATGACACGACACCAACTTTTTCCTTGATCTGCCTGATGTAACTGTCCAAGGCCCCCCCTTCCCTTCCTTCCTTCTCACTTTTGTTATAATGTTCACAAGTGAAGACACGTCGTGTCGTATCAAGTGTCCCAACATTTTCCCTTTCTGACCTTAATAGTTCTTATAATTTGTCTCTTTTCTTGAACCCTAACTAGGACCTCCTTATTACTAATTCGATCTTTCCAGCCAATTTTCTCCATCCTAACTTCTTACTTAATCTAGGACCTAGATTGAGTAATTTGTTTACCAACTTACCAGGGAAGACTATTTCTAGGTCTTCTCTGGTACCTACAGCTTTCCACATTTGCATTTTATATCTGTTTTGTCGACCTTTCATCTTGCATTCTTTATATATATTTCTATTGCACTATAACATACAGTAATAACAATAAAAAAAAAAAACAATATAAGCATAGATGAACGTACCCATTGCTCATGGTATTCTATGGGGGAGGCTTATGTTCAACGATGGACGTATAGCAGCTGAAATAATGAATAAGTATCGACAATTTTAACACATATATGAACTGATCTGAACGCTAGACAGAGTACTTCAATATAATAAAACTATATATATAAATACCTATTTTAAAATTGTCATACTTATCATTATTTATATTTACTAAGTTGTCGCCTTTACAATAACTGTATCCGTTACTGATGACAATCGAATTTGTACACGTAATTGAAGCTATGTCAATGCAGTTTGCGGTTTCTTCATTTATAAAACATACCCACAAGAACGTTGATTTTAATTTGTTTGCATTTTGTACCTTATGAAATGTAATTAAACCACTCTCACTTGTAATGCCAGAGGGAGACTTTGTACAAAAGTCGATTGCTTGGGTACCTCTGTCCCATTCGTGTTTCAACTGTGAAGCAGTTGTGTTTGCATGCCTTGTTTCGGTTTGAAGGGTGGGATATGGCGTGAATTTACAGGGTACAGAGGAATAACACCTGAGTCCTCAGGAATGGCAACGCATGGGGGGTATCATGGGCGTAACAGTATACTCTGTTATGTCCATGGTACTGCTCATGTCTATAGGCGACGGTTACCACTTTCCATCAAGTGGACCGTCAGCTTGTTTGTCATTCATAACATTAATTGGTTACCTTGTTTTTGTGTAGTCCACGGAGATGGGGCACTGTTGGCTTGTAACACAGGTTCTTCAAAACCTACTGCAAGCACCAGTCTCTTACAAAATTGGTCTTACATATCTAATTGTACCTCAAGTTGTCACATTTTTTTTTTTATTTTAATATTACTTCTGAAATCAACAGCTTATATCTAGAATTAGAAAAAAAAAAAAAAATTATTTAGTATTAAATATTATATACTTTGTATACCAGACAATATTACGCTTATTTTTGAAGGGTAAGTTAAATTAAATAGAAAAAAAATAAAAATAATATCTGTGGAGATACTTATTTGAAACGTCGTATCACTGGGAGTTCTTTATACTACTTTTTGTGAAAAGAAAATAAATCATTCATCCATTAATATTTTTCCTGTCGCAGGTACTAGCCGTAAGGTGTGTATACGGCGGCTACCCATCTCGCTTGCTTGACTTATGGGAACTGTACGACGAGTGCAAAGGCTCTGAGAACGACAATCCGGCCATACTGCCCGTAGACCAGCAGTACATTGTGCTGGAGCTAGCCAACGCCGGCCAGGACCTAGAGAGCTACCAGTTCAACAGCGCTGAACAGGCACACGCGCTGTTCTTGCAAGTGAGTTGTGATTTTTTTTCTTATCTGTCTACGTGAAGAATGGAGTGTAATGTTTTTCAAATGTTTAGTTTGGTTAGAACGTTGATTTTTTTTTATATTAGACTCTAAACCCCTGCCCCTGTTGTACAGTAGTTTATTTTTAATAAAATGCAGTCCGTGTTAGGCATTGATTTCTATACATAAAAGATTTTTTTTATAATCAGTTAAGTAATTTTTGAGTTTATTAATTATAAATCAAAAATTAAATGTTTTTATAATAGATGTTAATTTAGACACATGGCAGCCATAGTCTATCAAATTTAAGTCGACTTTGTATTGTAATGTATTGTAAAATCCCAAAAAAAGGTACCCAAGCAATCGACTTTTGTACAAAGTCTCTGGTATATTTTATACATATAAAAAAACTATGCTATATACATATATGCTTTCATGGCATTTATCGTTCGGATATTCGGCCTATTCACAATTTTTATTTTTTTAATTAAAAGTTTTTATTTCACATTAAGTTACATTAATACTGGAGGTCATCATATTAGCCTTTAACTGTCCACTGCTGAACATAAACCTCCCCTTTGGGGGGGTTTGCCGTAGTTATTGTAGTTGCCACGCTTGGCATGCGTATTGGCAAACGCAGTTAGGCTTTAGAAATGTTCTAAGAGAGACACTGCTGCCTACCCCTCGCTCTCTCTTAGTTGGTTTTTCGACACCCACGGGAGAGAAAAGGGTGGCCTATTCTATGCTGGGACCACCCGGCCTTCGTGGAGATGGCTCATATTAAATATAAACAATAGTTGAATCACGAATTGTTTTTAATAGATAATAATGAAATGTTAACTCTGCCTTCGCTATCGGTATACACTGGCGGGGCACCAGTGAAAGATGATGGGTGAGGATGAAGCAGGTCAGTTATCCCACCGTAACGAATCTAACAATAAATCAATCACGATGGTTTCCAGGGGGAACCACGAAGAGGTCGACTTGATATAGTATTAGCATTATTAGCAAAATGAGGCTACTAACCCCCATTACTAACAATCCCCTCTCCCCCCCCTGTATCACGAAGTTGACAATTGCAGTTTATGACTTAAAATCCCTCATCATATCATATGTATAATAATTTTATTGTATGCACACTATTGTGGGGTGATATTTGCTAGCTAGTTATAAAGATAATTTTCAGTGTAAGATTATAATACTGCCAGCGAACGCCCCGGCTTTGGATTTTTTAAAAATAAATACAATAAATGTAGCTTTCTTTAGGTGAAAGATTGTTAATAACTATTTTTTATTTTATTTCTCTACTACAAACAAAAAATAAATCTTTTCTCCTATATATTAGATTACGTTGCCATTTGGTGTCAGCATAAAATAGGCGATCGCTTTCTTTGGGAGGGGAAAGGGATTGTTAGCAATGGAGTTTGACAGCCCCATTGCTAGCAATATGCCCTATTAGGTCGACCTCCGCGTGGTTCCCCCTGGAAACCATCGTGAACAATTCTTGTTGAATTCGTCACGATAGGCCAACTGACCTGCTTCATCCTCACCTATCATTCTACACTGGTGCTCCGCCAGCGTATCCCGATAGCGCAGGCGGGGCTACCATTCCATTATCACCCATTAAAAAAAAGACCCCTTTTCCGTGGGTATTGTAAGAGGTGATCAAGGAAACTTAATGGGCGAATAGAAATGGGCAGCAGCAGCGTCCCTCTTAAAAAATCACCAAAGCCTAATTGCTCTTGCTAACCCGCCTGCCAACGATGGCAACTACTGACGAGACCTTTCCCTTATGGGGATGTCTATTTTCAGCAATGAACTGTTAATGCCTGATGATGGTAATTTATTACATATTTGATTAGGTACCTTTTATTAAAAAATATCGATTGCATCATCAAATAAAAGTAGCTCAAAAAGATAACTGATTTCACAGTCCAAAGTCAGATTGTATCGTACAGATATCGATTCGAAATTTAAACCATTTCTTAGTCATTATATTATTGATTAATGGAATGAATCATTAATCATGACTTATTATTTACAATTATTATCTATGGTGATATAAAAAATACTCGCGTTCGTAATTTAATACTATTAAAGGTAATACTTGAAATGTCTCCATTCATATGTCGCCCAGATTCGAACCCATGACCTTTTACATACTAGTCAGTCAAGGAAATAAATTAATTAGGACATGACGTCGTGTTATATAAAAAAATAGATAGTCTCGTCTCTATCTCTAATGTTCTGATTTAATTTTGTTTTTTTTTTTGACGTTACTATAGCAACAGTGATGTTCCACTTATTTTACTGTCTCCGATCAGCGCAAATTATTTACTTATCTGAACATTTACTCGCGGATTCTGACGGAGTTATGAGGTAACAAACATAAAAAAAAATACAAGCGAATTGATTACATACTTCTTTTTTTGAAATCGGTTAACAAATAAATCAGGTCATTGTATTAAATGACAGCCAAACATTGCGACTCGAGTTACTGCGAATTAAGACACGTGGCGTAACGAAAATTATACGTTTTTTTATTATAATGACGTCAATTAAAATGACGTCCGATTTAAACGAGTTGGCGTGAAATGCCTACAATAAAAGCATTAACTTTTATGTTTATTTTAACAGATTGTATGAATGTATGGAATGTTAACATTACATTTACAATAGATTACGCAATCGGTTAATTATATATTGTAAATGTGAAAGTGAGTTGGTTTCTTTTTTTTTTTAATGGATGATAAGGTAATGGTAACTCCGCCTGTTCTAACGGTATACGCTGACGAGGCACCAGTGAGGGATGATAGGTGAGAATAAAAAGGCCAGTCAGTTAGCACATCGTGATGAATTCGCCTGAAATTCAGCACGATGGTATCCAGGGGGGACCACGTGGAGGTCGATAGGGTATATTGCTGGCAATGGGACTGGTAGTCCGCATTAATAACAATTCTTTCCCCGTCACGATAGTAGCCATACATTTATTGTTTGGTAAAAAAGGCATAGTCTACTTGTAATCCTGGTTTTATTAAATTATTTCTGGTCACGAAGACGAAATCGCGGGTAAAGACTAGTTTGTTAATAAAATAGAGATTTTTGAGAGAACAAGTTGCAAAAGGCTGAGAACAGCATTGATTGAAAGGTATTTAGGGAGGATTTAAAGAAAGTAAATCGAAGTAGATTGGTTATGAATGAATGAATAAGAGAAGATACGTCATCTATCTCTGTTATCTATTCCATAAAAACGTAGCATAAAGATATGTTCACAATGATTTGTTTTTTGTACTTGGACAATATATTTAATAAAAAATCTTTTTTACACAATGATTGTTGGAGTTTTAATACGGGGTGTTGACGTTGAGGTTTTTTAGAACAATGTATTATTTTTATGTTTGTTCTATGTTAAATTTTTATAAGACATGTCTTGTATTTTTTTTCACTAAACTTATTATTTTATATTTCAAATACATATATGTTTTATTACTGCATCCTGCTATTTACAACAATGATAAGTACTTAATAAATCAAAACAGAAGAACTATTTGATTTTCAGCTATTTTGTAATATAGATTTGTATGTATACATACATAAAGATGTGTATTCACTGAGAGCATGCTAATATCACATTTTCAGTTCGTGTCTACTATTAACTGATGTGCTCATTTCTTAGTTGTTTATTTGGATTTATGCTTTTAAAATGTTTACCTTAAACAAAAATTGGTAAAAGTAAGACAGCTTTATTTAGAATATGTTCAATATTTAAAAATTATGTTTGTATATATTGTGATTGCTAAGCGAGCTAATTTGGAAACTGTCAAGCTTCCTTCGTTGGTAAATATAAATAAATAAATAGACATAACATGACTTGCTGGTTTGGTCTGAACGCATTTCTATATACAAATGGCTTTAATGAATAAACACCTTTTTTTTAATTGTCTACCAAACTGCTTAAATCTAGTTTTGATATATTTGTTATTCATATCTACAGTTTGTTAAATTCCTAATTTGAATGAATGAATGAATGATTTATGAAAAAATGTATTAATTCAAATACTTAATTGTAACTTAGTGTTTATTTTTTTTTTTTACTTTTTAACAATTGGCTTTGTTTTGTTTTTGTGTTTAAAGGGTGCCGTACTAACCAATGTTAATAATGCGTAATAAATCTTATATTTATATAACAATTAACATATTAATTGCGGACTAAAAATGGTCTAAAGGAGTACATCCATTGACTGAGACTCCAATAAATGACTTGGCGATACGTCGTTTGTTTTAATCGATTTCGCCAATGTGAATACAGCTTTACGAACCTAACATTTTGAAATGCTACGCCAATAGTGTTAATCTTTTGGAATCGTGCCAATAAACACACGTTAAAAATTATTTCACTAGACTCAAAAGTTGAAATATATTTCTTGGCTTGTATAACATCCCATAGAGAATAAAGTTAGTACGGAACCCTTAGCATTTTCCTTTTTTTTTCAGCAACACAGCATGACACGTCGTTTCTTCGGGCGATAAGTGAATTTCTAGTTCAAGTGTTATTGTTTCTTGACTAGATTTTCACTTATCCTCTGCAGAGACGCTTCCAGCTTTTGATGTTCACCGAGTTTCTTTTTTTTTTTAATTGTGTGTACAGAGTAGAGATGGGTGAATGTGATGATTTATTCGAATTACGTCACTAGTACTCGTTCGAGTGTTGCCCTATCGTGTCTAGAGTTTTTAAGCCACTATCATTGTATACGAGATTTCTGGTTTTCTTTACAGCGCGATGGGCTTATCCCCCCTTTCCTATTATTCTTTTATGTGCCCTCCAAAGCACAGGACACAAATAATGTTCAGAACAGACTTCAAAAAGAAAGGTTCTCAATTCTGTTGTATTTTTTTTTCCTCATAGCTTTGTCAGCGATAAACTGCTTTTTTTTTTCTGAAAGGATATAGTTTCAGATTGATCCAATAGAAATTTTATCAAAATCAGTTTAGTAATTTAGTTTTAAAAACAAAATAACTGGTTTTTCCACGATTGAATGAGTTTAAATATGGAACAAAATCTTAATTAAAGGATCCATTCTAAATTTGAAAAACTCAAGGTTTGGAATTCGGTAATGGCATTCCCGAGCCGCCGTCGAGCATTATCCGATTAACCTATCACCGCTCTGACGATGATATTAAAGTTACAACTATTCGAATAAATAATTAGAACGATTAATAATTCTAAATTCGAATATATTGTTTTGGCACAATCACCCATCTCTGACGGAGAGTAACAGATGCGTTGTGTAACGTACGTCTGCTTTGACATTGTATTTTTTTGCTAGTAGACAGTTGAACAGCCCGTCTGTTTACACTCGAATGTTTATATTTTTGTGTTATTTGGCATGTTTTTGTATTCTATCATAAGTAACGTCAGGTCATTGACGCTGTACTGTTTAGTTTTTTTTTTTTATATTTATTTTTCTATACTGTACTGTTGTAAATACTTTGTACCTAACTAGGAATGTAAAGTTTTTATGTCGCGTGTCTGTAGACAATGAAAGATTACTTAGAATGTTTTGTCTTATTGCTAGCAATATGGTATACTTCCGCGCGGTTACGCTTGAACCTGTGTGTTTACAGAGCTAGACACTTTACAATTAAAAATTTTTGAATCATTGAGTAGAAAAATAATTTTATACTCGACAGAGGTCTATGTCAGCTAGGAGTTAAAAGTTTTGTATTCACGCTTTATTCACGTTTTCATTATTCACGGATTAAAAAATTCGCGGCTAAAAAATCTATATTCGTGGATCTAATCGGTACATATTATTAAAAAGAATTAGATATCCTTTGTGAACGCGTCGGCAAATGGACTAATAAAAAAGTAAAACGGACCTTATTGCAACTGTGCCTAAAGTATGTTGTCAAATGCTATTGCCGCTGTATAAAGTGGTTCGGTTTTCCATATTCACGGTTTCTGTATCCGCGGTATATTTACGGAACGGTATACACCGCGAATAAAGAGCTTTTATTGTATATTGTAATTACAATATCTATATATAAAATGAAGAACTCCATCGAAGTAAATGTAAATATTTGATGGGTACGGACGATATCGAAATGGGTGATGACCTTTTCTTCTTATAAATGCATCTTATAAATAACAGATGAACCCGAAATATAGATATCGGAGTGCTGACGGTATTACCATGCCTAGCGTCAGTTATGGGATACAAAAAGTTTTTTTTTTTTATTGGAGGCAAAGAGCAAACGATCGTACGGCAAATCTTTCTAGTTTCTTTTTTTTTATGAAATTTAGAATGGTAAAAAAGCTAACGGCCCACCTGATGGAAAACGGTAAACCTCGCCTATAGATATGTGAAACACCATGGATAACGCAGATGCAGCATATTCATAGAGTCTTGGAATTGTAAATCAATATATTAAACAGATCATGATTCATCGCACACTGACACTATAGATAAAAAACAGTTCAGTCATTATTTATTATATCCATATGATACGAAAGTGATATCACGTCTGTCATTTGATATGTACTTATTATAGTACTAAACTATGTATTTTTTTTTTTATTGGATGAAAATGGAATGGTAACCCCGCCTGCGCTAGCGGGATACGCTGGCGGAGCACCAGTGAAGGGTGATAGATGAGAATGAAAACAGGCCAGTTAGCCCATCATGATGAATTCATCAGGAATTAACCGTGATAGTTTCCAGGGGGAACCGCGAGGAGATCGACCTGGTTGGGTATATTGCTAGCAATAGGATTCTTAGTCTCCATTACTAACAATCCCTTTCCCCCCAAACTATGTATTTAGGAGATATTTTATGGATGATAATGGAATGATAACCCCGCCTGCGCTAGCGGTTAACGCTGGCGGGGCACCAGTGGGAGATGATAGGTGAGAATGAGAAGGCAGGTCAGTACATCGTGATGAAAACATCTGGAATTCAACACTATGGCTTCCAGGGGGAATCACGTGGAGCTCGAACTGTCAGGGCATATTGCAAGCAATGGAACTAGTCCACAATGTTAGCAATCTATTTCCCCCTTAAACCGGGAGATACTGACTGACTGGAATAAACGCTAACCTATGTCTTTTTGCACGTGTGTATCAAATTTCATTACCATTACTTGGAACTGATAAAGCGCCAAGAGGTAAAAAAACAAACACACTTGCACATATATATTATTAGTTGATTTTTAATACTAGACTTTGTCCACGACTTCGTATGCGTGAATTTTGGAATTAGATAACCATTTCTAAATGGCGTATCAAGATAAAACATACACCATATTTTAATCTAAACCATCAGGTACATAAATGTGAAAACTCCATTGATTTTGGTGTAGTCATATTTACATAATGCCCGAATAAAATATACAGACGAGAATTCAAAAATATTGTTTTGTCATATTATTCGTAAATATCTCCTATCAGTATGGTCCCGGCATAGAATAAGCTACTCTTTTCTTTCCCGTGGATGTCATAAGAGGCGACTAAAGGAATTTAATAGTCGAAGGATGGGCGGCAGCGTCCCTCTAAAAACATCCCTAAAGCCTAACTGCGGTTGCCAATCCATCTACCAAGCGTGGCAACTACTGGCAAAACTCCTCTTATAAGGAAGGCTTTTGTTCAACAGTGGGCAAGTTAAAGGTTGATGTAATAAATAATAATTACGTGATGTCACTAAAGTATGATTCGTGGAAAACGCTGCACAATCAGCCGGCCCCACACGACGCGTCATACCCACCTGCATGCACACAGCGCCGAGTCAGCGCAACGCGCCGGCGAATTTTCAAGGAAACGACCATTGTTCACGGCTTCACATAATCGCTTCGCCAATAGACATCACTTTATTTTGTAATCAGAATCAAGTTTATTGTTAAAATTAAAGTAGTTTTATAAATGCTCCTTCAGCTGTAGTCCTTTTATCTAACGTTCAGACAAGAATTTTAAAAATATTGTCAATTATTAAATTATCTCTTATAATAATTAATAATAATAACAAATAACAACAAATAGGTCTACGAAAAAATCTCTACATCTCCCTACAAAAGGCTGCCATATTAAATACTTGCAGAATAGTCAGAAAATTCTTAGATATAGATGAGGATGAAGTAGCCACCCGTCATACACAAGCATAACCTTCCATACAAGGGGGGAAAGGGATTGTTAGTAATGGAGACTGAAAATCCCATTGCTAGCAATATACCCAACCAGGTTGACCTCCTCGCAGTTCCCCCTGGAAACTATCATGGTTAATTTCTGATGAATTCATCATGATGGGCTAACTAGCCTGTTTTCATTATCATCTATCACCCTTCACTGGTGCTCCGCCAGCGTATCCCGTTAGCGCAGGCGGCGGGTTACCATTCCATTTTCATCCACAAAAAAAAAACCTTCCATACAAACATACACACTGCACTTACTTGGTCACGTACCCGTAAGTGTAGTATAATTACCAGCGCTAAAAGCTGAGAAATATAAAAGACAAGTACAATAATATGATACCTATATACAGATATTGTTTATATCTATGCTCTGTTTCTAACTATATAGCTACTAATATATTATTTATCATATTATTTTTGCACCATATATGTTATGCTATATATATAAACCCTATGGACACTTCGGGTTCTCAATCTTGACTGGAAATAATCCTTCTAAGGGATAAATAAGTATCGTCTAAATACATTACATTAGTTTATTATTATATATAATTTTCGCCTATTCGACTTATGTCGTATCGTATGTTATTCTTTATATATATATATATATATATATATATATATATATATATATATATATATATATATATATATATATATATATATATATAAAACAATGTTAGCAAGGGCGAACTTATCTCTAACAGAGATTTCTTCCAGTCAACCTAACGCAGTGGCATAGGAAGTACTTTATGTCCTACCTTGCCCTCTCCTTTGTTGAGTGTGTACTGAATTTGTGTATTATGTAGGAATACGTTGTCTCCTAATATAATTATTTTATTATTATGTTAGTAAGACAAAAATAACATAATTGAATTGTCCATATTGCAGGTGGCCTTTGGTTTGGCGGTAGGAGAGGAGAGCTTCCAATTCGAGCATCGTGATTTGCACTGGGGGAACGTGCTGATCGCTCCTACTGATCAGAAGGTACTTTATAAATGTTTATCTGTATATAGTATTTTTTATGCTTAATAAGGGTTTAATAAGCATACAGCCCGGCTGATGGTAAATGCTCATTGTAGCCTATGGACACCTGTAACATCAAAGCTGTCACAAGCGCGTTGCCAACCAGAAATATTTCAAACCTCAGGATTTTTTTCTTGGCTATATTTGGCTAAGTACTGCGTTTAAGGGTTTGAGTATATAAATATACTCACTGAGTGCTAATTACACGCAAGAGGGGGGGGGGGGGGGAAGGGATTGTTAGCAATGGAGTTTGAAAGCCCCATTGCTAGCAATATGCAGTATTAGGTCGACCTACCCCTGGAAACCACCGTGAACAATTCTTGTTGAATTCATCACGATGGGCTAACTGATCTGCTTCATCCTCACCTATTATCCTTCACTGGTGCCTCGCCGGTGTATACCGATAGCGCGGGTGGGGTGACCATACCATTTTCTCACATCAAAAACAAAAAAGTAATTCATGAATACAATTCCTTCCAAACCATTCTGAGAAGACTACATCATTTACTTTTGTGAACAAACAACAATGGCAAACTGTTTTATTTCTGTTTTATATTCATACTTTGCGATTGTGTGAGCTCATTAGCATATCTGCTGTCTTCATGCAACAACAAACGTATGTGTGTCGTGTAAATATTAAATTTAAAAAATTAGAACCGTATATACCAATATACGGATAGGAAATGATGTTAAATATATTTACTTGTGTCATGTATGTCTCGTTTGTTAACAATTTACGTTTCGCAATTGTTGTAAATATTTAAATAAAAAAGTGACTTGTATCGAGTTATCAATATCAATAGGAGCGCCCAGTAACTACGTGCGAGCACGTCGACGGCACTTATTCGATGTTCCATTACGAAGAACAGAGTTCGCTAAGCAGGCTCCCCTATCTCTTGCATTGAAACTGCTCAATGATATTTTGAGCCAGTATCCGCAATTGGATGTATTTGCCTCCAACTTGCTGGAGTTTCGTCAAGTGACCACAGTGTTTCAGTTAAATCTTTTTATATTATTTTTTGTTTAGTATTTTTGTGTAATATTCCTTTTTGTACATTATTGTACTCATGCTTTCCTGGGTGAGCGTATTGGAAGACTGTAAGGCTCACCCAGTGGATGTAATAAATAAATAAAGAATAATATAATTGAATTGAAATTTTATTTTTCATTCATTATATAATAAATAGATAGATTAGATAGATAATTTATTTACATTACTTACAGCACACAAATTACAATAAAAAAAAAAAAAACTATGTTTAAGTAGTTAGTGACAGTATAACTGTCAGTGTTCGTGGTGCGATGTAATAACTGTACAAATGACTTTTGGACAAATGTTATTACTCAATTAAGTACTTGTTGGACTAAAGAATAATTCTACTTTATAAGCACATAAATAATATTTTGTTAATAGTATTAGTAGTAGTAGTATTTAGTAGAAAAGAAGTTACCATAATATTAAAATTTTGTATGCTATTGTTTTGGCAAAACACGCCTGTTCCTAACATATTATTGCTAACATCTGTATACCGTGTTTTTCAGCAAATAAATTATATTATTATTATTAACATAGCGTGACTTGTTGGCAGTACGCGACCTTCGTGCTGGGCGGGCGGGCCCACCGCGTGCTGCGGTGCGGCGTGGCGGCGACCATAATAGACTACTCGCTGTCGCGGCTCTCGTTGCCGCTGGCGACCGACTGCGCGGCGCTGTACAACGACCTCGCCGCCGATGAATCGCTGTTCGAAGCCGTCGGCGACTACCAGTTCGAGGTGTACCGCCTCATGAGGGAGAAGTTGGGGTGAGACTTTTTTTTTATAATACAGGGGGCAAACGAGCATATGTGGCTCACTTTATGGTTGTATGGTTTGGTTTTTTTTTTTATACAACTTAGAATGGCAAACAAGCTGACGGCCCACCTGATGGAAAGTGGTAACCGTCGCCTATAGACATGTGCAGTACCATGGACATAACAGAGTATACAGTTTCGCCCATGATACCCCTCATGCGTTGCCATTCCTGAGGACTCAGGTGTTATTCCTCTGTACCCAGTAAGTTCACGCCATATCCCACCCTTCAAACCGAAATACAGCCATGCAAACACAACTGCTTCACGATTGAAACACGAATGGTACCCAAGCAATCGACTTTTGTACAAAGTCTCCCTCTGGTGTATGGCCTATCGCCGCCCATAAGCACCCGCAATACCAGAGGCATTGCAGATATGCTGCCGGCGTCTGTGTTAAGTATGAATAAATTTATATTAACCATCTAGGGTTTGAAGAACAGAAACAGTCGACAAAGAAACAATATAAGATACATTTTGGTGACATTGGGGTCGATTCAAAGACAGAATTCTCTAAATCTACCTTAAAATTTAAATTTCAGTTTGATATCACTAAATCTTTATTCAAAGAACTAATGTAAACTAAATTTCTAATCTATACTTATATAAATATAAATCTGTAGGGAGGTCAATTCTGTACATGAAATATATTTCCAAAATAACTATCAGGTGGGGTGATTAGTGATCGATACTGATGCCAAAAATGCAATCAGTAAAATTTTTGTCTGTCTGTCTATATGTTCGTTATAGAAACAAAAACTACTGGACGGATTTTAACGCAACTTGGTACAATTATTTTTTATACGCCTGGACAGGTTATAGTATACTTTTCGTCAAGCCACAATTAATAGGAGCAGAGCAGTGAAGGGAAATGTGTCTGTTACATCAAAACCACTGAACCGTGAGGAAGGACATAGGCTACTTATTTTACGAAAAAAAAAACGACGGAAACACGGACGAAGTCGCGGGGAACAGCTAGTCTCTAATAAATATGTTATTATAGTAAATTTACTTTATGATAGTTCATAAAGTACTATTGAAAACTATCAAAATGTTAGTTTTAGAGATATTTTTAGACAATGACACCTTGGAAAAGGACCTCATAGCTGCAATCATAAATAAAATTATTGTTTTTTTTTTAAATATTAGTTTCATTAAGTATTATTTACCCTACATGAATATAATGAAACCAACACGTGAATTTGAAAAGTTTGGTAGTCGGACATAATTTATGACAAATTGTAGACATGGACTGTTTAATCCAACGAAACGAACACTGTTAGCCTTGTTTGTGATGATTTTTAATAATTATGTCCCAGGATAATCCTTATTATGGACAAATTACCAAAATAAATAAATATAAAAGTCTTTCTAATTTACCTTAATTTTCTGTATTCTATTCCATCTATAGAATTTGAAACAATCCAGAAACAATTAGTATATTTTAGTTGTGTAATTGACTTAATCATACTAAAATTTGAACTTTTTTAATAAATTTTTGTTCACAGCAATGATTGGAAGAATTTCGAGCCATACACAAATATACTGTGGCTGCATTACACTGTGGATAAAATGATAACGGCCCTCCGGTACAAGAGGACTAACACGAAGATTCACAAGCACTACATAGCCAAGCTGAAGGGAATCAAAAACAGGATCCTCGAGTACCGAAGCGCTGCACAATTTGTACTTACAGACAACGAATTTTAAACGAACAAATTATGATAATAGGACATTCATTATTGAAAATTGCGAAGGAAATTTAATATTTTTCTCACTAGTAATTAATTAAATAATTAAATTCAAGATGAATCTAGTTGTTAGCACTGTTTGCTGTTGTTATAAAAACAATATTATGACGATAAATTGCATAAATTCAAATGTAAATAGTTTTTGCTTTGGGATATTTGTTAAAGTTATAGAAGTTAAAATGATTATTTACAATACATTACAACAATATCTGCTGAAAGGTGCCTTCTTAGCTAGGCTAGTGCCTTTATTCACAATACTAATAAATGCATACATCATATTTAACATAATTTGTTTTATTAAATGTGTGAAATACATTTAACCCACAGCTATCAGACTAATAATCAAGATTCAAGATAGTATCTTACACTGAGTACACCCTGAATGCAAAAAATACCACCCTCACCATAACTTTTATAGAAAAAGTATAATACCAATATCACCAAATTTTTTTAATAGATTACAATTTTTTTTTATGATGGGTGATAATGGTATGGTAACCCCGCCTGTGCTAACAAGATACGCTGGCGGAGCACCGGTGAAGGGTGATCGAAAACAGGCCATTTAGCCCATCATGATGAATTCATCAGGAATTAACCATGATAGTTTCCAGGAAGAACCGCGAGCAGATCGACCTGGTTGAGTATATTACTAGCAATGGGATTCTCAGTCTCCATTACTAACAATCCCTTTCTCCCCAATAGATGATAATGGAATGCTAGCAGATGAAAGCAACTACTGGCAAAACCCCCTAGAAAATAGAAGAAGGCCTATGTTCAGCAGTGAACAATTAACGGCTGGTATGGAATGGTAGCCCTGTCTTGGCTATCCGTATACACTAACACCAGTGATGGTGATAGATGGAGATGAAAGTAAATCATTACGCTCATAATGATGAATAAATTAATAAACGAATCGTGAAGGTTTCCAAAGGGAACAACAAGTAGATCGACCTGTTAGAATATATTTCTGACAATATAACTTCTAATCCCCGTTATTAACAATTCCTTCTCCCACTAATATCACCTTAGCTTGTCACACTGTTGTGGTTAACATTGTTTTGTGGGCTTCATCATGAAGAACGATCCTACAAAATAGTATAAACAATACCAGCTTCATAAAGTCCTAGAATTTTTTTTTTTTTTTATAGAATGGTAACCCATCTGCACTATCGGAAGACACTGGCTGGGCATCAGTGAGGAACAATGCATGAGAATAAAAGCAGGTCACTTAGCCCATAGTGATAAATTTCATAAGAATTATTCGCGATGGTTTCTAGAGGGAACCACCTGGAGATCAATCAGACAAGGTATATTGCTAGCAATGGGACTTTAAAACCCCATTACTAACAATCTCCCTTCCTCCTTCGATGTAGTAGGCTTGTGAACTAAAAAGCAAAACATTCAAATTCAGGCAGCTCAAATTATTGATGATCAGCGCCCTACTCGACCCACTGAAACTGCGTAGAGACGTTGCATCTCTATGCATCTTTTATTGAATTTATCAAGGGGAGTGCTCTTAGAAATTGTTAGATTAATATCTGATTTTTACCATCGTACTACCCGCTACAAACTAAATTTGCATCCCAAACATCTGGATGAGTGGCAATCTTCCACCTTGCGTTTTTCAAGGCAATTTCTTCCACATTACTACCACGCTTTAGCATCAACTTTTAATTGCAATATTTCCGAACCGAAACAACATTGTAACCTTCAAGAAAAGAGAATAATATTCCTTATTAAAAGACCGACAGCACACCTGCAGTGCTTCTGGTGTTACGGATGCTCATGTGTAGCGGTAGTAATCATCAAGTGAGCCGCTCTCCATTCTCAAAAACCGTTCTTTGGCTTTGGCGATCATAGGAAAAACTTTGAATGTGCGCCCTACCCTAAAAATTAAAGTTGCCGAAAGTGAGTCAATAGTATTTTCGATACATCAGCAGAAGTACTGATTACAAATTTGATGCTACACTTTATATATGGCTTCTAAAACCCTTGGCATCTATTAACTTATGGCATTCAGAGCGCTGTTAGACTATTCTTTCTATGTTACCCGCTAACTTTTTAATTTCGAACGGATTTTGCAAATTAATGTCAAATAAATATAACTTATTAAACTTATAAAATATTTATAATAAAGTAATAAGGGGAAAGGGATTGTTGGAAATGGTATCGAGCAACTCCATTACTAGTAATATATCGATTTTTTTTAATGGATGATAATGGAATGGTAATTCCGCTATCGGTGTATGCTGGTGGGATACCAGTGAAGGATGATAGGTGAGAATGAAAACAAATCAGTTAGCCCATCGTGACAAATTCATTAAGAATTAAAAACAATAGTTTCCAGTTGGAACCGTGTGGAGATCGACCTTAGTGAGTATATTGCTTGTAATGAGGCCGGTAGTCCTTATTACTAACAAAATATACCTTATTACATTGACCTCCACGCGTTTCCTCTTGAAAAACATCATGATTAGTTCTTGTAGAATTTATTATAATGGGCTGATCTCCGTCAACCTCATCTATCATTTTTAACTAATGCCTCGCCAGTGTATACCATATAGAACAAGAAAGATTAGCATTTCATTATCAGAATTAATTTAAGGAGGAAAAACCACCTTAAAGACAAGGCTGCTTGTTTTCTTTGTTTTATAACCAAAATTTTGAAATCGAAGCATCATAAAATGCTTGTTTAATGACCGTGTGCGGTAGTCATAATTCGTCATTGTCACTATTAAGTTGTCAAACAACAGGCTGTCAGTTTCACTGTCAATTCTTATCAATTTTATTTATCACAACAATTGTCACAATTTGACAATTGATCATGCAGTCAAATTGCGATTGACGATTTTTGTTCGGTTCTCTTTTTCTTCTGTTCTCAATAACATATGAAAAATGCGCAAATAAATAGTGTAAAACTTTTAAAATATATTTTAATAATGTATTTATTTTGCACGATGGCTTTCTAACAAATTGAGAACTTTAGGTTCATATGATACGATTCGTGTATTAAAAAAATCTTTAAATACAATTTCCCTCTATCGACTTTAAATCGTAATATTGTTAAAGAATGGAAGGCAGCACAGATTCTCTTTCTGGTAAGTAAATTTTTCTATTACTCTTCAATTATTCTAAAAATATCAAACCACTATTGAAAGGTTTACATAATTTACGATAATTCTAGTTTTGTCGCCACCAATGAGCGGTTCTCCTGCTGTTTTATTGACTCCTGGACGGACCAGAAACATCGCTCAGGACATGGAAGCCCTCAGGCTATCGAGACAGGATAATCCGTATTTACAGGTGCGTAATGGAACATTAATTATTTAAGTCAGTAATGGTTACATGACACCTAATTACAACATTGATTATTTAATACTTTGTTATGTAGTAGTTTTGTTGTATAATTTTACAATAATTTTAAAGAACATCTTTAAATTTCATTTTTTAACAATAATTATACAATTTATTGTATAAATTTTTAAAAACATTTTGTATTCTATTTTTAAAATAAAATTTTGTTACAGCAAGTAATGGCCAGTAGAGAAAGCCTAATTGAGAGTCACACAGACGAGTGTGAGTCAGATGATACAATACTCATGTCACAGGTATATCATATTTCTCAATTATTTAAGTATATATAAGTAATAATGTTAAGTATATAGAAATACGAATAGATGGAAGTGTATATGTGTATACTTATAAGTTCTATAAGTATAGTTTATTTTTGATGGGTGAAAATGTACTGGTAACCCCGACTGTGCTAACGGGATATGCTGGTGGAACACCAGTGAAGGGTGATAGATGAGAATGAAAACAGGCCAGTTAGCGCATCATGATGAATTCATCAGGAATGAATCATGATAGTTTCCAGGGGGAACCGCGAGGAGGTCGACCTGGTTGGATATATTGCTAGCAATGGGATTCTCAGTCTCCATTACTAACAATCCCTTTCCCTCCTCTATAAGTATAGTATTATGCTATTTATGTGTATACATACTAACAACTATAAATTATAGTGTAGTAGGAGAAGGGATTGTTAGCATTGGAGATCTAACAGCCCTATTGTTAGCATATACCCTATCAGGTCGACCTCCATGCAGAAACTAGCTCCTTGGAAACTATCTTGATTAATTATTTTTATTTGTTATTATGGGCCATCAGAACCTGCTTTCATCCTCATCTCTCATTGATGCTCTGTCAGCATATACCGATAGCGCAGGTGGGGTTACCATTGCATTATCACCCATTAAAAAAATATTATAAATTACAGTAATTGAGTGTAAATATAAGTTATGTTAATATGCACATAACACCTCCATTTATAGAATAACAAAAATCTGAAAATGTGACCTTCCATTCTTGTCTTAAGTTGTTCATACAGGTGATCCGTGCATTTTTACTTTCTATGGAATTTAATATTTACAATTATGTATTTAATCAGGTATAAATTAACTAAATGGGCATATAGCAATATCTAAATAAAATATTTTTTGCATCCCTGCTGATATGATGCTACCAAAGGGAGATTTTGTACAAAAGTCGATTGCTTGGACACTTCTGTCCCATTCATATTTCTACCGTGAAACAGTTGTGTTTGCATGGCTGTGTTTCAGTTTGAAGGGTGGGATATAGCAGTGAATTTACAGGGTGCAGAATAATAACACCTGAGTTCTCATCAATGGTAACGCATGGAGGGTATTATGGGCGAAACAGTATACTCTGTTATTTACCTAACTTAGTATGGCAAATAAACTGATGGCCCACCTGATGGAAAGTGGTAACCGTCGCCTATAGACATAAGCAGTACCATGGACAACAGAGTATATTGTTTCGCCCATGATACCCTCCATGCGTTGCCATTCATGACTTTGAAAAAGCCAGTTTTTTTGGGGCCATTCATTTTAAGGTAGGGTATTGGGCCTTTTAAGCTAGAGCATTGCTTCTCAATGCCCTCCCCCTCCCCCTCAGTTACGTCCATGGTCATAATATATGTTACTGTTTTATTGTAAACTAAACCATATTAATTTGCAAATTATGTCATAAAATAACGTCACCCCGTTAGATTTACAATTGAAAATTGACCTGTCAAATTAATATATGTTAATGTTTAGTTAAAAGATTCATGGCTGCTATGGGATTTGTAATTACTGTTGTAGGCTTTTAAATAGGATTAACTAAGTGTTTATATGCTACAAATTAAATATACTTACCTCTCTCCCTTCGTCCACTTAATTGCTGAAGGTCGTGTCCTTGAAAGGTGTATATACTTACCATTGAATGGTATACATCAATAATCACATTTATTTTATGTACATAATTGGATTTAGGTATTAACTACTAGGTATTTACGAGTTAACTTATTATGGTAATGCATTTTGGTTGATTGGTTATTGTTAGTATAAATTCATATATTTCTACAAATTACTTTCTAAACCAATTCTGTTTAGATTTAACCATTTCACAGACATGGTGAATTCATTTGAGCTCTTTTTTTTTAAATGGATGATTATAGAATTGTAATCCTGCCTGCGGTATCGGTATACACTGGTGGGGTACTAGTAAAGGATGATAGATGATGATGAAGCAGCTCAGTTGTCTTATGACACAATGGATGAAGGGTATATTGCTAGCAATGGGATTGCTAATCTCCATTACTGACAATTCCTTCTCTTTTTAAGTTTATTTGAGCTGTTCTCATATTCTTATGATTTACCAACTGTATCCTGCGACTTCGCTCGCGTGAATTAGTATATAAAGAATTCTATGTGTTAGGTTTGGATATAACTTACCCATAATTGTATTCAAGTCCGTTTGGTAGTTTTTGAGTGAATGAGTAATAAACATCTATTCATCTATCCATACAAACTTTTGCATTTATAATATCAATATGATACTAAAGGTTTTTTTTTGGTGGGTGAAAATGGAACGGTAACCCCACCTGCGCTAACGGGATTCGCTAGCGGAGCCCCAGTGAAGGGTAATACATGAGAATGAAAACAGGCCAGTTAGCCCATCATGATGAATTCATCAGAAATTAACCATGATAGTTTCCAGGGGGAACCACGAGGAGGTCGACCTGGTTGGGTATATTGCTAGCAATGGGTTTTTTAGTCTCCATTACTAACAATACCTTTCCCCCCCGATACTAAAGGTTATAATTTTAATATAGTATGATAGAAATAGCTAATATCCAAATTGTATTATAAAAACCATGTGGTCCCGGAATAGAATAGGCCCACCTTTCCCGTGGGTGTCGTAAGAGGCGACTAACGAGAGCGAGGAATGGGCAGCAGCGTCCTTTTTAAAACATTTCCAAAGCCTAACGACGGTTGGCAACCCACCTGTCAAACGTAGCAAATACTGGCTAAACACCAGGGCTCCCCCTGGTGTTTAGCTTACGTTCAGTAGAGGACAGTTAAGAGCTAATATGATGATAGTGAAGGGGCCGCCTGAAAATCAACGCTATATAGGTACATCTCGCTGGAGCTGTACATATATAGCAACAGCTGAGGCGGCTCCTATTACCAGCAACATTAATTGTTTTTTTTTCTTTTTGTTGTTTTAATTTTTATTTTCTTAATACTGGTAATAAAGGTTATCTATCTATCTATCTAGTTATAAAAACACCATGTCTTAAAAAAAAAAAAAAAACAAAATGTCTTCAATTTTCATAATTCTTTTTATATTTATTGTGTATATCTTTTTAAAGCCACATATTTGTTAATATTACAGGAGTTCGGTAGCACCGCGCTGGACTTCGTGGAAGACGACCCGCTCACTCTCAAGGAGGTCCATGAGCACATGATCAGATCACCGCCACCAATCAGCAGCTGGCCGCACGGTAACAATTATATTTTAAAAATATTCTACAATTACAATCTTGTATTTATTTAATAGTAATATTTTGTCAAATAGCATTGTGACTGATTACCTTGCTTCCTTTTTACCTAGTTTGTTTTATGTATGTTTTTTCATGATGGCAAACAAGTGTAGCTGTGTATAACGTGTTTATTTACAACACAGATTAATGATAAAAATCTTAAAAATACACTTGTGACTTTGAACTAACATTTTTTTTTTAAATGTAGCTCAATGTAGCTTTTACCAGAGGGAGACTTTGTACAAAAGTCGATTGCTTGGGTACCTTTGTCCCATTCGTGTTTCAACCGTGAAGCAGTTGTGTTTGCATGGCTGTGTTTCGGTTTGAAGGGTGGGATATGGCGTGAATTTACTGGGTACAGAGGAATAACACCTGAGTCCTCAGGAATGGCAACACATGGGGGGTACTATGGGTGAAACAGTATACACTGTTATGTCCATGGTACTGCTCATGTCTATAGGCGACGGTTACCACTTTCCATCAGGTGGGCCGTCAGCTTGTTTGCCATTCTAAGTTGTATAAAAAAAAGAAGCTTTTTACTACTTAACGGATTTTAAAGGATTTTCAAAATCGATTACTTATTTTACTTATTTTTGATATAATGGTTTATTTATCTATTATATTGTACTATACAAACAAACATACAAAATATATTTTTCTCCTATTTATAATGTTAGTCTAGGTCTACAAATTATAGTAGCTTTATGAATTCTGTTATTACTACGATATTTTACTACAATTTCATTAAAATTATATTAATTTTTATAATAGTACATTTTGCCAGTGATTGTTGCAAATAAACATTTGGTAACCTCAAAAGTACAACGATAAATTAATTATTACTAATACTTTATTTTCCTCCAATAAACCAACGATCGCTTCACTGGAAAAGGCGGTTAAGAATACGCGGGACAACTGTCTCTCGTCTTGAGCAAGCCTCATACTCTCTAGTTCAAGGGTGGCCAACTTGTTAAGACCCAAGTCTGTTTATTAAAGACTCTATGTGCGATCTACCAATACAAAAAGCGGTCAGTCCAAGTCAAAAAGTTGGCTACCCCTGCTCTAGTTATGTAGTTTATTTGTACTCCTTATGCTAACTCCATTAACCCTTAAAAGCCTGATTTTTTTAAATCAAATTAAAAAATATATAAGTGTACCCTTTACTGTGTTTACTAATGGGGAAAAATAGTAAAAAAAAATCAAAACGATATTTTTATATATTTATTTTGAAAAAAAAAAACCATTTGGTAACATGCAAACAGCCAAATATTAAAATAAAATCGATTGTAGGCGCCCAATGCGATTTATAACCCCGGTATCAAATTTGAAACTTCAGGTATTTAAGGGTTAACTTTCCAAGCTTTACAAGTCTTGATGCCTCATACCTTGCTATGCAACTCCTTACTACGTGCATTAATACATTAATATTTGTACCGACACGCTTACGAAGATCCGCTGTCGTACCGCGCGTCGAGTGCGTTCGACTTCGCCGACAGTCCAGTGTCGTATAGCGCTTTCTCAGTCAATTCCCAGGATAAGGTTACTAACATATATATATATATATATATTTGTGTTGTCCTCTATGTTAGAACTAATCGCTTATGCACTATGGTGGAACAAAACGATGATCAACTGTTGGTGAAAGAATAGAAGAGTTTTTAATGAGAACATGTTACGACCTCCATGGGGCAGTGTCGGTATATTGTTTTTTTTATGAATGATAATGGATACTCCGCCAGCGCTAATGGTATACGCTAGGGGGGGGGGGGGAACCAGTGAGGGATAATAGGTGAGAATAAAAAAGCAGGTCAGTTAGCCCACCGTGACGAATACACCTGGATTTAAACACGATGGTTTCAGAACATGTGGAGGTCGACCTGAAAGGACATATTGCTAACAATGGTATTAGTAGGGGGGAAAAGGATTGTTAGTAATGGAGACTGAGATTCCCATTGCTAGCAATATACCCAACCAGGTCGAACTCCTCGCCGTTCTCCCTGGAAACTATCATGGTTAATTCCTGATGAATTCATCATGATGGGCTAACTGGCCTGTTTTCATTCCCATCTATCACCCTTCACTGGTGCTCCGCCAGCGTATCCCGTTAGCGCAGGCGGGATTACCCATAAAAAATGGTATTAGTAGTTCGCGTTACTAACACTTCCTCTATCTTATTTAGGTGAAGTTAAGTTCATTTTAGAGGTTATATAACTTTTTTTTTATGAATGTCCATGAAAACGTTAACGTTTTACTATAAACATTTTGATATAGTGAATAATATAATTCATAATACTCGTTAAAAGTAGGCATCAGTAATATGGATACCGATGCAATATTGCCTTCCTCTGGACATTGATAGGGAAAAATAAAAATCACCAATTTCGATATTACCTATATCGGTCTGATATCTATTTTAAAATGTATTTAAAGTCTGTTAATCCCTATTATTTTTTGGATAACAGACTTTTAACATATTCGTTATTGGACCAATACATAGATGTTTTTTTAATGCATGATTAATGGAATGGTAACCTCGCTTGCGTTATCGGTATACGCTGGCGGGGCACCAGTGAGGGATGATAGGTCAATAATGAAAAATGCAGGTCAGTCAGCCCATCGTGATGAATACACCTGGAACTCAGCACGATGGTTTCCAGGGGGAACCGCGTGGAGGTCGACCTGACAGGGTATATTGCTAGCAACGGGACTGGTAGCCCGCATTACTAACGATCCCTTCCCCCCCAATATATAGATATTGTAACTAAAATATTGTTGTATATTACCCACCCCTAGTTAAAAGTATCGATTTGTTCCACTTTTTTTTTGTTAATATAATGCACAATAATAATTAAGGTAATGCACAATGTTTAGTAATAAATAGTTATGAAAATATTTTTATTATACTCAGTTACAGTTGAACAGAATCTCTCGATAATTTATAATAATGTGTAATTGACAATATGAATTCATATAATTGAATAGAGAAGAGCAAAGATTTTTGTTTCTTTTCAGTCCTTAGTGACTGACAAGTCACTAAGGACTGAAAAGAAACTAACTAACTCACACTAGATATACAGGTTTTATTTACCATTACACCAGATTTATTATACCAGAGGGAGACTTTGTACAAATGTCGATTGCTTGGGTACCTCTGTCCCACTCGTGTTTCAACCGTGAAGTGTGAAACAGTATACTCTGTTACTGCTCATGTCTATAGGCGACGGTTACCACTTTCCGTCCGGGCCGTCAGCTTGTTTGCCATTCTAAGTTGTATAAAACAAAAAAAAAAAATTCGTTGCTCTTTCGATTGACAAGTTCGACCCTAAATACTACGATAACTGAGTATGATAAAATATGTATTAATGTAATACAATTATTTCTTATCTCTTTACTAGATTCGTAGTAATTATCTCAAATAATCTCTTGAAATTATAATAATCATATCTCTATATTATTTTGTATAAGATTACTGTACCTATTTATAATATTTTGTATTATTTACATTCAAATTGGTATGACATGAGGTGACGAGATGAGTTGGCAAATACAGGAGCTACTAGGGCCTCGTTCGCCTCGACGAGGCGCACGAGGAGATCGAGGCGAGAGAGGAGACGAGGCGCGGAACAACAATTGGGGCGGCGGCGGGCGACCGCGCTCTTCGCGATCGGTCTCGCCGCGCTCGCACGATCTCACGCTCTGCGGCCGACCGCTCTCGCTGCCGGGTACGTTATTCGAAATGACCACATTTTATATTTATTTATTTAATCAATTAGTCGAGCTTTACAGTTTCCCAAGGATCATTACCCTTATCATTGAGCACCCTCAAGTTTAAAACGTGAGTAAAGCTGAAATGATTACAATACAATAATTATTATTCAAGTTTTATGTTACACTAGCGATCCATCCCGACTTCGTACGGGTATATATATATATATATATATATATATATATATATATATATATATATATATATATATATATATATATATATATATATATATATATATATATATATATATATATATATATATATATATATATATATATATATATATATATATATATATATATATATATATATATATATATATATATATATATATATATATATATCATTAATAATACATATTAGCTTTATTAGGCAAATTTTTGATACCTTAGGTTATATTATTGATATTTTCGTAAGGATCTCTAACTTCTTTTATTTTATTATATGCTTATATTATTCCCTAATAATGTAGCTTTTTATACGTATAAGAATATTTAAAATTTATTAAGTAGTTTTTGAGTTTATCCATTACAAACAAATATACAAACAAAAAGTCTAAATCTTTCCTCTCTATAATATTGATCTTGATGTATTCCAGGTGAGACGCATCTCCGCAACGCTCTGAGTAAAAAGCCGGGCCAACAAAACGACCGATTCTCGTTACTGCAACACCCGCGCCCCCTACGGAGGCCTCATGCCCGACGCGACGATGACAGCGAGCAGCTTGTCCCGCAGTGTGATAAGTAACGCACATATACTACCCAGTGCGGATAAGATTACGCAGACGCGTGGTGTCACTACTGGCGGTAGGGAGTAAGATTACGCAGACGCGTGGTGTCACTACTGGCGGTAGGGGGTAACATTGCGCGGACGCGTGGTGTCACTACTGGCGGTAGGGGGTAACATTACGCGGACGCGTGGTGTCACTACTGGCGGTAGGAGGTAACATTACGCGGACGCGTGGTGTCACTACTGGCGGTAGGGGGTAACATTACGCGGACGCGTGGTGTCACTACTGGTGATAGGGGGTAAGATTACGCGATTATCTATGCTCTGTTTAAAAATGTGAGAGGTAAGATTGCGCGGAGGTGTGCCATAGATGTGTAGTTATTTGGAAATACTGGGTAGATTACGTATGGATGTGCCATCTTTATCTATTGATTTAGAAATTGAAAAGTGTCTAAGTGTAAGTGTGTAGTGGGTCCAACCCATGCGGAAAAGGATTGTAAATATTAATGTACTTAAATGAGCTTTTGCTCTAGGAAACAAATTTCATTAATATGTGTTTTTATGTATGGATCAATGATCAAGATTTGTTATAATAGAACTTTTGTTCTTTGTTTAAAGTAGGTGGAAAAAATAATGGAATCGAATACTAACATTATAATAGTTATTGTTAAAAAAAAATTAATAGAATATTATCTATACAAAATTTATAACTTGTTTAGCAAATAGCATGTCACCTAGCTTGTCACACTCAAACATGAAATAATATAAATATGTTATTTTTTTATTATTTTTTTTTTTTTACAAAGGAACAAACGCCCAAAATTCCAATCTGTGAATAATCTATGGGTTCGCTCACACAGACGTATTTTTTTTTCGGTCGTGAAAAATTGAATATGAAGGAATTATTTTTTATTTTTACAATGTCCTCTGAATTTCTATGAACATACACATAAATACCAATATTTGTATGTCCTTGTGTTAAATTGTAATTTCTGGACATCTTTTTGTCTTGTATGGGTTGTCATTAAATTACGTATGTGTGAATGGGCTGTAAGATAATCATAAAATAAAAAAAAATCACTCAATTTACAAAACGAGAAGGTTCTGAATTCGATTTTTTTTTGTACGTTACGCTATATGATTGGTAATTGTGGACCGATTTTAATCATTCTTTTTCGTGAGAAATTTGCATATTCTACTCACGTATTTGTTCTATACTAGTATTGTCATAATTGAAGTTGGTTGTTCATGAAAGTTATTCTTAAATAATTTGAACATATCTCGCAGTGAAACATGTAGTTGTTTACATAAATTCCTAATAAATGCTCACATTAGTATTATTTATTGCTATTAAATACCAAATGTATAGACATGTAGCGACACGTTGTAACTTAGTATCGAGGCTGCGCAAATGAGGGGCTTTTAGTTCGCGGACGAATTATCCCTATAGATACTTTCTCCTTTCGAGTTCTGAAGGTTTTTTTTTATTGGATGAAAATGGAGTGGTAACCCCGCCTGCGCTAACGGGATACGCTGGCGGAGCACCAGTGAAGGGTGATAGATAAGAATGAAAACAGGCCAGTTAGCCCATCATGATGAATTCATCGGGAATTAACCATGATAGTTTCCAGGGGGAACCGCGAGGAGGTCGATCTGGTTGGGTATATTGCTAGCAATGGGATTCTTAGTCTCCATTACTAACAATCTCTTTTCCCCCCGGGAAAAGGGATTGTTAGTTAGAAGAGAGAAGTCAATCTGTGTATATTTTCGTTATAACCTGAGGACCTACGATGAAATGTTTTCCGAAATTTCGGAGCCGAAAGAAACACAAATTTGATGTTAAAATTACATAATACTTACCGTTCAAAAACATAAAAAATATGAAAATATTATTCCTTTGGACTTTTATGGTAGGATTTATGACGAACAAAATGTTAAGCTCCATTTACTGGGCCGATTTGGATATGAAAGAAAACACGAAATTGATTTCGAAACTTCGGAGTTTCATTTCATGGTAGGCTGCTAGATATCATGGTACTGCTCATGTCTATAGGCGCCGGGTACCACTTTCCCATCAGGTGGGCCGTCAGCTTGTTTGCCATTCTAAGTTGCTTAAAAGAAATATATATATTATAAGTGAATCTTTTATAGTATTTTGCAAAAATTGAAAAAAAAATTCAATTCGGTTGTGTTTTCTTTTATGTTTGTTAAATCATAACTCCGTCAATTGTAAACCGATTCGAAAAATTCTTTTCTTTATCTGAAAGGTTTAAGATTGGTCCCGTAGAGTGTTTAACAAGATCTTTTAAGAGGGACGCTGATGCTCATCCCTCGTCTTCCCTTAGTCATTTCTTACGACACCCACGGGAAAGGAGGGGGTGGCCTATTCTATGCCGGGTTGACACCGCAATGTCTTTAATTCTAGAAAGATTATGTGTGCCTCATCAACAAAGAAGATATTTGTCCGCGGACTAAATGTCCCTCGTAGTCGCTGGCCGTTATTGTTGAAAATAAACATTTTTTATTAATTACAGTAAAGGTGGAATCACGTTTATTTTGAATTGTTCAGTAAAATACATCCGGTGGAATCAGTCCTAACTTACAAGAGATTTCATTATTTTAATTTTCGTGTACGACCTCCATGGCGTTGTGGTGGGCATGTTGCTTTGCCTAAATGAGGTCCCAAATTCGATTCCCGGTCAGACAAATTTAAGAAACAAATTTTCTCGCTTAAATCGGTCCTGGGTGTTCTGGATTGTACCCCTAGGTCAGGGGTTCCCAAACTTATTTTGTCTACTGCCCACTTTAAGAGTAAATTATTTTTAGCATCATTGGCATCAGTATCGATCACTAATCACCCCCTGGCAGTTATTTTGGAAATATATTTCATGTACAGAATTGACCTCCCTACAGATTTATTATAAGTATAAAAGATAGATAGATAGATGAACATAAATTTTAAAAATAGTATTTTTTTTTTAATATTTACAAATCGAAAGTACCGATAACGTGATTCCTTCTTTTTAATAGATATTATTCTAAAATAACTAATAAATATTTTAAAATAAATAATAATTCATGATTAGCTACATGGGACAGATAAAGGAAACACTAGGCGTCATGTCGTATAGGGAGATAAAGGATATGGCCTGGGATAGAGCTGGCTGGAGGAAGATGCATGAATTAGCTGCACCGACAAGAGGGAACTCTTAAATGAAAAATGAAATGAAAATATTTTTGATGGTAAATGGCCAATGTGCGTACAGTGTGTGTTGTGCTACTGTAAATATTGTTAATTTATAATGCTCGTAATATTTTGAATCAATTCAATGTATTTAACTATCATGTTTGATGTAATATGTTTTTGTAGATTTTTAATTTCGATGTTGGTTGAATATAAATAAGGGGCTATTCACATTACAATGGCTGGGTACTGGCTAACTTTTGGACGCGCGTCAACTCGGCCAGTTTTTCTCCGCTAAATAAATTTTATATACTCGTACTTATAGGTATGGTTCCATAGAATTTTTATCAAAATTGGTTAATTTTTTAATAAAAAGAAAACAACTGTTTTTTTATCAAAATTTAATACGGTTATTTTTGTGAAAGACAATCGAAATTGTATAAATTGGGCTTAAATATTATATTGTTTTTTTTTTTTTTTTTAAATATTCTACACTTACATTTTTAATTCATAAATCTATAAGCAGAACGGTAAACCGTCTGTGCTATTAGTAAAAGCTCACCAGCTTATACCAATAGGATGAAGTGAGCATGAAGTTGGATCAGATGAGCCGTCGTGTACCATAATATAAATACGCTGATATCTCCCCCTTATAATTAATCCATGTTCAATAATGATATATTAATTTGATGTTATAAATAAATTTTAAAATTACTCGCCGGCCGAAACTGGCCGTCTATTCTCCACCCGTTGTAACATGAATAGCCCCTAAAGAATTTAGTGTTAAAGTTAGCAAAGTAAGTGGCAAGTTTTAAACCCCATTATTAATAAATTTGGTATCTCGATGTAGGTACTACCTTTTAAATGGCTTCGATGCGGCATTCCCGCTATTTTTAGATATATAAGTTTGAATTCTAGATTTGCACACTATAAATATAGTAATAAAAATAATTTTATATCGGTTGGCATTGGCAGGGTTCAAATAAAAAAAAATAAAAAAAAATCGGTTAAAAGATACGAGGAAAACCATGGGGAATATAAATTTATTAATTATCTAACTAATTTATATTAATATGAAAGATTTTTTATTTCTATTAATTAAAGTAATTGTATTTAAAAATTAATTCAATAGTAACTAGTAAGAAGGTAAACAATCAAATTTAGACACAAAACAGGAAAAAAAAAAATTTTTTTTTCAATTAAACTTAGATTAAAGCATTTTGGAATAGTAGTTTTTTTTTTTCACCAATTATTTATCTATTTGTACCATATTGATTAACCTTCTTCTTTCGAGTCAATAGACAACTTAAATATATTTGGACCGGAACCTGGCAACTAATGCTACTAATTGGACAACACTCGATTGTCTATGGTCTGTTTAATATGAGATTCGTTTACATTTCACCTAGCTTCTATTGTAATAAATTATAGAACCACGAAATCGTTTGTAAACATATTTAAAAATGGAATTGATATTATAAAATCAGTGCCTCGACAAAGTGGCAAGTTTTTCTAATTCCATACATTGTTCATACAATAATAATCTTTATTTTTATAAGTGTAGAATACAGAATTGTCTAAAAAAACACGCGTTCATAGTTGAACGAGATGGCACATTTGATATCTTGTTCTCTTACATTATATAGATAGAGTATCTCCATACAAATGTTACGTGAAAAGCGGGTCAACTTTTTCATACAATTTTGCATGATTAATAGTTATGAGAGATTCCGTTATAACTTCTATATTTATTTTGTTTTATAATTTCTGCATCCTTTTAATGCGTAAACACTCATTTTATTTATTAAATAATACGTCAAGATACATTTTATGCGTACGTATGTGTATAGAACACTGATAAAAAAACGTGTCAGCTAATTTGACAATTAGATGACAAAAAGTTGACCCGTTTTTGAGGCTCGATGCTCCATCTATATACCCTAAGCTTGTTCTCTATAAAAACTGTGGATAAATTCTGTTCCTGCACATTTTAAAAATGACTTGGTGTTTAGATATTAGTACCGATTGGACTTTACCAGAGGGAGACATTGTACAAAAATCGATTGCTTGGGTACCTCTGTCCCATTCGTGTTTCAACCGTGAAGCAGTTGTGTTTGCATGGCTGTTTCGGTTTGATGGGTGGGATATGGCGTGAATTTACTAGATGCGGAGGAATAACACCTGAGTCCTCAGGAATGGCAACGCATGGGGGGTATCATGGGCGAAACAGTATACTCTGTTATGTCTATGGTACTGCTCATGTCTATAGGCGACGGTTACCACTTTCTATCAGGTGGGCCGTCAGCTTGTTTGCCATTCAAAGTTGTATAAAAAAAATGTCTGCATAATATAATACAAAAAATTTATGTCTTATCTAGTATAAAATAGTGTATTACAATCATTCATGGCGCGACCCCCATAATATGTAAATTATTTTCCGACCTCCTACGGTTCCTAATCTGTAAATATTGGAGGGAAGAAATTGTTAGTAATGGGGAGGATAGTTCCCATTGCTATCAATATACCCATCAGGTCGACCTCCACGCGGCGCCCACTTCACTATCTTTATTAATATTTTAAATGTAAAAGTGAGTTTATTTGTTTGTTACCTTTTAACGCCTTAACAGTTTAACCAATTGCTATGAAATTTAGTATACACCTACTATTTAAAATGAGCCTATATTTTATCACGCTCATATCCCAAGTCAAACAGACGAAGTCGCAGGTAAAACCTAGTATTGTCATAAAAATATATAGCAAAGCTGTAACTCGAAGTTGCTTTAATTTTTTTTTATCGCAAAATGTATGATTTGTTCACGTTTTCTAACGACATTATTTGCCACTAGTCAATAGAAATGCATAAAAATTTAATAGACTTTAGATGTCATTAAACATATAATAGCAGGGTGTAACATAGTTCTGCAATGTTTGTGTTCATATTTTAAATATATTAATATTGTTTTTTTTTTTTTTTTATTAAATAATATATCTGTGTTTATCACTAGAAGTGATAGATTTTATCGTTAAGTGTCCGTATATTTTGCTGAAATTTAATTTTAGCATAAACTTGTCTTCGAATTGTTGTATAAATATATATGTATGTATGTATATGTAATTGAAGTAAGTGTGTAATGGAAACCAAGTCAAGTGTGTAAAAAAAGTGTAAAAAAGTTCATTGAACATGAATAGGATTTCTCCTCATTCGAAATTTAAATAATAATCACAGATATAGATGATAGTAGATGACGCAGTCACGATTTCAAATGGTATTTTTTTAAAGGGCTCGGTACAGAAGAGATTTCTGTCAATAAATAGCTTCTAGAAACCCTGTTAGCCGCATCATAACTGTAAAATGACTTGCTTTGACTTCCACGAGACGGGCTTTGCCTAGTGTGTGGTGATAGCTATATTGTACCATAGGCTAATTTTGTTAAAGGAAATAAAGATATTCTTAAGTCACAATACAAAATATGTAAGTAATTTAGTAACGGCTATATTTTGAATTTATTCTTGATGTTATTGTTACCTCAAACTATTCAGTACTGTAGCACTGAGATTTTAACATCTATTGTTCTCACCTTTTCTTCAATTCATGTCATCCTAGTTTTCGTATAAGTTAAATTATAAATTCAATTAAAAAGTATATATATATTAATGTTTTATATACGCTACAAGAATAAATTGTAAAGTTTGGTGTAACAACAATTTGAAACTTTATTATTTTTAACCAATCTGATCTTTATTAATAAATGAATTTACATGCGTCATCTATCTTTATTTATATCTATGTTATCATCTTTCCATAGGTAGAAAAAATGTTTATTTGCTGCTTATAATTTTAATTGTCAAATATAATAGTAATATATTTATGATATTATGTGATGATAGGCCAATTTCTGAATGAGGGACAGCGTAGACGAGCTACAGTCTTAGGAAACTGTTACTGCGGACTTTATTCCTACAGATTAGAAGGAATCCTTAAGAGTATTTACCTCTAAAGATTGCTTATCACTATAATTTGAATTTTAATTCAATAATTTAGCAAAACTATTATGCTATGACCATCGAGAATTACATATAAAGTGTTGGCACTTATTAGATTATTTTCCAGGTGACTGGCCATTTAAAAAAGGTGATTTTAGCCCATAAATGAAAAACTACTTATATCACTACTATTGAGATCACCGTCCGGTGTTAAGTTCGCCAAATGTACAAAGATTTACAATTTTACTGTGCATTAAAGTTTAAATAAATATATACATATATATCTTTCGTAACACATTTAAAGTTATTATATATAGAATAATTTTATAGTAGTTTTTGTATGCGAGACAGCTTAGAAGCCCTGGCATGGTTAATCCGGTCCTCCAAGTTCTTTTAAGGTAAAATCTACCAAAATGACAGCTGTCACTCGCACTTTGCCACAACGCAAAATTATAAGTGTACTGTAGTGGAGATAAATTCTGTTTGTTCTCCTTTAACAAAAGGTTGCCTGTAAGAGATTGGCCTAGCGATAAGACCGCCTTTTATACCTTTTTATTATATTTCATTATTTATTTTTGTTTCTGGTGCATAAGAGCTAAATAAATAAATCGCCTGAGGGACTGTCTCTCGTCTACGCAAGCCTTGACGCGTGTTTCTGTAAATGTATTCTGGTCCAATTGCTCTGCCCTGTCGTGTATTATTTCTTGAAAGTCATAAATTGTGTGGGCAGATCAAGGGGATCGATTTTGTAAAGTTTTATGGTGCTGGTAATTCGCTGGTCGATATTTCCAGATTGTGTCGATATAGGCAAATAAAATGTTTTGATCCAGAACTAGTTGTTTTTATTTCATCATAACAGCCGTTGATTGTCTGCTGCTGATCATAGGCCTTCTATTATTGGGTGGTTGGACCAGTAGTTGCCACGCTTGGCAAACGAATTGACAAGCACATTTAGGCTTTGATGATTTTCTAAGAGGGACGCTGCTGTGTATATATATACATATATATATATATATATATATATATATATATATATATATATATATTATATTTTAGAAATTATGTTACCATAATTAGTTCAGCCGTTAATTTTAATGTAATCTCACGATGAGTCTTATGCACTCGCAGAGAACTTAAGGAATAAAATAATACAAAGTGGATTTTATTTATAATTTTATTAAATTAATTCTATAACTTTTTTTACATATAATAATTATGTGCCACTTTTCATCAATTACATTGAATAATGCTGCCAAGTCACATCAGCAGTGTCACAATAGTACCTAATGTTTGCCTCTACGTCCAGACAACGAAAGACTGCAACTTCGCCGACACTGTTGGTACAGGCAGTGTCTAGCGCTCGGCAAACTCGCGTGTTACGAAACAGTCGCGCGATCGTCGGCCGATAGTCACGCGATCGACGGTCGACAGTCGCGCGACCGTCACCAGTGATACGCGAGCGGCCGCATCGTTCCGCGCAGTCAACCCGGCGACCGCCGCTCCCCACGCAACTTGGTCCAAGAATATATTTATGAAATAATTTGTATAAAAATTTTGGCTCCAATATTTACAATCGCACTGATATTTTAAAACGCCGGACTAATAGGGAAGCCGGGCTAAGGCTTGGCATAGTTGGCGCCACACGTTAATTTATTTGTCGCATATCTAGAGTCCTAACATCTTAGTTGCAATATTTAGCAGTCATTTTTGGCGCCACTAGCGGAATAAGTCTATCCGACTTCCCCATTTACAGCCACTAAGTTGAGTAAACAGCCGGGGAGCGGCGGGCCGCGGCGGCCAAGGAACAATTTATTGCAATTTCATTTCTAATAACACATTTCTTATCTAATAAGAGGTGCGCGCGTACAGTGCAACGCACATTTCCATTACCCTATCGTTACAGTGAGATAGACGACTGTCGACGCTCGTACGTCGCTACGGAAAGAGACGAATAGTTGGGAAGTTAGCAAATAAAATTCACTGTAGCAATAGGAAATAGATAGAGTAGATTTAGTTAAGGAAGAAACAACACCGAAGGCAGAGTTTACTGGATCCGTTGGCCATAATCGCCCGCGCTACATTTACCTACAATACGTAACGACGGTACATTCTCCCTGTTCCATTTAAAATTAACATTTAGTAATAGGGGGCTTATACAGAATTTGTACTCTGGAAGCGTCCCGTCGCCGCTTGCACCCGTCTACACTCGGTTGCAAAATATTCGGGTTCGTCATTATATACATTATTGACACTAGAATTAATGTGATGCAGTCTCGAATGGAGTATTAAGCAGGCATGCGATGACGGTGATGGAAACACTGGTTCCACTGTAGCTGTATCAGTCGATATCCACTTAGCACGGTACTGGGTTTGAAGATTTGCGATGACTACACGAATGATACGTTGGCGCTAATGAGGCAGGATTTACTGGGCGTTGTGATTAGCTGATGTTTAGCATCGGGCACGGGTCCCTACCGTCGATTCGCACTCACTGGGACCGATTCTGAGTTGCCATAATTTCGCAAAATTATCTACTATATTATTTTATAGACCATCATAAAGTAATTTAATTTTACAATGAATTTGATCTAAATTTAGCAGAAAATTAATTCAAATTAATCCTTATAATAAAGATTTGGCTATGATGTCAAATTTTAATTTTAAAGATAGGTTTCGATTAATGACGCCTCAGAATCGACTGTCGCTTTATTGAAAGTGTACAAACACTATGTTACTATTTTAAGTGTATACCAAATATAGATTAAGGGTCGGCACATCTGAGCATTCCGTTCACCACAATAATAAAAATCTAAATAATCATATTTATTAAACTATGTTTGAATGTAGAACAGTCCTTATTCGTGCAAAACTGTATTCTAAAAAAAAATATACATGTTTTACCACTTTGAAATAAATATAATTCTAAAAACATACAGAGACATGTTTGATCGAATTAAATTGAGATAAAAATGTCATAATATTTATTTATGACGATTTGTGATGTTATAGTGATGTGAAGACTCTCAGTGCGAGTCGACGGCGAGCGCGTAATATTTGCGTGGCGCTGAGTGCGAGTGAGCCCGACGAGACGGCCGCGCCACGCCGGGCGGCGCGCCTAACTTATCACGCATTACTTTAAGAGATCAGACTGTCATTTCTAAAACAAATGTATTACTTACAAAAAACAAATGATACGTTTACAACTATCCTTATTATAAACATCCATACCTAAAACAATTTACAATCATATTTATGAATATATTAAAAAAGAAATATACACATTCAGCTGGGCTGTAGAGGAAGGAGGCGCGAGATGACGCGTGACGCCCGCCGAACGTCGCATTCAATGTATATAATACAATGTACTTCAGTCATGCTTATCTAAGAAATGAATCAACAATTAATTAATTATAAGATACAATATTAATTAACAAGATACGCGTACCCTCTGGTTGTTTTAACATGTGCGTGCATAGCTTGTGTTCCCATGCGTTTATAAGTATTTTTTGGTACATTTAGGTCCACATATAACGTATGTCATTTACGTAATTATGTCATTCCTTCCATTAAATAATAAGTTGGTTTTATCTAACAAATATAAGTAGGTAGGTACAATTATATTTTTATATGTGTGTATATACATTGTAGTACCTAAAATTAACACTTCGTAGAGTTGATTTGAAAAAAAAAAATTAGATATGATTTTTACAATTGTAATTACCTACATAAATATATTTAGTAATATAAAATGAATACAGAAAAAAAAAATTAAAATATGCGAGTAAAAATATACAGATATTATTCTAAATATATTTTAATTTATTAAAAATTATATTTACTCGCATGTTTTTTACAAATTTCAAATTTGGAACATCACTAGTGCGTACCCACATATTGCATCAGAACAGCGTGAAATGACATATTACCAAAATTGACGTGTGACAATGACGTGAGATCATATTCAACATTAATAAGTACTTAACAATACGATGGTTAGTAGGTAGCGAACGTGTCGCCGAGTCCACGCCCACTGTCATACACACGAAAAGTAAAATAATGATGGCGAAGCATGCTTAAATAATATAAGAAAGCATGCTATGAGTGAGCAAAAATAAGATGTTCAAAAAATGGTTGACTATTTGGTCTACCTATGTAAGTCTCGAACGCACTTCGCCTCGTCAAGTAAACAGCTGATAGTGTTGCGCTGAATACAATTAGTCTATCGATAGTATAAATTATCGATAATAAAAAAAAATAACAAGTAATGTAAAATTACTAGTACAAACTTATTATAAACCTAAGGATTATAGACCTATGAGGGTGTCATAGTATAATTTGTGACGATGTAATGTGATGATCTGTATACCGGCGACGGTTAGCATTTCCAATCCTGGCGGGCTTTCAGTCATTTTGGACCATTCGTATTTGTTCTTTCTCTTGTCAATCCTTTTAATCATATGTTTCGATTGGTCATTGTTCGTTCACATATATTCACTCCTGCCGTATCCGTATCTTACATTAACGTGTGATTATGCTATATTTAAATCAATAAATAAAATTGCTTGATGTTCGAGACGTGGGTACATTAAAAAAAAAAAAAACATGATCTCTTTGAAATTCGTTAAAAACAGAACAAAATACACACTTCAATATTAATATATTTAGGCATATTTGGCCTAAAATATCATACTAAAACAATTGGAATAAATTTAATTTATATTATTTTTATGTATAAATAAAGAATTCACTAACCTAAATTTGATAATTATTTTTTTATACAATAATTGATAAAATAATTGCGACTCGCAAATAATAATATATTATCTTCAATAAATAAATCTAGAGGAAATTGATATAAAAAATAATTGATTTCATATAAGTAATTCTTTTAAAATGTTAATAGAATTTTATATTTATATTAATTTGTATGTACATATGTATGACAGTGATGGACTATTGTATACGGACATTAAAATAAACAAAATCTATATGTATCACTTAGGGTTCATAGCCATAAAAACTTTTCAAGAATCTGCCACTAACTGTGATACCTAAGGTTAGGCACTACGATTCTTTGCAGTGAAAGCTATTTACTAAATTATGTCCACTTTCTTAATTTAAATTTGGAAATAAAATTTCACATTTGATTATTTAGGCTGTATAATAAATTTAAGAAATTAAACAGTAAATCAGCTAACCTTGTACACTGCAAAGACCGTATTGCTGCACGATAGGCGATAATCGATAGAATACCAGTACTCAGCAGTAAAACAACAAAATATTGTAATACCATCGATGATTTGCAAAAGTATCGCTTTCTTGATATTAAAATATCGAATATCGATAGCAATGTCACCCTATCGGGTTCAATAGCAATGATAATAGTGAAAGTATAGAGATTTTTAACTATCATCTATCGATAAGAAACGAAATTATTATTGTTTATAGTTAAAGCCAATTGTAAATAATTTTATTAATTGCAAACTTATACAATATTTTAATCATGAAAAGATAGAGAATCAATCATTTCATCACTATTGACACTATTGTAAATTATCGACAGTATTATTATATTTTGCAGTATTGATTACGTATAAAAATATCGATACCATAATTGGTTTTAGAAGTGAATCGGATTCGCATCACTAGTCAACTGTAAGTGTAGGTAATGTAGATACGTACGCGGTGCAGGAGGGGAGGATGCCCCCCTCCCGCATCCCGCACACTTATACCTACTATAATACCCTATTCCAAATACGCGTAATTTAACTTAATTACAATGAAATAAGATTTAAAATAATTTTACACATTTAAATTATATAAACTTTTTTTTAATGTTTGCGTAATTGGAAAAGAGAATAGGTAATGACGCAGACTGGTATTTCTTTTTTAGGATTCAGATGGCATAATAGATCTAGATATTTAAATATAAAATTTAGTGGGATCCTCTTATATCCATGGATGGACTCAGTGAATCGTGGGAGAGGTCCGCGATACGTCCACAGATCTGACGTTTACCTGATTAATTTATACAAGAAAATAATTATATACAAAATAGAAAATAGATATATCTATACAACTTTCGTTACAATAGCAATTATGTTTTTAAAAAAAAAAGAATCATTAGCAGTAAGTACTTAGAGAGTTTTTTCAAAACTTTCTCCCAATGTTTGCACAATTAGTGTTCGAATGTGCCAATAGAGAATTCGTTAAATACAAAAATAACATGATCTCTATATAAAAGAAATGATATCATCTATATTAAAGGGGCGCCACTAACGATCGATGGGTCGTGCGTTAAAAATGTCTATGAAAATCGACCCCTGAGCGGAATACAGTCATTCTTACATTCATTACGTCAATACAGTAAAACATCAGATGTATAATTAATATAGTAAAATAATATATTATTGAACAAACATATTTATTTATCGCACATTTTAAAAAGTGTTTAACACAAACATGTGACAAAGATGCGGAAACAAAACGCGTGGAATATGACATTTTATACGTCAGCTATAATATTGCAACAGAGCAGCGAGCCAAGCTCGCTGAAAAAAAAATACAATTTAAATTTATCTGAAATGTGAAAAATAAATTGACTCTAAATTTTTGGCAATTTTGTACTCAGTGATGGTTCGCAGAGGTGTGTTGTTTACAAGTGTTAGTGTGTTGGTGTAGGCGTGAGCGGCGCGGGCGCAGGTCTCGTCGACGCCAAGTCACTCTGTCACATGGAACTGTCACGCAGGCAGTCACCGTTCCGATCAGTCACAGAAACAACATTCGCCTTAGTACATGTATCAACAAAATGTTCTACGTTTTTACGTTACGAAGTTGAAGCGCCAACGAGCGTCGGCGCGCCCGCGCTCGCCCCGCGCCACCTCGCGCCCCGCGCCGTCATTGCCCACCTGCAAACCGACAACGGTGACAATATATTAAGAGCTCTTTAAACGATCAAGTGCATTAAGTCAAGTAAGTTGAGACTTAGTTGCAAGTCAGTTCGAAATTTAAATAAAATCTTTTATTAGTTACCTCCTTGGTAGCCATGTTTCGAAGTAAAAGGCCATTCCATTTTTAAATTACAGGACAGATATGAGTTTACATAGTAATTTATCTGACCGCAAAACACGACAGATATGGATTTTCATACAACTTTTGCCGGCCGCTGCCCGCATGTATCTGGCCAGTACGGCAATTTTGATTTATCTCGAAGAAGATTGTCGAAATAATGCTCACATTTCCAAGCATGTTTGGGAAAATATTATTATTAATTAAAATTTGGTTAAAAATAGTACATTACTGCAGCGGCCAGCAACTGAGGCATTGATGGACGAACGTGCAAATGTGGGCAGAGGCGTAGCCGAGGCGCACATCTGTGAGTCCATCAATGCCTAGTTGTGGCCAAAGCTTGTATAGTACTTTTCTCAAACAATGCACAAAAATCAAAAACAATTTTACTGTTTAAGTTCAATGACGAATAACGAATAATAATAATTTTTCACGTGCCATAATGTTCCTTTGTTTTTTTTTTCAATAAACAGCTTTCTATTTGCAAGCCAGTTCAAAATTTAAATAAAACCTTGTATTAGTTACCTCCTCGGCAGCCATGTTTCGAAGTAAAAGGTCATTCTATTTTTAAATTACAGGACAGATATGAGATTACATAGTAATTTATCTGGCCGCAAAACACGACAGATATGGATTTTCATACAACTTTTGCCGGCCGCTGCCCGCATGTATCTGGCCAGTACGGCAATTTTGATTTATCTTGAAGAAGATTGTTAAAATAATGCTCAAATTTCCGGGCATGTTTGAGAAAATATTATTATTAATTAAAATTTTGGTTAAAAAACATACAAACCTAAACCCTCGTGGAGCGCGCGGAACGGCGCGGGCGCGCGGTCGTGTAGACGGGGGCCGCGGGCGCCGCGGGGGGCGCGGGGGCCGCGGGCGACGGGGCACGCGCCCGCCGCGCCCTCACCACCCCCACGCCGCTGTCGCCACTGTGCCCGGACACCAGGGACTCGCTGTCGCTCTGGTTCGACGTGTACCCAATAACGTCCACCTCATCTGGAATAGAAATGAGCGCCTTGTCAATTTAAGCGAGAACACTACCATGCACGACTTTTTACAATTAACTATAAAAGTAAGTGAAAAGCGACTTGGTCCGAACGCTACCGTGCATAATTTTATACGTTTTATAACATAAGTAAGAATTTGAAATTAGGTAAGTTCCATAAAAAGTAACACACTTTGATCTCGGTAAGATTTTGTAAAAGAATCGTCATATTATATAATAAAATAGGTGTTTTTGTTTGAAGGACGCGATGTGGAAATTAAATTACATAACACCTTAGTCATACACCTTAACACGTTCCTCAGGAACGGCAACGTATGGGGTGTATCATGGGCGACACAGTTATACTCTGTTACGTCCATGGTACTGTTATTGTGTAAAGGCCACGATTACCACTTTCCATCAAATATCGCGTATCACAACATAAAAATACTGTTCAAATTAAAATCTCGTCTTTTTCAAATTCGCTAAGACGTCAATTGATGAAAAAAAAAAGTATTTAAATTAGCCAATTATATCCACAACGGTCCAAATAAGAGGATTAGTGCGGGGAAAAGAGTCCAACTTACATTAAATTCCATTACATTAGCCAACTATCTAACGTTATCAATATTGTTGATCTTTCCCTCTATAAATTACAATACTAATAGCCATATCGCGTATCATACATAAAAATACTGTTTAACTAAAAAAATCTCGTCTTTTCCAAATTCGCTAAAACGTCAATTGATGCAGAAAAAAGTATATAAATTAGCCAATTATCTCCACAACGGGCCAAATGAGAGAATTAGTGCGGGGAAAAGAGTCTAACTTACATTAAATTCCATTATATTAGTCAACTATCTAATGTTATTAATATTATTGATCTTTCCCTCTATAAATTCCAATACGAATAGTCACACGCACAAAACACTGAAACCTGTTCTGTGTTTAAAGCCAACAACAATAATGTTGACCTAAAATTAAATCAGCCCCTTAATATGTACACAAAAGGGGAAGCCATCGCAAACTATGCGAGCGACTTCTGCGTCCTTCAATAGGCGATTTAGGCGGTGTTTCCATAATGGCTTGTCACATTAACGGAATTTAATTTCCTTTGTACGTAACGATAGATTATCGGCTGGAAAATGATTACACTGAAGACCAGCATCGAGTTGATTTGAAGCGGGAAATGTTGATGTTTTGAGGCCTTAAAGAAAGGATAAGACCGAGCTCACCATATGAACTCTTCGTCTCTTACATTTTATATAATTATGTAGTTGTATATATATAATCCTTTATATTTTTTATATGTATAATATAATTATCATTTTATGTTATTTATGTATATATTATTTATTTCGTATAGATATACGTTATTAGTTGTTATTATCATTTCCTATCCCAATAATGAAGTACCGCGTTTGTGTTTCACTGTTCATGCCAAAGGTTGACTGGTAGACAATGCTACTAGCATTAAGTCCGCCTTTTGTACCATATTTTTTTTAGGTAAGTAATAAAGTTATTCACATTAAATAAATAATTAAGATTCTCAACACAATTGTGAGTTTGTTTTTTAATTTATTTCTTCGCCAACTTTGATTTTATTTGAAAACATTCAACTAACATAACGTAAGTATGAGTAAGACCGAAATAAAAAAATATATAATATCCCTTTTTTTTTTAAATCGTTTAAAAATAAACACAACACAAAAAGCGTAAGATAATATTTGAAAAAAAAATCGCTATTTTTTACTATAAAATTAACCGGTATGTATGGACAAAAATAGATGTAAGTCACAGGAGTAAAATATTCAAATAATATGTACCTATACAAGTTTTATCAATACTTAATGTTTCAGTTACATATATTTACCTATTTATATATTTACAAGAAACCTCAATAACCTTCAGTTATTATATTGTACGGTTCTCGAATTGTTTTTATATTAGCAACTTATATTAACGGTTCAGATGAAAAATGGGGAATATTTGATGAGAGCAAATGGAAGGGTCTTTGTGAAATAATCTTATTGATGATTTATATTCGTATATGGTAAGAGAAGTTCGTGGAAAACACACAATTTTCAAGCTTACTGCAACGGAATAAAGTTCTATTTTTGATATTTTGAGAAAAGAAAAAAATGTCAGTAAATCTTTCTACACAAATTCACAATAGACATTGGCGAGTTGTTCAGAAAATGATTTCTTTTATTGTCCGGTCAATTCCGTTGTACACAATTTTGAATTCAGTTTACACGTCAGAGACTAGTACCATTTGAGTTTGGTAAGTACTTGTTTATGAAACAAACAACCATTACAGTTTATTAATTAAACTTTTTTTTTTTATACAACTTAGAATGGCAAACAAGCTGACGGCCCACCTGATGTAAAGTGGTAACCGTCGCCTATAGACATGAGCAGTACCATGGACATAACAGAGTACTCGTATACTGTTTCGCCCATGATACCCGCCATGCGTTGCCATTTCTGAAGACTCAGGTGTTATTCCTCTGTACCCAGTAAATTCACGCCATATCCCACCCTTCAAACCGAAACACAGCCATGCAAACACAACTGTTTCACGGTTGAAACACGAATGGGACAGAGGTACCCAAGCAATCGACTTTTGTACAAAGTCTCCCTTTGCATGAAAAAAAATAACTTTCTTATAAAAACATCACTTATAAAAATGTTTTAGCTGCTGAACTGTGTCGTCTGCTTCTTTTGAGTTAAATCTTCAATTAAAAGAGAGTGACAAAACAGTGTTAAAATTATTTTCGTAGAAATTTTTAGTTTTTACGAATAATGGAGTAAGTGTTTAAGAAATGTAATTTTTTTTCCTAGAATCTACGTAATGAATGAACGAATAAATAATTTAATTCAAAAAGTATATTGTCTATAAAGTTTTAAAGTTTTAATAATAATATTCTTAAGATCTAGTATTAATATATATATATATATATATATATATATATATATATATATATATATATATATATATATATATATATATATATATATATAATAGTTATTCTATTGTTATTATACGACTAAAATATTACTAATGATCATGGCGTATTCTCTTATAGTGTTTAGCGACGTGTGGGTTGTGACCCCCTGGGGGGTCGTGAAGTCTTTATAGGGGGTCGCGAAAACTATCTCAGTGAAAAAAACAAAGTCTTAAAGATAGATACTATTATACTTAATTCTGTATTTATCCGAAACATTATTATGTAAATGCATAAAAATGTTGTATGGATTGCAGTATTTAGTACCTACAACATCTTTGCAACAATACATAATACATGAAGAAAAAGCGGAGGTCTTAAAATTTTTTTTCATTCTAGGGGGAGTCGTGTCATGCAAAAGTTTGAAAAACACTGCTCTATAATATATAAATCTAATATCAAGATAGTTTCAGTGTAAAAAAAAAATGCTAAGAAATTCATAAGTTCAAAAGGTTCCATTGTAATACGTATATATATAGTTCAACATAAGCGTACGTCGATTGAACGCGCGAATGTACGTACAGAGAGTAATTACAGCACAAGCCGCTGCCAGCCATAGGCCCGGAATGGTGGCGGCGTGTTCGCGCCAATTTCCTGCAATACATGTTAAATGGCGGCCAATCGAACCCCACCCGGCCCGGCACACTCTCACATATCGACGTTAATACTCAAGTACGTTTCACATACGTAAAATTTTTTCGCAAAAAAAAAAAAACTTAATTCAATCCTGACAAAACACGAATTCAATTTAATCGTGACAATGAACGATGAGATGTTTCTTAAATACATATTGAAAATAATAAAATTTAAAACGAATCCGAATTAGAATTAGAAACCGCTAAAATAAGACTAGGATCTACGATCAAACGACCACTGTCTGACCTAACTAAGAAAGATTCAAAGATATGAGAGAAACGTCTATTAATAAATTTCCGAAAGAGAAATGGCGTCTTGAAACGTCAAAATCAATACACAATTGACGGCTCAATCGTGCAGAATAGCCAAAAAAAAGGTGAATTTAGAAATTGTTTTGTAGTCGCTCAAAAAGTTATTACCTAATATTTTATAATTATTGTAGATGGCAATTAAATTGGATATTTATAATTAATTAAATGTCATATTTAATAAATATAATGATTACTTGTCAGCCTATTCATTCATTCATGAATAGACTAACAACTAATTAGGGGGATTACGGGAGAGCGAGATTATAACATTAAAGTTACATTTGCATTCAACGTGGACCGAACGATGCGAACTGGACAAATGTGCAATCGATGCGGGCGCAAAGCTAACACGTGGGATCAAAGCGCAATGAATAAAGCAAATGCGACATCGGCGCTGGCTATCTTTGATAGCACCATACAGCAGACAAATGAACGCAAATTCCACATTCAATAAACCGTTTCCTGCAAATGCTTGCCGGTTTACAATTTGCGGCACAATATTTCGACGGGGGAATTTATTTTCATTGTGAATTGAATGGGAACGCAATGCAGGGGTTGTCTAGTTTGTTAACGTACGAGTATTTCAGAAAAAAGCTGTGAAAAGTCCGGTTGGCTGTCTCCGAATGTGTGAAGTTTTTCTTTACTATAAATTCTACAGATAAGGTAGAGAATATTAATATAGCTTCGATGAAGAATGAGAATATTGAATAATCTCACTTCGATTTGATAAGATTTTTTTGAACTAGATTTTCTGAGATGAGTCTCGAGCCTCATTTACCTCTTAGAACCAAAATATTTTTGTAAATGTTTTAGATATAAAATATCTATTTTAACAATTTCCCGGATATTAGCGTTTTAACAGCTTAACCAATCATTCTGAAATTTAGTATATATGTACTATATGGGATGAAGAAAGAGATAAGCTACTTTTTGTCTCGGTCAGTGATCATATCGCGGTAACGTGGACTAAGTTAGTTCAGAATAAACAGAATTGTAATTAATATGAGAATAAATTATAATTATAAAAATGATTAAAATTGGAAAAATATAATGTAT